TCCACCGCGATAACATTAATACTACATCGTTAGAAAAAACACTGCCTGCAGACACGTTGGTGGCACACGAATGTGCGAAGCAAATATGCGTTTCGAACATATGCGTGAGTCGTGTCCGCCGACACATTCTGTCATCACGTCGTGCAGTGTGAACACCGTAATTTTGTACGAGGTACAAGCCTCGCGGCTGCGGCTGGCATTCTTGTCCGGACTCGGACACAAATAAATCTTTCCATAGCTCTATATACATATATATATACACACCCACAGTTCAGGGTATTACAAACACGCTCCGACAAGGCAGCTGGATTCTTCCCTCCCACGCTCCGGGTGCCGAGACCTCGCCTTAATAATATGTGATTGCTCAGAGTCGCAGATCGCGTACTGTATACGGCATGACTAGTATAGAGTCTAAATGAACAATCTATCCGTGCATGCTTGCGCGGGTGTATTGGACGAGTTGCCCGCAATATAGTACGTATATAGCACCACATCAAAGTGCACCTGGTTCGCGGAAATTAATGAACCTTCCTTTAATTAAACGCGTTTGCTTCAAATAAATGGATCGCATCAAACCACCCCTCCCTCCCCCTCCCCCAAGGCTCCGTCAGGGTGCTAAAGAAGAAAAAAACCGTTGTGTCCCATTGCTAATTCAAACCTGCGCGATTTTTGTTTTAGTTTTTTGTTTGCGCATTTATGTGTGTCAACGGATTTGAAACTGCGGCTTATCAGGCTCAATGATGTAAAGAGAGGAAGAAAAAAGAAATGAATAGGATGGAGGGATACAGGATAAAGTCGGTTTGTTTTGAGAGTAATAGCTACAACGAGAAACTGAGATGCGCCCGGATTTGTTTGGTAGAAAATGTTCATATATTCTAATGCTGGCAGCAAAGAGGGATTTTTTTTTTTTTTTGCGTTTTCCCGCGTTGGGTTTTCTATAGAAACGGGACGATAGAAAATGAAATCGATATTTTGCTGGTTATTTTTTGTACTGTTTTGTTTTCTTGCTCCTTCGAAAGAGTTGTGCTGAGAACGGATCTTGCGCGCCGAGATTTAACGAAATGGAGTTTGCAAAAAAGATCTACGCGAACAAAAATAGGTTTTTTTATGTTCTATTTTTTTCTCTATCTTTATAATTAGAATAACGTCTGCTAGTGGCAGATACGAGGCTTACGCGAAGGTAATATCTCTTTTCTGTGTTCCTTAATGTCGGGAGTTGCTTCGAATTTTTCTCAAAAATTAAGATATATGTTTGTTTGTTTTCTAAATATAAATACAGTTATTCTCCAGCTCTAAGTTTCTTCCAAAGCACGATCCAGCAGCAGGCGGCAAACACAAAACTATACTTTTTATTATTATTAAGTTATCACTTTTGGTGGCCAGTGCGCTTACGTGTTTTGTGCGCCGACCAAGGTTGTGAACGCGCGATCTTTAGATATTCTGAAATGTCAGAAGACGCTGCCCTCAAGTACACGTTATTGGCACGGTCTTTTTTTTTTTTTTTTTTTTTTTTGTACGAATGGACGTGGTTGTATTATGTACGCATCCTATGATGCCTTTCGTTTTTGATATCTGTGTCCTACTATAATGTTGACGTAAAGTTTAAAAAAATTTCACAATACAGTAGAAAAACAACGAAGTGTTCCACCACACTTACCGACCCTAGTGTGCTAATATACGTTATAAACCATGGAGTAAGGCGAAAAAAAAAAAAAAAAACGGACACAAGGAAGAAGACACACACACAGGAGCTTGTCTGTATGTCTTCTTCCTTATGTCCTTTGTTTTTTTGTGTTTTTTTTTTTTTTTTTTTGCGTTTTACGCCGTGATTTTAAACGTTCACCAACTACTGCAAGTTCTTCTACAGTGCAAATATACGTACGCTCCAACTACATGTCGCGAACCTGCCGAAGTGCGAGGTCGCGTCAGGTTCGACTCTTTTCGAACTTTTAACGCAAAGTTCGACTATTACCGGCGCGCGCGCACATTGAAGACGAGCTGGCGTTTTATCCCATGATTTTTAACGTTCACCAACTACTGCAGGTTCTTCAACAGTACAAATATACGTATGTTCCAACTATATGCCGCGAACCTGCCGAAGTGCGAGGTCGCACCAGGTTCGACTCTTTCGAACTTTTAACGCAAAGTTCGCGCACGCAAATTGAGGACGAGCTGATGCTGCCTGGTAGAGGAGGGTGACAAAACGAAATCTAGAAAATATGTCGTTTTCCTTTATATTGAGTAAACATTATTCATAATTTTGTTTTAATTTAAAAAATACTACTGTACATTTTTTTTTTTTCAACGGTATTTGTATACAAGTTTGGCAGCACTGTTAAAAAATCGAACCCCCATCGAATTTTCTCGCCCTTTTCGAAGATTCGGCGAACCAGTCGAACCATCGACGTCAGACACACGGTTTCGCAAAAGTTCGCGACGTCCCACCAACATACATAAGGGGTATCGAATTACGAAACTGTACAAACACGCGGCGATTCCGCACGGCTTAATCCCGGAACCGGGTGCTCTCTAATCTCGCTTTGGTCGGATTCCTCGGTTCTCCCGCATGCACATCTCGTCGTCGTCGGCAGACGACGAGTATGTGCGAAACTATTCACGCGCCCGGGACGCCCTAATCTGCAGCACCGTGGGTCGCAGTTGTCTGCAAAATGAGGACGGGCGTCCAGGCTCGATGAAGTACCGCCGGGGTCCTTTCCAACCCTTCCTCCAACCGGCGGTCGATTATTCCCTTCCAAAATGGGACTCCAGCTTATTGCGCATGCGCGCTGCGTCCCTTTTTTCTCCCTTTTCCTCGCCCTTTTTTTTTTTTTTTATCCCCCCCTCTCTCTCTTTCTCTGTCTCCACGTGTCACTGTTTCGTTTCGTTATTCGGTGCTTCCACTCGTTGTATACCTTCCGAAACCTGCGTATTAATCTCTTGTTTCTCCTTGGCGGTGTATTCAATTGTAACGCGATCCCGAACATCTCGAACGCGATCGAGTCAGTAATCCGCCCTCTGGGCGTCTTTTGTCTCTCTTGTTGACCGCAACCATCTTATTTTTTTTTTTTCTTCTGAATTATAGAAGGGAACGGAAGAACGTAAGAACGTGGGCTTTCATCCCATACGTTGTTATTTTCGTATCCGTCTTTTTCGTGCGCACGCGTATTCCTTTTTTTGAACGGAAGTGACTTTTGTTACTTGCTTCCGGGTCCCTTAGGAAAAGAGAAAAACATTATAAAGAGCCCGTAACGCGGCTGAAGTTGCATCACGGGCCCTTTACAATAGAGAGTCTTAGAATAGGGGACACCAAAGCTTGGGGTTCCCCAAACAGCTTGGGGCGTTCATTGCGCATGCGCAGTACGACCCCAAGCTGTTTGGGGGACCCAAAGTCTCTTATTCTACCACTCTCTAGTGTCTTTAATAGCGGCTAAAGTACGAAGTTATGTGTATCCTAATAGATTACAATTCTTTCTGCTTCCCGCCTTGCATAACGCTTGGGCGCTGGAGACGCCCAAGCGTTATGCAAGGTGGGAAGCTCGCGCCGGAAACGCTGCCGTTCTCATCCTGGAAAAAAAAAGCTATAAACTCGGTTTTCTTTTTCGTGTAACTTTGTCGTTTGTTTTCGTATTTCAGTTGATTATTCAGCCCTGTCAATGCGAGAGCAAGTCGTCTGCTTTTTGCGCGGGAGTTGCGGTGGCGTCAGAACAACACCGAGCTCTGATTGGCTGATTGAAAAAAAAAAAAATAGTGGGTAGACTTCGAAGCATCTAGCATTGAGCTCTACCCACTATTTTCTTTTGTTTTCAATCAGCCAATCAGAGCTCGGCGTTGTTCTGACGTCACCGCAACCCCTGTGCAAGAAGCAGACGACACTTGCGCTCTGCATAGGTACACCAACCCACTGGAGTCCAGGTGTGGGCTTTGCGCGTGCGCAAAAACAAAAATCGCGTGGATAAAAAAAAAGAGGAAAAAAAACGTCTGCGCGTGCGCAGTGCCGCCGACAGCAGCGCCACCGTGGTGGCCTGGCGTCAGGGGGATTTTGGAAATGACAGAGTACAGGTTAATGATGATCTACCGGGTGTCCCAAACAGCGGCCAGGCTCTTTAAATCGACCGCAAAAATCGGTTTCTTAACCTATCGCGTTACGATCTTGTACAGCGTTGGCCACAGGTGGTGCATTGTTTCTACAAAATTCGCAAAGAGCGAACTTACCCGAGGAAAAAGTAAGAAAAAGAAAAAGGTTTAAATCCTATGCGAACACAGCGAAGCCACCGATCTTCAAACCATAGGGCGCCCTATGGGTTGAAGACCGGTGGCTTCGCAAACTATTTACCGAAAAAAAAACACATTTTTTTAACTCCTTCTGAAGTCTTAAAAATACGGTATTTTATTTATTCTATTCGCCTTTAGATGAGAAAGGGAGGGGGACTAAGGCTATATCTCGGCTTTAGGACCTTAGACTGATCCTTTATGGTCGTTAAAGCATCTTTACCACACTTTGTGCTTTAGAATGCGGTTGCTATCATTAATATTCCCGACGTCAATATGAGTTCAAAAGGTATCCGTTAGGAATTTTAAATTGCGTTTTTACTTATGGGAAAAGGGACATACATAACACACACACAAAAAAAAAGTTTTCGGACGCCTATGACATTAAATATTTCATACTTCGCCCATTATCGTGCATTATTTAGCCACTCGCGTTATAAACGCGTTGCGACTTCGATGTGTGCAGCGTTTTGTTGAGGTAATGAATGTGTCAGCCCCGGGTGACAAAACACCCTGTCGCTTATCTGCTCGATATTCTAAAGCTTATGGAGTTGAGCCTTACCTCCGGTTTTTCTTTTTCGTATAAATTTTGTGTTCGCTCTGGCTTTCTTTTATTTTATAGTTTCTTGGTCAGTTGAGGCGTTTGGTTTCGTATAATAATCGCGTTGGCGTGAGCGACGAGTTGACCCCCGGCCTCACCTCTCTGACCTCTGTTTGACCTCCAGATGTTCCCGACCCCCCGGGGATCCCCATCGTGGTGGGCTTCACCTCGCGGTCCGTCGACCTCTCCTGGACGTCCAGCCCAAACAGCCATCACAGCGTCATCCTGCACTACATCATCCACATCAGGTAAAGCACCCAGCGATGCAAGCAAAAGAGCAATCTTCAACGCTTCCCAATACATCACAAAAAAAAAAAAAAAAAAAAAAAAAAAAACCAGTGCGCACGCACTGTTCGAGGCGTACTTCTTCCTAAGTATGACGCTCCTGACAGATTACTCGTACAAATGCCGTTGGCAGACACGTCATCATGTAATGCGCAAGAACGAAATACATGTCCGATCACAGTCGTTCTGAGACCAGACGCCGCCGCGCATACTTGTAGGCAGGGATGGGCAAAATACATGCAAATATGTATCGAAATACAAATACAAAATACTTCGTCAAAAATGTATCTAATTACAAATCTAATTACATTTCCAAAAAAAGCATTTAAGTACAAGATACAAATACAACCAAATGTATTTTGTCTTCTCCGAATACTTTTCCAAATACATTCCTCAAAATTTGCGTCAGCGACTTTAGGGCACCTGCAACGGGTTTCTGGGTATCTCATTTTAATTTTGCATCGCACACTCGGGAGTTAGTGTGCGAGGCTCTAGTAACGTAATAGAAATATAATCACAAAAAAATGTAATAGCTTGGACGTAATAGGTGAAAAAGGCACAGAGCTTCAAGCAGCTTTTTTTGTCGATTACATTTTCGTATAGACCAACAAAGAACCGAGACGACCAAGACGCGCAGCACTAGCTAGAAAATTTTTTATTGTTGCAACTCGCACCAGTTACGTGAATCTGGACGACCCTCGAATTTAGAATGTTCCAGGCAAAAATATGGATGGAAACCAGGGGGGGAAAGCATCACAAGTTGTCACAGGCACTTATTTAGCCAGTCTGCCTGTGAACGTCGATTTCGTCACTATTCTTGCCCCGGACTAATCACAAAGTCACTAACCACTTTTGCTTGATTTAGAGGCGCTGCATTCGGTGCAGAACGTAGTTTCCTTCCTGCTCTGGACAGTGACAATAAATTTGAGGGATGTATCTACGCCCACAAAATTGTATTTAATTACAGTTGTATCTGAAATACCCCCGTTTTAGTATTTAAATACACACGTCAAATACATTACCAAATTTGTAATTAAATACAAATGCAAAATACACAATGTGTTTGAATTAGGTATTTCAAATACTTGTATTTGAAATACTGCCCATCCCATGCTTGTAGGGTTAACAACTTCAGCCCTATTGGCGCGCTGAATCCATTTTGAGGTAAATCGGCGGCCATCAAAATGCCGGCCAGTATGACGACGCAAGATCTGTATTTCGCAGACGCACAAACTGCACACCAACTCGCAAACTTTTCGCTCCAACTTTGTGTTTGACGAGTTTAGGGTACCCAGAATGTCGAAAGTTCAAGTTTGAATATCCTCGCCATAGCGGCTCACCTCAACTAATGTTTGAATTCCTCCATGATGGATGTAGAAGGGACGTCTTGAAAGTTTACGTGTTTTTTTTTTTGTGTGTGTGTGTGTTTGTGGTTGTGTTGCTAAGGGTCGAAAAGAATTCGTTAATTAACGAAATTTTAATTAACGAACGGGTGCGGATAGGAGGTGTCTGCGGTTTCCTAATCAACTCCGTGGGAGACGCGACGGCTGTGACTGACTTCCCGCCACCGAAGCCCCTGATTATGCGACCCCTGAAGGCAACTGGGAAAGAAATCACGTCTAAATCACGTGCTGAACTACACGCAAGGTCGCGTTGCGCGCGCTTTAATTTACCCGCGCGGAAATGTCTCCCGCGCTTTCTCGTTCCCGCGCAAACTCTCCCTTCTCATTTCGCGCCTTTTTTTTTTTTTTTTTTTTTTTCACTCAACATTTTTTTTAGCCGGTCATTCATCGGTCTTTTCTCTGGTTACGTTTTTCTTTTTCTTAATTAAAGGGTGTCAATGAGGTAACAAAATAATTAATAATCTCTAAATAATGATTTCTAGCACCTTTGGCAGACTTTAATAATTCCCATCGCCTTCAAACGTAATTAGCTTCTTTAATGAAGCTTGAGAAAAGAAAATAGGAGATTGCGCTGATGCCTTCGACAAGCCAATTTGCAGTCCTCACTGACGCCTGGAATAAAAGCGTTTTTAAGATGCTTGTTAGGATTTTTTGATACATTAATTTTAGTTTCTACTTTTTATTATTACATTTTTTTATGTACGCGTTCTACATACTGTGATCAATAGCTCTTAGTTTTAAGAATATGCCGTGCCTCGCGGAATTTTCTCGATATTTTTTTTTTCTTTGTTTGAAATTAGACCAGATAATGCTACGCCCACAACGCACGCCTGCACACACACACCTGTATACATATACACCTATAGACACACATACTCACGCAACAACGTAAACAGTTTTTGAGTAGGGAACCCATTTCAAGTTCTCCCGAGAAAAAGAAATCTTCTTTTATCCCGGTGCAAGGACTCTGGATTAAATTTATTTCTGTCTCATTGAAGTTGCTCGCGATATACAGGTAAGACCTGGCAAGAAGACTCCGCGCACTTACCTACCTGCAGCTTACACTCGTCCTCACAAACAAATAAATCTCGGTGAAAAACAAAAACAAACGTAAACGACAAAATGGCGGTAAGCTAGTGGCACACACGTTTTCTTATTGTCCATATCGTGTATTTATGGTGTATCTCTAGTGTGATTTCACCGCTGTGCTTTCACCATCATTTCAGTCTCGCTTTCACAAAAAATGCAGACGACAAAAAACCAAATGACCGCTTCAGAAAAAAAAAAAAAAATGCAGACGGCGTACGGAAACTGGGCAGGTGCGAGGAGAAAGCAGACGACGAAAAAAAAACAAATTCGAATGCGGCATACAAAAATTGGGCAAATGTGATCACCAAGAGTGAAAACCGCTCCTGACAAAAGAAAGAAAGAAAAAATGAACAAGAAGGTACTACACGCATCACACGAAAACGTTTCGAAGATTCGAGCGCGTAGCGGAGCACACGAAACACAACCACAGCCGCTCCGGAAGGGAAGGGTCTTACTACACCTGTCTCCACGAAACCACGGCGGAACTACAACAAGGCTAGAGTTGGGGGGTGGAGAGCAGAAAATCTGGGCAATCGACATCAACCCTTTTCTCCTACGCTTCCTTGACCCGAATCTTCATGTGTCGCTGTTCTTCTTTCTTGAACGATATCCGCTGTGCGGAAGTAGGAGAGAAAAAAACGAGCAACAAACAAAAAGAAAAATCTAAAGTGCGGCACCTTTTTGGCCACGAGCGATTGAGAAACGAGCGAAGAGGGGGGAAAAAAAAGGAAACAAGACTTTCATCCTCCGCAGCATCTTCCGTATCACTCTCCTTCCTCCATTTTTTTTCCTCCCCCTCTCCTCTTGTTCGAGTTCGAGGACAACGCAAGGGTGTTTCCATAGCAACAACGCCTCCTCCCATTTACCTCTCTCCTTCACGTAAAATCGATAAGACACTGCAGTTGTCTGAACGGCGACGGAAAAAAAAGAAACAAAACCGAAACCACACTCGCGACGGCAGCGCCGGTTCGCGCACCTGGTGGCGGTTGTCGGCACTAGGCCAAAGACCACATTTCTGGGGGTGGGCGCTTGTCACGGAGGTAGTAGTGCAGCGTGCACGATACTGCGGGCAGTGTGGGAGAGTGTGTGTTCTTCCCTTTTCCTGTCTGTTATTGGTATATTTAACTAATTACTTCTGGCGGTAGTAGCGGCGATGGCACAGAACGCTCCCTTTCCGAAACTGAATCTCGTACACCGTGTGTTTTGCACTCGGCTGTCGGAAACAAACGTTAACAGACTTCCCCCCCCCCCCCCCCCCCTCTCTCTCTCTCCTTTTTTTCGCATTTTGCTTGCGCTGACATTAGGAATCGGACGTGCGTTTTCTGCGAGGTGCTTTCGCTTTGCGCGTCTTTTTTTTATACCGTTCGTCATGTTAGAACGTGCTCGAGTCACGGGCTATTATTGCAGTAATGGGCGGTCTGACCCATTTTGAATGTGTTCCGTCGTTAGTGCCGAAATGTTACCCCAGCGAGCTGGCTGAAATTAATGAGGTGCGGTGGCTACAACGTATCGAACACGTCTGCTGGACTTGCTTGATTCGGTCTCTCGGTGTCTGCGGCAGTCCTTGATTGATAAAAGCAGTTTAATTTCGATCGGAACCTTCGTTGTTTCTGCGTTGACAGACGTCGTCTGCGCTGACAAACGTCGTCTGCGCTGTGACGTCACCAAAGGACTTCACGCTGCCAAAAAAAAAAAATTGTGTAGTTTATTGATTTGCATTTATTGATCACTACTAGTATTTCCACACAATGAATATAAAGGAGTGCCATATCAAGAAAAAACACACCTTATGCATTAGAAGATCTCGTAGGTAAGATTACGGCTATCTGAGACAATTTAAAGTGAAGTTATAATAATAATAAACATAATAATTTCATTATTATTATTATTATTATTATTATTGAAGTGTGGCAGCACAGATACCGATATGTTATTCCTGGACACTATAATGAGCACTGATTGATTGATTGTTTTATTAATTAATATGTGTATTTATTTACTGGAAGGTTTTTCCCATCTTGCCATTCCAGGTAGGTTGATGTTTAGGCTGCTGACTACTTTTCTGAAGGACTGTAAAATCTACCCCTCACTTTTCTTTCTTTTTTTTTTTTTTTTAGCAATATGATTTTTGGTTATTTTTGGGTACGAGCCAACATTAGTGTGGAATTTCGTCTTGGGCAAAAGCAAGGGAAAAGGAAAGCACTGGAATAAGGTACGATGTAAATGGTAGATATCGTAGGCCAGTCCTTCAAAGTAAAGAAGTATATCTGTAACTGAACATCGTAACAAGATATACCTTTCGTTTTAAAAACACTCGTACTTTTTTGTTTTGTTTTGTGTTTTAGCACGCGTACATTCTGAACCTGTCTGCGTGCAAAAAAAAAAAAAAATTATGTGCTTTTATTTTGGAACGCTCGGACCCGATTACCACACGGCAGATGTCCAGGCCCGTGCCTTCCCCCACCCAAACGTCATAACTAGTGGGGCCACGCAGTTTTCGTACGACCAATGTAGCGGGACCGTCACACGCGGAGCGCAGTTCGTCTGCTTCTTTTGCAGGGCGTTGTGATGACGTCAGAGAGACGCCAAGGTCTGATTGGCTCTGATCAAAGGATAGCGGGTAGACCTCAAGGCAGCTTGCTTTCAGGTCTACCCGCTATCCTTCTTTCAGAACCAATCAGAGCTCGGCGTCTCCCTGACGTCACCACAACCCCCTGCTAAGGAAGCAGACGAATTGGAGCTCCGCATACAAGGAAGAAGCGCTCTTCACCCGTCTGCAGACGATCTTTTGTACGATGTATCAGCAGTGTGCAACCCCACCGTGGCTTTAAGGTACACTCAAGTATAAAACTGCTTATCAATATCGCAGTAATTACCCACCAAAATATTTATACGGCTATCTCAGCAACCTTTTCTGCTCTGTCTCATCACTGAACACACCTTGCTTATTCCACTAACGTTAACGTTTTTTTACAGCGGAGCTGTTAAGGGGCTAGATTCCCCAGGATCGTGTCCCCCGCAAAGAAGTGAAGACACCGAACTCTGGACACCTACCGCCATCTATGAGCGACGGCGGGAAGCCACGTACCTGGTTGCCGCCGTCGCTCATAGATGGCGGCAGCCTGTCCACTCTGGCTTGCCGACTTGCGGCCGGCCATTACTTTCCATTGTACAGCTCCGCTGGTCTTCCTTCTTCACCAGAGAGGAAAGGCAACTCAAAGTTTTTTTTAGTACTTTTTTGGCCATTTTTATTGTAATTAAAGCGTCTTTGCCGCTTCAAATATCCCAAACCCAACCTTACTCAAAGTCTGTTTACAGAGGCGACGTCGTTTCCCTACCCCGTGGTGCGTGTCCTGCACCCACAATACACGTCGATGGCTTTCTGTGCAAAGTCCTGTCCACGTTCCAACATCATTATTAAGGCGTCTTTTTTTCCCCTTTTTTTCTTTACAAATAAATTAGCGGTGCATGCTTCGGTGTTCCCAGTCCTCATTAAACGGGTCTTACACACCGTTGTCATAGCAACAGAGGATGACTCGTAGGAATGTATATTGAGCGCGAGCTCCCCGACTTGGATTTTTACATATTTCTCGGAGCAATCAGTAAAAAGAAATATATATATATATATATATATATATATATATATCGGTTATTCTGGTCATTATAATTGTCTTCGGGTTTTGTTTCAAGGTTCAGAATAGTGATAATGTCATCTTTTCTTTTTCTATTCACTTTTTTTTTCGGCACCACTGATGATTAGGAATCCCCAGGAAGTTGTGGAGGCAATTTTCTTTTCTGATTTTTTTTTCTTTCTTTGCGGAAATTATGTCACTGTAAAGCCACGGACATCATTTTCCTACACATCAAGAGAAAAGGGAAGTTTTGCGCATTATTCATGCGCTAGACGAAGTAGTTCTTACAAGATTTGGTTGTCGGAGGAAGAAACGATGCTATTGGTGTTTTAAACGGGTACACCTTGATAAAATGATTGCAAGTCATTCTAAAACATACCCACATATATCTTAATTCCCCGCATAAAAGAGTAAATCAGTGATGCTGCTCGAGAAACCGGAATTCTTTTTTTCTTATTTTTTATTTTGGTCTTGAGCTGTTACGTCACGCCGCGGTGGTGGCGCTTCGGGCGCACTTCCGGTCTAGGAGTGTGGGCGGAAGTCGCCAAGCGTCTTCGCACGCGGTGTCTGGCAGCTAGCACCCCCGCTATGACCTGACGTGAGAAACACGAGACGGTGTGTACCTTGAGGCATGCGCGCCGAGAGGGCTTTCACGCGCTCGAAGAAAGCCAAAAGCTGTCTTGAACGTGCAGGATCGGCGAGAAGGGCGACTGGGACACGATGAACAAGGTGATGACGTCGGACAACAGCACCAACTTCCAGGTGATCGGCCTCAAGCCCTTCACCGTCTACTCCTTTCGGGTGCTGGCCGTCAACGCTATCGGCGCCAGCAAGCCCAGCAAGGAGTCCTTCTACATGGTCACGCTCAGGGAAGGTGAGACACGGATCCTCCTCAAGTTGTCTGCTACAACTCTGACAAAGCGTGGGGCTGCATGCATTACGTTAAAAGCCCAGTTAGTTCCACCAAGAGAACAACGAAAGTAAGAAACTTCCGTATCATATGTGTCCTGGACTTTATATCCCCATCCAACACGCCGATCACAAGGTTGGGACCTTGTGATCGAAGAATCCCCCCCCCCACGCACGCACGCACGCACGCACGCACGCACGCACGCACGCACGCGCGCACACACACACACACACGCACACACGCACGCACACACACACACACACACACACACACACACACACACACACACACACACACACACGCACACGCACACATACACACACACACGCACTGCCGCCTCCGTGGCTCCGAGGCGGGAGCGCCGGCCTACGGATCCCCAGGTGGCGGGTTCGAATCCCGACTGAGGTGCCCGCAATATGACGGAGGCTTATTGCGGAGGAGGCGCCGTGTAACCGAGCTTTCGGTTGCACGTCAAAAGATCCCCAGGTGGTCAAAATTAATCCTCAGGCCTCCGCTGGGGCGTGCCAGATGCCCGTCGTAGGTTTGGCACGTAAAACCCCCAAATTTGACTCTTTGACACACACGCACACGCGCACGCACGCACGCACGCACACACATTGTGCGTACTGTACATGCAAATATCAGATACCGAAATTAAAAAAGCAAAAAAAAAAAAAAAAACTTTCTACTAAGGTTGTTTTTTGACTGTGCTTATACATCATACAAAAGACACGGTGTTCGCTAGCTTCATTCGATTTACCTGCACCTCCTGCACCGGGGCAGAAAGGTTCAGGTCGGTGTACTTCCGGTAGTATCTTAATACACATACCGGAAGTACACAGTGTACTTCCGCACTGTGTACTTCCGGTACTCCCCTTCTGCACCGGTGCAGGTAAATCGAACGAACCTATTGCAGGCACGATGACAGAATTATCTGCGGATCCGCCTCGAGCATATTTGCTTCATTCGTCTGCATCTTTTTGCAGGGGTTGTGATGAGGTCAGAACGCTGAGCTCTGATTGGTTCTGTTTGAAGGGTAGTGGGTAGACCTCAAAGCAAGCTGCCTCGACGTCTACCCATTATCCTTCAATCAGAGCCAATCAGAACTCGGCGTTCTAACGTCACCGCAACCCCTGGAAAAGTAGCAGACGGACCTACGCTCCGCATACATATCCGTGCTTCTAACATGTCTGCAGACAGATTTTGTATGACCAGTGCGACAGGAGCGCCACACAAGGAAGAAACACGTTTCAGACAGTGTCTGTCAGTCAGTGTGACGGCGGTTCAAAGCTCTCAATTAGAGACCAAACTGCGTGCAGATAGCCCACTCGATGCTCGTGGAACCATACACTCCTGTATACTCACCCGTCCGTGTGTGTTCGTGCGCGCAGTGCCGGAGGGGAAGCCGACCATCGTGCACGCCCAGAACACGAGCAGCTCGTCGGTGCGAATACAGTGGACGGCCCCTGCCCGGCACACCATCCACGGGGAGTTCGAGGGCTACCGCATCACCTACAGGCCCCGGGACCGGACGCAAGAGGAGAGCCGAGAGATCATCCTCAGGGACAGCAAACAAACGGTATACCTCACGCAGCTCCCGACTGTCCTTCTGATCGCCAGGGTGTACCATTTTTCTTCACTGCCGCACCGAGATACCGGATTCGCCGAGACAGCAGAGACGGCCGCTGTCTCTGCTGTCTCGAAGGGTTTCCGCGACGACAGATGGCGGCAGCCACCCCTCCCGATTAAAGTTCCTCGGTGCGTGCTTCCGCAGCACTGAAACGAGCGGCCCCCGGAAGCGGACGGCAGCGGAGCGCCCCCTCGTGGCACGTCGTTTTGCGCGTTCGCAGAACAATGGTTGACGCTACTCGTAAGAAACGCGAAGCGTGCATTCCATCAAGGGCCTCTACTCCCGATTCAAAGGCTGAAATGCCAGAGGTTGCGCGCATCCATCCGTTCCAACTACGCAAAAGCTGTCGGTGTCAAGACATTGGATTTTCGCGGAGTAAGATGTATTCACAAGTATTTGCTCCCCGTCTCGCTCTTTCGCATATCTTCCTTTAGGTGGCGTCACAGCCCCTTGGTGTCTATTAATGTGTCTAGATTTGAGAGTGGTTCCAACTGCTTGATCACGCGAATCGTATGCATGTGCGAACATGCAACTGTGCGAGGGGGGCGTGCGAAATTAAATTGCAAGCGCTCTGCATGGTTTGAGTTTAGATAATGTATCTCTAATAATTTTTAAAAAAGTGTTTTTTTTTTTTAGGTTAGGGCGGGAATTCTGCGAACTAAATAAAATACGGCACAGAGTCAGATATCAGGATATAGACAACACGTGGAGAGGATGATGAGACGACTGAGTACTTGGTAACCTGCTGTAAAGAGCTTCACCCTGCAGTTGCGGAGTGTGAGACATGATTTGGTAAAGGCGCTGAGGACAGTGAGGGAAGAAAAAACGTTGGAAAGGTGGAGTTAACCAAGCAGAAGGTAGAGGTTATCTGGCTGGTGGAGTATGTCGAGGTGACGAATAACTTTCTTATTCCTTTCTTTTCGTTGGGCGGAAGGTGCGCTTCCATCACACAAGTAAATTTGTTTTAAATAAATAGCAATATTATTGTTGTATGTGAGTAAATATGAGCTGGCAGGACTTAAAACACTGACTGGGTTGCGCAAACCGCCACCCGATCAAATGGGGTCAGTATTCATCCAGCCATCCATCTGCCCACGTGTGGCGTAGCGTGGCGTCAACTTTACGAATGGTCGTTATTTCTCCCTAGTGGAAAATGTGCCTACAGACAGTGGTGCGATCAATGGGGCTAGTTGGCGCCAAAACGCAAAGATGAACAGGGAAAAGACGCCATGAAAACGATTGTTTTAGTCTCCTCTCCCCGTGCGCCTTTCTCCTTTGGGCGCGTGTCGTCCATTACGTATATACATATGCAGGGTGGCTCAAATAGCGGCCAGGCTCTTTACATCGACCGCAAAAATCGGTTTCTTAACTTATCGCGGTACGATTTTGTGCACCGTTGCCCGCAGGTGGTGCGTTTTTGTTTTTTTTTCTTTTTCTCTCATAGAGTAGGTACGTGTCTCACAGTCAAGCCCGCACCACGAACGGCACGATGCTCTTTGGAATTGTAGCCTACATTACTTCCGGTTTTTCGGCAATCTTGTACCGGTGAGCTCACAGGATTTTTGCGGCCTTCGGTACACCCTGCCACTGCGTACCGAAGAAAGCAGTTCTGGTAGCATCGATGTTTTGTGTGAAGGAACGATTCTAATCGTTGACTAGGTAGGAAACGGGGCTATACTTCGTCTTTCATCGTGTTCTTTCATCGCTGAAACAATCATAAACAGAAGATGCCTAACTTGCGCGTTTGACGCTGTTTGGTTAATCCCATTGCCACGTAGCGATGATGCAAACCAGCACCCAAAACACAGGTCCATATCACACGAGCGAAGGATACGTTTTCGCAAACAGCGACATTTGAGCGAATCGGCGTTTTAGCCAATAAAGCCGCTTCGCGGCGACAGTCTGCGGCGGCTCATTACAAAAATGTGAACCTACTTGGCCCACCCGTACACGACAGGGCACATGCTACCTGAAAACTGTAGTTCTTTTTATTTGTTTTTTTTTTAAATACCTAAACAAAGGAAGTCGATTCTGAGATCGTTCTTTTGTGGTGACAACTCAATCTAGACGCTCCAAGCATCCCAACAAAGTGCGTAGCTTATTTCCCCGTTAAAAGCGTGTTCAAAGATCGCGTCACGCCCTTTTTGGGGAGAGTTTTCTTCCGAGTGAAGTGGTCGACGAAGGGCGCTCGTCGGCGAGTTTCAAACGATGGCTTCGCCCGGCGGTGAAAAAAGGAGTCTTATCCGAATGTGTACCTATCAGACTCTCTTCGAAACAAGTTATAATAAAATTCGGAATCTGCGCGTATTGCAGGACTTTGCAGGACTTTCATTGGTCCACAGAATGTAGTCCGCGAGAAAAGAAGAGAGCATATGTTTTTCTATTGCCCCAAAATGAATTGGCGGTTTTGAAGAAGAAGAAATGGGTTGTGTGTAAAAGCTGTTAACGGGCGACGATTGGCGGTTTTGTAACATAGGGCTTGGTATATGTGGGAACTAACACCTTTTAAACAATATAAGATAAAAAAAATGAAAGCCGTTTACAGCTCCCTGTAACGCCTAATTAGAGCGCAGCTCTTGGGGAGGAGGATGGAAGGGTACTGAGGGGAAGGTATACTCCTCCTCGTCATCCTGCCTGCTACTCCGTTACGTGACCCCCGTGGCGTCACGGGGGTCACGCGACCTCACGGTTACGCCGACGGCGACGCCGCTCAAGCCGGAAACGGGCTCCCAGGAGCTGCGCTCTAAAACGACCTGTTTCAAAAATGGCTTCAGTGCCCCTTTAAAGTTGAAGCTTGGGCTAGTTGGTGTGACATCTTTAAAAGGTTGAAACGACGCAAACGACGAGGGACGAGAAAGAGAAGGACACATTCACAGCGCCGACTGTCAACTGAATTTTTATTCCATCGTGACCGCACACTAAATACTTGTTTGGTCAAGGCCATAAAGAAAAAAGTGAAAGCCGTTTACAAATCCCTGTAACGCCGAATTGGAGCGCAGCTCTTGAGGAGGAGGAGTGAAGGGTACTGAGGGGAGGGTAGACCCCTCCCCCTTCTCCTCCTCCTCCCCTCATTCTTTAACATGCTCCGGGGGGGGGGGGTGTCACGTGACTTCGGGGAGGGGGTCACGTGACCTCGGGGAGGCGTGACCTGGGGGTGACCTCAAGGCCACGTGACCCCAAAGGTGACCCCCACGTGACCTTGGGGGTCACGTGACCTGGAGGGGTCACGTGACCTCAGAGGGGTCACGTGACCTGGGGGTCACGTGGGGTCACGTGACCTTGAGATGACCTTGGAAGGGGTCACGTGACCTTGGGGAGGCGACCACGTGACCTCGGGGGTCACGTGACCTCAGAGGGGTCACGTGACTTGGGGGTCACGTGACCTTCAAAGGGTCACGTGGGGTCATCTTGGGGTCACGTGACCTTGAGATGACCTTGGAAGGGGTCACGTGACCTCGAGGGGTCACGTGACCTTCAGGGGGTCACGTGGGGTCACGTGACCTTGAGATGACCTTGGGAGGGGTCACGTGACCTTGGGGTCACGTGACCTTGGGATGACCTTGGTTACGCCGACGGCGACGGCGACGCCGACGCCGACGGCGACGCCGCTCAAGCCGGGAACGGGCCCCTAAGAGCTGCGCTCTAAAAAGAAGATAAGACAGTCCTTCATCAACGCCACAAGACCACCGTATCGCACGTGCGCAGTTTACACCATAGTCGGTGACAGGTCAAGAACAAAGTGGAAGCTTTTCCCACCTCTTCAGTAGAGCGAGCGGTGGAGAGAAGGTCGTTTCCTCTCCACCGTTCGCTCCGCTGAAGTGGAAAGGGGTGGGAGGAGCTTCCACTTCGTTCTTGACGAGCAAGATAATCGATTTCTCTGTTAGATAGGGCAATAATAATAATAATCTTTATTTGGACTCCTTGAGACGTGCAGCTGACACTCTCGGCGCCTCGAGGCGTTGGAGATGTCTAGATTTGTGTCAGCTGCCCGTCTATTGCCCTATCTAACAGAGAAATCGATTATCTTGCTGGTCACTAGTGGAAAATGCGCGCGTGCGATACGGTGGATTTGTGGTCTCGATGCATGACTGTTATCTTCTTTCTTGATGGTCTTGACCAAACAAGTATGTATTCTGCGGTCACGATGAATGAAAATCCAGTTGAGAGTCAGCGCTGTGTGTGTGTCCTTCTGCTTCTCGTCCCTCGTCGTTTGCGTTGTTTTAACCTTTTAAAATTATAACATTAGAGTTAAACACGCTCCAACAAACGAAAAAAACTGCTAAAGGTAGGATTTCGATGAACCAGTCAAACCATGGTGGTGCGCACAAACTAAAATGAACTCTTCTCACTCGATGGTGTGTGCGTGTTTTTATCCTTGGTATGAGTTTCTTGTTTCTTCTGTTTACGCGAAATCAGCGACTTCTATTTTCACCGTGTTGTTGCCACAGCCGCTGAGTGTCACAATAGGCGGGGAGTTTTCTGTTAATTTAGTTCAGAAACAATTTGTAATTAAAAACAAAAGCGAGTGTACTTTAAGTTCGAGGGAAAAACAAACAGAATCAAGGCTTACTTCTTGTACTGACTAGTCAGTCACGTGGATGGACTCCTGTCTTTGCCTTTGGAGTTGGTCAGAAATAATTGTGTATGCGCCATTTACGAGACTCAGACGAAACCCCGAAATACCCGCATTACCCGCAGTGTGCCCGCATAATAATCGAACCACTGATCTTCGCCACCGCGCGATTCGAATCATTTCCGCGTCAAATTTGAACATTTCGAGCTTCTGCGCCTGTGCTGCCATCTGTTGTTTCCATTCAGCACCGGCGCTCGTCAAAAGCGGTGGTGCCGGTAGAAGGTGCGAAGAAAACTGCGTAGTCGCTAAAAGTTTTTTCGTAAGATTTATTATTTGTAAAGTTTTTATTTCATTTCCTGGTTACAGATCACGTCCAGTTTTGTTACAGCCACAGACAAACAACGCTTGCAACTCCGGAAATATTTTATGCCCAACGAGGGCTAACAGAGAGGACTCTCTTATTTCGTGTTGAATTCGAGCTCCGCCGCTCTTGACAATAAAGTGCGATTTGATTCCTTTTATCGATCGCACGAATCTTCTCCCATTAAACTGACAAAACAATGAATAACTTCACGTCAGCTGTTGTTCATGAAAGTCGCTTTGAAAAATCCCAAAACTCTAAACACGCTCGTGTCGAACAAACGAACGCACCTCTACTCAGCGAGAGAGTTAGCGAGAGTCGGCGAGAGTGACAACTCGGAAACGCTTGGGATCGAGACTATCTGCGCCGCCGTACTTGGCGTGTGCTCGTCGATTGTTTTGGTTTTTGTATGTGCGCCCATCTCTCTCCGCCGCTCGTTCCCGTTGTCTGTGTTGTTGTGTGTGCGTGTGTTGAATGTAGCGAGAGGGCAGACCCCGAGCCCCGGAGTTCGGCCGCAGAATAAGAAGCGAAAAGAAACAAAAACGCGCACGCACAAAAGATGTTCTCCGTAGCGTCTTGCTTCCTATGCAAGCGGTCGTCGACTTAGTGCTCAAGCATCGCTTTCTAAAGCCTCCCAGCAACGCTGGAAAAAAAAAGGACTGGTTTATTGGATAACTTATCCGTTCATCGTCATCCATTCAGAGGTGATTACTGATCCCCATCTTTTCGATTTCGATTAAGCGCGATCGAACATCGCTGTGTCTGTGAACGCGTTGTACGGCGTTCTGTAAATCGCCACTAGCCACCCCCGCGAGTTCGTGAAATTCGGCTCATACAAAAGATCGGCGTTCGCCCCGGTCGCTTCCGCGTTTTTCAATGATTCTCGAAGCGTTCTGGGTTTGAAAGCATTGTACGGTGGAAAACGCATCGGATGCGAGTGATCGAGATAGTCGTCCTTGATTTGCGAGCCTTCGTAATTCTCATCGTACGTGGAGTAACCGTCGTGTTTTGGTTTTCCCGGACATTGGGTAAGGTTCGTTGATGCTTCGACAAAGCATCGTGATCAGACTCGGCACCCCGGGTCACTTTATTCCCCCTAAAGATGATGATCGCGCATAGCGCCGATGTTCTGATAAACCAAAGTTATTCCCTGTTACAACACTGCTCTTGGCGCTTACAAGGTCTCTAGACGCTCTATCGCAAGAGTCGCGTTCAAGGACTCGGCATATAAACAAAAATAAATAGGGTTTTCTCTTTGGCTTTGCTTATTTTGCCCTTTTTAGTGTGTCTCGCTTTACTGTGTGAGCAGCGATTGAATGAGTGTTGCTGTAATGCCGAAGATATATGATCTCGCACTTTAAAAATACATTTCATGTTGTTTACTTTTGTGTTTAGCTTTAATAGCGATTGCTTCCTTTTTCGCTTTTTTTTTTTCTTTATTACTGCTTAATTGATTTTTAACAAGATTACATTTTTTTTTCTTGGTCGTTCTGACATTACCAAACTTATTTCAAGTCCCTCAAAATTAACTTCCACTTATGAATGGGCATAATGACTGCTGGCATTATGCCCATTCATAAATGATAGCAACCGTTTAGTAAGCATTTTCCCTAAGTATTGTCCGAGTGATGTAAACTGCCCTTTAGGGTCGTCACAGTCATCCCACATGGTTGACTGTAATAACTTTTTTTTTATAGATTTCACTATAACTTTTAATGGCTTAATATTTAGCTACGTGCGGCACCTTTATTCACTGTGCAGCTGCTCTCAAGTGTCTCTTCCTTCTTAATTTGGAAGACTTCCACAAATATGACGGCACTCTGATGTCGTAGTAGATTACTGACTTTTATAGATTAATCCTAAGGTTCAGACAAGAAGTAATGTCCCGGCATGCAATGAAAACGGCCTAGCAGTGTGGGCTTACTGCTGCGATAAGTTGAAGCATGCAGCAAGTGCACCAACATCCAGAATGACGATGGCACAAGTTCAGTTTTGGAGAGGGGTGCTGAGAAAACATGGTGGATGGGTGGGGCTTGTTTTCCGTCGGATTCCGCTGATTTTCTGGTGACTCACAGTTTCATCCACTGTTTTAAAATGTCCTCTGGTGAAGTCGCAACATTTTTTTTTTTTTTTCGGTGTCCAAAATGTAATATGCCAAACTTATATTGAGGTGGACTTTTTAGGCCTTCCCCCTTTGTACGCGGGTTGGGTCACAGAGCTGTGATTCTCTGCCATGGTTGCTAGACTTCTGAAGAGTACCATGCTCCTCTCGTATGAAGATGCTCCACAAATGGACCATCAAGTTTTGTCCTGCCGCCTTGACCAAGGCAATGGCAGCGTTAGCTTAACTTCGCGATTGTTTCAAAGAGCTTGCTGGGGCAATATCCTGCCCGAGGCTAATGAGGGTGGTTGGTGACTGTGGTTCGTGTTGCTTCTATTGTGTTGCAGCAATATACAATCCGCAACTTGGAAACCTTTACCCAATACCTGGTGTCGTTGCAAGTGTTCAACCCAGCCGGCAGGGGACCTGCTGTGGTCGTTCCGGTCATGACGGATGAAGGCGGTATGTTTCTTTGGTGGAGGGTTCACAAACCGATACTGCGTTTGAATGTTGCACACCCTGTACAAGCATACTGACACGACGGCAACACAAGTGTACTCGCGCGCGGCATCACTGTTCCTGAAGATTCCTTGTTGCAGTGTAATTTCAAGTTTAGAAGTGAACCATTCCTTTTACTCTCTCCTTCAGAAAGCTTGAAGACATAGTTGTGGGGATACCCAAAGGGATGATAGTCGAATGTAACTCGTGGATTCGACACGAGCAGTGCATGACCACTTTACTTGGCCTCGGTTACAATCGACGCGTTAGCAGACGTTCGGGTTGGCTCGCATTCAACTGCTGCGGTGACGGGGATAGCCGAACTCTAACCATGGAGAGAAACCCTAATACATGTTTCCTAGGTTACGGACGTCAGAAAGCATTCCGAGCAGTATCTAGACGAAATAAGAAAATTGTTTCAAGGCCCTTTAGAGGGACACTGGTGTGAACTGGTGTGAATGTGACCCAAACCACTGGAGGAAATAAAGTTTAATATCGTCATTAACTCCAGAGCTTAATGCTACAGTTGAACCCAGCCCATAACGACAGTGACTGCAGCAGTCTGCGATTGCTACATTTTCCAGTGTGACGTCTTCAGGTCAGGTCGCAGACGTCTTATGACCCATGCTTGTCATCTGCCTGCAGTGCCCAGCTCGCCCGTGAACCTGACAGCTGTTCGGGTCACGGACACGACGGTGCGCCTGAAGTGGCGTGAGCCTGTGCGGCCCAATGGGGTCCTGCAGGGCTACCACGTCTACTTCCAGCCGTCCCGCAACGGGTCCTCCCAGCAGCAACGCAAGACGGTCTCGCATCCACAGCCCGTTGAAGAGTACATGCTCAGCGGACTCAGTGAGTTGCAGCCCTTTTTCTGGTGCGCGTCGTCTGCTTTCTGTGGAGGACGTCTACCTTGCTTGGCAGGCATCTGCTTTCTCTGAGTGGTGTCTGCTTGATCAGTGTCTCCTTTCTCTGTATGACGTCTGCTCTTTATGGCAGATATCATTTTTTTCTGAATGACATCTGCTCTAATTAACAGACCTCTGCTCTCTCTGTATGATGTCTGCTTTGCTTGGCAGGCGTCTGCTTTCTCTGAATGATGTCTGCTCTTCCTGACCTTTGGCTGCTTTCTCCATGTGACGTCTGCTCTTTATGGCAGACATCTGCTTTCTCTGAATGACGTCTGCTTTTCATGCCAGATATCCGTCTTCTCCCAATGACATCTGCTCTGCTTGGAGGGTGTCCGCATTCTCTGAATGATGTCTGCTCTTCCTGACCAGCTCTTGCTTTCTCTGTATGATATTTGCTCTTTATGGCAGATGTCTGCTCAATGCAAATTTGTGGTCTGCTTTCTTTGTCACATATATCAAAGCGGTGATGTACCCTTGTCCCATTTACTTTTTTATGCTTTGTCCTTGTCTTTTTTGCATGTTGTTCATATTCTATCCACATGTTGCTTTCCTTGTATTGCATCAGCCAAGCTGAATATCATCTGGTTTCTTTCGAAGCCGCATGCCTCTTTTCCTGCACAATGCCTGCTATTTGGGTACCTTTCCTCAAATGAGCATCTCGCATGGTTTATGAGCTTTTCTACATACTGTATAAATGCGTGTAAGGGCCACACTTTTTTTTTTATTCTATTTTTCTGGGTCGTGGATGTGCATAAAATTGCGCAGCGATCACACGGCGTGATGCGTTTAGACAGCGGCAGCTGTGCTGCTTATTCAACGATGTGACAATGACGGTCGATTGACGTTGCGCCAATTGTGCGTCATACACTGATCTGAAATCGAAATGATGTTGCGTTGATTTTGCATCGAGACGTTGTTGATGAATAAATAATTTTAAGGTTGTGATGTGTTTTCTTGCTAAATCTAGGGGGGAAACTAAATTGGTGCATAGGTCATGTGATGTAAATTTTGTTCCTAAATTTAGCGGGGAACCTGAATTTGTCTGTAGATCCCATGACGACTGGTCATGTGACATTAATTTTTCCACCAAATTTAGCGGGGAAACTTTTCGTTTACGCTCGCGCCGTCGCGAAACCGGAGGACAGGCCATAAACAGCTGCCGCTATTAAAGGACACATGCAAAGGAAAAAAACATTTTTTTTAGAACAGCTTGGATGGAAAAAGAATATCATAAAACAATTTTACAACAAAGAAAAAAAATTTTAGAGCTATATTTACTGCGCTATACGAATTTGTAGTTGGCGCCGGCGGGCGCCGCGGAAAAGTGGCCCTTGACGGGCCCATATTTGTCATGTGGTGCTTGCGCTCTTTCGGAAGCTTCCTATGGCCTCTAAAAGTAACTTATTCATCTTTGTTTGAAGTATAACAAAAAACTAAAATGAATAAGTAACTTTTAGAGCCCAAAGGAAACTCCTGAAAAAGCGCAAGCAGACGTGGTAGACCTGTGCGCCGGTCAGACGACGGCGGCGGCGCCCCGAAGCAGACGAACTTGTGCGGCGGCGGCGACGGCGGCGTGGAGAAACACGTTGAAGCGGCATTCGCATAACGCTCAGCGTGCGGCGGCGACGCAGCGCGGTGGCACGCGGGCCTACCACGTGACCAGCAGCGGCTCCCGCGAGCTCCCAACTACAAATTCGTATAGCGCCGTAAATACAGCTCTAAAAATTTTTTTTCTTCGTTGTAAAATCGTTTTATGACATCCTTTTTCCATCTAAGCTGTCTAAAAAAAATTAATTTTTCTTTTGCATGTGTCCTTTAAAGAGTATATACTTGCTATCACACACAGTGGTCTGGAGCGCCTTTACTTCGAGCTGGATCTTCGTAACCTGCGGCATATTCGGCGCATGAGTCTGACCAGCATCAAGAGTCGCCAGAGGTGCTCTGCGGAGTCGTTCCCCAAGCATGTTTTCAGGGTTTGAGCTAGCCATTTATTCCGCGGAATTTTGCCTCATGGTCCTTTTGACACCGAGCTGACATTGAGCGGCCGCAACATACTAGTGATAGTGAGCCCACCTTGGATTGCACGCTTTGTACAGCGTCGTACACAAGTCTCGTCGACTCAGTGTTTGCGACCCGTTGCGTGTCTGCCACACTCCAGGGCATAAGTAATCATGGTTTGAAAGTACTTGCCCATTGTTCTCAGGTTGTGGAACACGTATAAACAAACTCAGCAGAACAGAACATTCACGAAGCCCAACGGCGACGTACAAAAACCCGAGTGCCCGATTTTACGCCGGCAGTTGTGTCATAGTCAGAAGGCGACCATGGACAATATGAAAACCTAAAGAAGGACATCTTTCTGAAGCTTTACTCAGGTAATCTTTCTCATCTGCGCTCCAAAAGGCGGTAGTAGAGGCGTGAACAGGGCGGAGACGCGGAGCCTGGTGCATGCCAAACTATGGACGCGGTAGGCTTGCCTTGGAAAGAGTGTGGGAGCAGCTAACACACAAATAACTTTTTTTATATTTTTTTTTTATATTTTGGTTTGAATAGGAAAGGGGGGGGGGGGCGGGGGTGCAGTCCTCACACGAGTGCGGCCCATGCACTCATCTATACAGCATTGACAAGTCCATAAAGTTGAAAATATTGAGTGTGAGAAAAATACGTATCACCTTTTTTGTTTAATGAGGTTCTTGCAACGCAGCCAAAGGCAAAACCACGTTGCGCTGTCAGAACGCACAACCCACGAAGTTGACCGCCTCGCAGCAGCCAAATATCTACTCAAAACAATGCGACTAATTACTTATATGAAAGAGGGACATGGAAGACAATACAGATGATGACAGCCCATGTCGTCTGTATTGCCATCTGTGTCCCTGTTTCATTTTTGTAATTTAGACACCAACACACTCAACAACTCACGACGTAACCATAGTTTGTTTTACTTTATGTGCGAGTGAAATTGAGGCTACAGACATGGGCGCTCTGCCCTGAACAGTGCTCGCACTGCACGTGCACAAACGCTCGGCAGGGATGTTGAAATCCCGCTGCTCATTCTCGTACCTTTCGCCACGCTCGCACTTAGTGAAACCGAGCATGGTCATAGGGGCCCACACAAATCATCATCCCTAAAGCTGTCTCGCCATTCCTAAACATTTGGTTCCTAATTTGCGCGGAGGCCATAAAGACCGAGCGTTTTTGTTGGCCTGCCCTTACCGTGCATCGACTCTGCGCCATTCACACACCTACAACCGGGTGCGACCGAGAGAGACAAGACCGGTCTTTAAGCCTCTTGCGACAGCGGAGGACCGGATGTACTGCTGCAGAGGAGGTCTTACGCCATCGCAAGAGGCTTAAAAACTGGCCTTGTCTCTCCCGATCGTACTTGGTTGCAAGTGTGTGAATGACGCTTGAAGGCCCGTTTACACACTTGCAACCGAGTAGAACCGATTGAGACGAGACCGGTTCTTAAGCCTCTTAAGAGTAGGACCAGGTTCGCAGCGGCGCACCCGGTCCTAAGCTGTTGCAAGAGGCTTAAAAATCGATCTTGCCTCGGCAGGTTCCACTCGGTCGCAAGTGCGTAAGCAGGCATTTAACCGCAAGGGATGCCTCTCACCAATCTTTTGGCGGTCCCCCTTCCCCTTCCCTCCCCTGTCTTCCCCTCTCCATGGCAGAGCCCTTTTCGTTCTACGACATTTGGGTGAAGGCGTTCACCCAGCAGCACTTGGGGGAATCCAGCAACCTGCTCAAGGTACAGACGGACGTTCAAGGTGAGCACCCATTCCACCTTCATTGAGTCGACTAGCTTCCTGGCCGGTGAAGCGCGTGGCTTGTAAGCCCAAAGCCGCGGTCGCACCGCCAGTACGTCCTACAAAAGGCAGCCTGCAAACACTGTCTGAGGCCTGTTTGTTCCTCCTACGAAAACTGCCCTTAGGCACGTTCCACATTCAAAGCATACAAATGTATGAAGCGAGCGGTGCGAATGCAGCTCGAGTGTCGCGTCCTTCCCCGCAGGCCCCAGTGCCCCGGTGATAGTGAACCTGACGTGCCAGTCATTGGACAGTCTCTTCCTACAATGGGAGCGACCACAGACCTACTACAACAGGGTGGACTACTACTTTGTGCACTACCGTTCTGAGGAGGCCTGGAGCTTTGAAGAGATCGCCATGGCTGCCAACGACCGGCTGGAGCACGTCGTGAGTTGCATGCGAAGTCCATGCAACATGCACCTTTGTAAACATTGAGCGTAGTAAGAGACGCTTCGTAAATAACGTTGATGCAACGTAAAATCGTCAATGCCACTTGAGTGTTTTTTTTTTTTATATAGCAGATTCTTCGTTGTTTTGAGTTCGCTCAGTTCGGTCATTTTACGCTGGACGGATCCTCGACACATGATATGTACCGAACCGCAACATTGATGATTGGGTTAGTCGGTTCGTCCTCAAAAGTAGAAACAGTGCAACGACATGGGCGGAGTGAAAGAATAGTAAAGAAGACTGACAAACAGCAGTGCTGTTCTCTTCTTTAACAACATGGACGGAGTGAAAGAATAGTAAAGAAGACTGACAGACAGCAGTGTTGTTCTCTTCTTTACTCTTCTTGTACTTTGTTTGTGTCGTTGCACCACTTGTAGTCTTAATACTTTACCATGTACCGGCACGCTTGTAGCACAATGCACCAGCCCCTAGGTGGAACCAGCCTCATTTCCAGCTGGAAAATATTTTCCAGTTCCATAATCCAGTTCCAGTTGGTTCCAACTGGAGTGGTTTTCACCTGGGCCTTAAAAGAGACATAATATACTCTATGCTTTTCACATGATGCCTTCTTGCACGTTCGATTCCCGTTGCACAGATGTTCATTCCCAACCTGACGGCCAACACTCTGTACGAGGTGAAGGTGCAGGGAGCGACTCGGAGCATCATTGACCAGACGACGGTTTTCAAAGGGCAGTTTTCTGATTCCCGGAAGGTGCTCCTTCAGAGTAAGTGTCAGAGTAAGTTGACCCACGGGGATGGACACTTGCCCCCCACCGTCACCACTCGTGGTTCCTTCTTCTTCTTTGTTCTCTTTGCAAATCCGTCTGTACCACAACTTCTCTCTTTATATGCCTGCCATCGCTTCGGTTCGAGAGAATGTGCACTATCAGGATGCATCTTTTGCCTTGTAAGGCTGCTGTACGATTGTTGCATGCCTTTCTTGCAATTTCTGTGCATGTTGTCCGCTTCTGCCAAATATCGTCTGCTCCTGCAGAATGCTGTCTGCTTTTGCCGAATGCCATCTGCTTTTGCTGAATGTCACCTGCTTCTCTCTCCTGCCTGCCCTCTAATGTCCCCACTTATGATCTGCTCCTGTTGAATGTCGTCTGCTACTATGCCTTAGCATATCTTGGTTCTCTACTGTTCAAGACAGTGCAAACCGTTTGTCCAAGCACTTCATTATTTTGAGTTGAGTATACTCACTCTTTGCATTGCCTTGTCTCAGTGTGGTTGGATGATGTTTGCCGTAGGTATTCTATCTTTCGGAATGTGTCTTGGATATGCTACTTATGTTGTTTTTGTGGGCACTTCTCTTGGTAGTGACTCATTGTTCTAACAAGGACTCTGTTTACTTCCTTGTCGTAGTTTTGGCAGTCCTTTCTGGTTGTGCTGTGACCATTTGATTTGCTTTAGCTTTCCGCTTATACCTCTTTTGTATTTTGGGGCCCCCCTTTTCGTTCTTAACCCTCTAAGGTCTTATCCCTTCCAAAAATGTACCCCGTGCCATGCCAGGACTTGACATATTTTAAGACCAAGTTAACTCATTTCGATTTGCTTGTTTCATACGTTAACACCGATAAGAGATGTTTAGGTTCCTTTAACCCAAACTCCTTTAATAAAATACAAAACTGAGCCCATTAAACCCTACATGAGGAAGGGGAAAAAATCTGTCCACCGTTACTTGCTGTTAGATGTCAGATATATTCTGTAGATATTTATTGACATTTTTATTGGTTTGTATTGTATTTATGGAGACAGAGAGCTACCCTTTTCATTCATGTGTTACCTTTCTTTTATTATTCAAATGTATGAAAGCTGAGAAGACCTCTTAAAGGGTTAATGCTGCTGCTTTCTTTTTATTGTTACAGTCAAAGCTTGTTTATTGTTGGCATGGTTGCAAGGCTCCTATTATGACGCCACTACTATAGGTGCACTCGACAAACAATCTTTGACTGTAATTTATTTTTCCGCCTCTTTTAGGCATTTCTGAATGCCGCTTGACCTTTCAGAGCTTCTTTTGCGAGCAATTGCAAGCATGCAGAAAGTGCATTTTAGATTGAAAGCTTTGCAAAAAAAAAAAAAGAGTGCCTGCAAAAAGTTGTCTTGACCAATGTGCAATGCAGACAGATACATACGACTTCTGCAACTGACCAGAAGTCATGTTTCATTCTCTCCGAGCTTGCGCGGCAGCTAAGCGAAACTGGTTTTGAGTCAGCTTTACCTCGGCACATGTCGGCGGCCCAAATCCGGCTTCCAGTCGGCAAGACTGGTTATTCGCCGGCTCCAGTGTGCCAGTTGCATATCCGGACCATGGCCAACTACGAGTCGTTAAATGTTGTCTAGACGTTTCCCGGATCACGACTTGAAAGTCTCGCTTAATTTTCTGTAGCGAGGGTTGGAGAACGTCCACACCACTCTACATGTCGACAAACCCGCAAGCAGTCATTTATAAAGAAACTGAGGGACACGGAATTCGCTGCACCCGTTTCAACACAGTGGACACTGCGCCACCTTACGAACGACATCACAGCCGAGCATCTGTCTGTCTTGCACACCGGTCAAGACGCGTGGCGTCGCCAACGCCGGCGTGGCAAGCCCGAGCACAACTTTCTGCTGTCTTTGCAGCGTTTGACGGTGCTTATGCGGACCCGAGTCTGAGTGCTGCAGTGGTGGCGGGCGTGGTGTGCGTGTCGTTCGCGCTCTTGCTGGCCATCATCTCCTTCGTCCTGTGGAAGTGAGTAGCACTCGCTTTTGTCGACTCTTATTTCTCGAGTTCGGGAGTTCACCGTGGTCACGGACGTTGACGAAAGCGGTGGAAAAGTCTTCGCGAGACGACGAAGCGACGACACTTCGTCACCTCATGCAGGTGCAGCCAGAGTATTGTGGAAGGCAAATAGTGCACGTTGGATGCCGGGCATTCGAGAGAGTCACCCTGCAGTTCTCGTCCCGTTGGTGACTACAATGCATTTGGGTTTTGTGCTGTTGCGCTCCTTTGGGGGAAATTGCGACCTTTGTTGGAGTTGCATGGTACTTCGCAAAAAGTGCTTTTCATCATGTCACACTTTAATCGTAAGTGTCTTCCATCACAATTGATACGCGCAAGGGGAAAGTATCATTAGATAGTTCTTCTTTCGGAACGTCTTCGCGGAACGTGGTGCTACCGTAATCGACAACTCTTCCTAGCCTGCGAGTCGCCTTAGCATTATCATTTCCCCGACGATTACGAGGGCCTATCTCTCTTTCTCGTAATCTCGCGACCAGAGTGGCCTCCGTAAAGGTTATCTCCCCACCTTTCCTATTTCGGTCTTCCTTGTGCGTAGCCTCGTTTTCTTTTTCGACGCCTCCATCAGTCAACAACGGAACACGCGGCAGTGATCGGTCTTTCCTTTGAAGGGTTTGCTTCCAACAGCGTCCTCGTCCTCCTCGCTCCTCTTATCAGCGGAGAGCACGCAGATAAGAGCGGCGCGGAGCTTTATCGTTGCGCGGAGCGGCGAGGAAGTGCGTGCGAGATCTGCAGTCTCGAGTTGTCCACAGTGTTGCATCGCCTTTGTGTCAGTCGTGGTTGAGGGGCAAGTCATCGCGGTCACCGCCATTCCACATGTGTCTCTTATGCAAGGCCTGCTTCAGCGACCTACCCAGGCTGTTCAGGTTCGACCAAAAAAGTCCACAACCAACAAAGCTGCATTGCCGGCTGTTTTGCGGTGCCCCCGGCGTCTTGCAGTTGCATCGTGCGAGTGTTGCCGCATTGCGAGAGCCCGTGCAAATGCCGCACCAATTGCTTTCTCTCGTTTTTTTTATGCTTCGTATTTTGAAAATTACGTCGCTGCTCTGCTGCACCTTATCTTCGAGAGCGGCGTGGAGGAGCTCTTGTTGTTAGGTATATCTGGCAAAGAAGCATGTATGCACTCCGATTTGCGGTCGAGTTTTACGACGTCGCTAGGAGGACGGCTGCGGCGACTGATGTGCGTTTGTTGTTGTGGTTATGGTTGCGTCGAGGCAGAAGTGCTCGGGGCATGCATCGTGCACCCAAGTCGTCTTGTTGGAGCATGTTTTATGGCGATTGCTGTTACGGGCTATTACCACCACTGGAAACGACGTCCGTTGTTCTGGTTGTTGACGAAGTTGTTCGTGGTGTAGGGCGTCCGTCGCCAATGTTGCAAAAATCCTCAAAAATGTTTGCCCGCCGCCTGCGGGAATCGAACCAGGGTCCGCTGCGTGCGAAGTGGAGACGTTACCTCTGAGCTGCGCCGCGGCATCAACAACCTGCTCTGTGCTTTGGGTTTTTGTAGTACCCGATGCCCACTGCACGCGCTCTCTGGAAACAAAAAATAGTCGATAACAAAATGCCGTTGTAGCACTGTTAAAGGGGCACTAACAGGTCAGAATCATATTTTTTTTATTTGAAACAAGTGAAAACGATGCTTGGACATTACCTTCAAAATTCAAAACTTGGGAACTCAGTATTTGTGAAGTAAATAACAAATTCCAAAAGTCGAATTTGAAATTCCCGCACGGTCCACGCCAGTCCAGTGACATCAACGATTGAGTCGTCCTGCAACTCGAGTTTCTCTCACGCCTCCGAACCCTCCAGACCAGAAGTGTCGTGTTCGGCCGCATTCCACGAACAACTGCTCTTTTCCGTGCGTGCCGCCTATCGATCTGAGCAGATGACGCTTCTTTCCGAGTTTGAAGTTCTTTTAGGACCCTTTCAGCGATCTCAAATTCTTTGAAGCGGTGCGAGGTTGAAGAGAACGCGCAGTAGGCTTTTATAAGCGACATGAGGGGCCACGTTGCGTCTGTTCTGCGTGAAAGGCTGCCCTGGCGGAGTCACAACCAAAACTATGGTACACAGCGACCAAACCCAGTTGTTTTGTCCGTTTGACGATTTCCTTTTCGAAGTCTGAGAAGTAGTTGGGCTCAAAAAAAGAACTTCGTCCGATTCCTCGACTTACCGATCATCCTCAGTGCTACATGTGCCCAGCGCCGCAGCGCTGCCATGTTTTCCCTGGGAGGATAAAAAACCAGGTGGCAAAAACTGCTCGGACGAGCCTAGTTTGTCCGTGGAATTGAGGGCTGCCGAAAAAACCACTGGACGAGCTGAGCTTGTCTACGGCATTTTTAGCCAAAAAGTGGCCGACGAGCTTGGCTCGTCAGAGGCACTTAAGGGGTTAAGAGACATGTTTTGCGAAACCGTTATTAAATAATAATAGAAATGTCACTTAAAAAGCTTCTAACTTTCATAATCGATTACGTCACAAGTAAAAAGACGTGAGGAGGAGAGAAAGGAGAGAGAAACGCCAAAGATAAAAAGGCGTGCGCACATGTAGGGACATTTTTTTTTTACGTCGTGGTATTTTTGTGCGTGTGTACAACTACAACATGCATCAATTTAGACAACAAAAAAAAATATGACCTTTGGGGTGTCAGTGCCCGCTTTAATGCCAAGAGCTTTGTGCCAGCAGATGTGCATTCACGCGCCCTTGAACAAAAAATGAAACAAGAGCAGTCGTAACAAGATGGTTGGACGTCTATTTTGTTCCGAACGCTTTTGTTCGTGCACCCCGCGGTGCGTGAACGCCACGCCGGTGCCCTACGACTTCGCTGAGACCTGTCACAGCTATACCTGCGACTGTGGAATATAAAAAAAACTGCTGAATTCTTTTCAATTTAGTTTTTTTTTTTTTTTTTTTGCGAGGCACGTTTAGTGTTTGTGGCTTTGTGTGAGCGCTGCGAGGCTTCTTGCCTTGTTACTATGGCCATGCCATAATGGCTTCCTATTAATACTCTTTTTTTTTTTTTTTCTAGTTTAGTAGTTTTGTGAGGGTCAGGAAATATTGTGGTGCTCTTCTCGACTCTCACAGCCCTTCAACCTCTGCTCGCATCGCGACTAGCACCGACCTTCTTTGTGTCTTTCCCACCACACCACTGGATTTTGTTTGCTTGTTGTAATTTCAATGACTGTCATTTCATTTTTATGTTTTCAATCTGAGGTTTTTACGAAAATTGTGAGGTTACTAATCACATCGAGCGACCTTGAGACAGAGGCTATCTGCCCACACTGTAGTATGGACACAAATTCTTGAATTAACTGTCGCATGAATCTCAAGAATACTCGTGTGCTGGCGCTTGTACAAGGAATCCATATTGAAGAGCCGTGCTCTCGGGCCTGTGCCATTGACAGTGCTACACAGAACTTGCGACGATGGCGTTCACCCGAAAGAAATTCGTCACTCCTGCAGTAAGCCACGGGAATAGCGCTCGGACGTCTGCGATGCATTTGTTGAGACGCTTTTATCTTCTCGAGTTTATCCAACGTTGGGTGGGATCTGCGGCCATTGTGCTTACCGTGTTCTCTCTTCCCTTCTCTTTCTGTAGGAAATATTTCCAGGCCGCTTACTATTACTTGGACGACCCTCCGGGAAACAGGGCCTCCCCCCAGCTTTCCGAAACGTTTGGTGAGTTGGCCAACGAATAGTTGTCCAAGTCTGTCAACGAGATGTTGCCACGACAATTTAATGAAACTGATTATTTCGCTGCATTCGACGATGTTGTGGCCATCCTTACTTGATGCCGTCTGCTGGTCGTCTGACGTGTGGTCTCGCTTCTTTGTTGCGTTGCAGACGACTCGGAATACGCTTCGGTGCACGTGAGCCAATGGGCGAAGCACGTGGCAGACTTGCATGCCGACGGAGACATCGGGTTCTCGAGGGAGTATGAGGTGAGTGCCGGTTTAATGGCAGTACAATACAGCCAGTGAAACTTTACTTTAACAAACTTCAAGGGACCAATCTGTGTGGCATGTGTTGAACGTTGCACGTGATCTTCGTGCTTCCAGACTTTCCAACACTGCACCGATCCGGATCTCACGTCGAGCTACTCCCAACTGAACGAGAACAAGCCTAAAAACCGCTACATCAACATCGTGGCTTGTGAGTTGTCCCGCTTTTCCGTCCGTCTCCGCTTCCTCTCGAATATGCCGAACCCAGAACAAGCGGCTGCAACGTTCTTGTCAACGCCGATATTTCGCCGCCGCGTCTTTCTTGATAATCGAACGTTGACGTCGAGTGTGGCATAGTGGATGTCCCGATTTACGTGAATAGCATGTACGTGCTTGAGAAGCAGGTTTCTCAGAATGCAAGGAACCATATCGCGCCTAGTTGACTCTGCGCGTTAGTGTCGCGCGAGCCGCCGGGTCGCTTACGAAGCGACAATCTTTGGCCTTACTTTGCAGATGACCACACTCGAGTCATCCTGAAACCCATCCCTGGCCAAAAGAAGTCATCGGACTACATCAACGCAAATTACATTGACGTGAGTGACGACGGCATGCCGGTAGCGCATGTTTCCACCTTGTGTGGGCCGTATTTAAGGCACATGAACCCTCGGCTCTGCATGGACGCTGCTATTATTGAGCTTGACTTTTCGTTTCCTTTTATTCCAGTCGCCTAGCTTTGTCGCTTGTGCTAAGATGAGAGGTTTTTCGTTACCTTTCTCTATGCCAGTGTTTTTATCACTAGTGTGGGTTTCTGTGCTGGTTTGGTATCACCAGTTGTGATTCAGCATCTCTGCAAGATACGGGGAGATCAGTGACGGCGGTTCTGGGCAAGCATCGACGGTGTCTTTTCGCACTTTCCGGCGACTTTTCGGGTCGATGTCTCTCGTGTAGAGCACCTCCTTCACCTGCCATCTTCGTAAGCAACAAGAAGCAAAGAACAAACTCCAGATTGCTACCGTTTTGACCGGTCCAGCATTCTGAGCGAACTAAGTTCGCAATTCTCGTCGCAATACCCGCATGTCAAGAAACGGGCCACCTTTTGTTCGACGGTGAACTGAAGTTTTGCGCAGGCCAAACGGTTTGCCGTGCGTGTTAACACTGCATGCTACGCATCCTTCTACATTCGTAGCATCTTTGAAATGGGAGGCGGTACGAATGTCTCTCTGTTTGTCTTTCAGAAGCGAGCACAAGTTTACCGTGTTGCTGAAAACTCGTGTAGTATTTCTCGCATCAGTCGAAGTCCCGGTCCAGTGTACAATGGGAGACGAAAAGTCTGTTGCGTCAAAAAGTCTCTCGCGACGACCTCCGGAAGTATAGCTTGCTCGAAATCCGCGAGACGGCAACTATGTCGTCGGGAAGTGCGAATAGACAGACTGTACCGAGCAGAGGCCAGTGGTACAACTTTTACAAGCCCTTCACTTTGCTAGCGTTGTTGGCAACCAGGGTGAAAGCTCTTCATGACCCCCCTCTCCTTTGACTCAGGGCTACCACAAGTCGAGGGCATTCATCGGCACCCAGGGCCCCCTGCCAGCCACGTTTGACGACTACTGGCGCATGGTCTGGGAGCAGCGGGTCTGCATCATCATCATGATCACCAACCTGGTCGAGAGAGGACGGGTGAGTCCCTTCTCTCTGTTTCTCTTTCTTGTATCCCTTTCTGTCTTTCGCTCACCTCCACAGAGAACGTCGCATCGTTCCAAAAGGTCATCCGTGCCGACCGCCAGATGGAATCCCGCCCCAAAATGCGGGATTTTTTAATGCGATAGCATTCTTTAGCTACTCCCCCCTGATCTCTTGGACTTTCTGGCCTCCTAATGTGCAGTAGGCCATTTCAGCTCGCATCCTCGCACCCCTTCACATTCGCACCCTCTTCGAAGGACCTGGCGACCTTGACGTCGTTTCTGAGGTTGTCCTAGATGTCTTTGACGTCGTCCTCGACGTCCTCAAGGACGTCATCCTTGATGTCATCCTTGAGGTCGTCCTAGAGGTCATTTTAGACGTCGTCCTAGAGGTCGTCCCTTGAGATCGCCCCAAGATCATTTTAGACGTCGTCCTTGACGTCATCTTAGACGTCATCCTTGAGGTTGTCCTAGGTGAATGCTATCGCAATTCAGAGGCAACCAACAATAGTGGTTTCTGCAGCATTTTTTTTTTCTTTTCTTGTTGGGCTATAGTGAGGTATATGTGACTGCCTATTTTTAGCTGTCTGTATCTGTTCCCATCAGGGTAGAACAGTTCTATAGTAAAGTCTAATTGAAAAATAAAAGGCAATGAAAAATCTTCAAAAAATTTGCCCTGTTTGCTGCTTTCCAGCAGACGGACACTTAAGATGCTGATATATAATGGAGATACCGAGGTAGTGTTGTTGAAGAAATGAAAGCTTCCTCTACTACTACGTTCTTATACTTTTATTGTCCTTACTTTAGTTTCTCTTTTTTTTTTTGCTTTTTGTTTGCTAGCAAATAAATAATGACTCATACATCCTATACTACTGCAGCCAAAAGTGCAAGTCGGAAGAGTGAGAACACTTTGAAATAGACAGTTTGCAAAAAAAAAAAAAAGGTTTTGCACCTAGTTAAGTAATCAAGAACGTTAGCAGTGGTAGCTTTGCCCTCCGCCTGCATCAGACACTACAATTTGCTCCTCCTGAAAAGTATGCCGTTAGAAAACATAGCCTTAGCAAGGTGATTCGAATTGTGCTAGTTTTAAAGCCACTTCAGTTGTCAGTATCCTTTGTGCTCAATCAGAATAGAAGGTTCCGTCTGCCTACCAACTACACTGAAACCTATATAGTGCATAAGAAAGAAATAGCTGCAATACCAGTACTTTTACTTTATTGGCATCTCAGCTGCTGTTTAAAGGGGCGGTGCAACAATTTGTGGACTTTGGCTAATTAATTGCGGGAATTGATCCCGGCCACATATAAAACAAAGCACCGAAAGCTATTCTTTCCTGCTTGCCCTAGTTTTCATTAAAAAAAAAATAAAAGAAATTGGTATCTCTGGCACCCCTCAACTCAACATTGAAGCGGCACCAGCTTCGCCTGTGACGTCATTCGGAGTGGCGTTGGTTTCCGGTTGGGTGCTTCTGGCTTCCGTTTCCCCAGCGCTCGCCGGCTCGCCAGGCTCGCCACTCTCCCGTCGATTCCCGACCAACATGGCGGCATGGGCGGACGGCCTGAGCGACGTCGAGCGCAAGATGCTTGCTTATAGTAAGTCAGTTGGACTTGTGCGGCAGGCAGTCGACGCGGCGGTCAGTCGAAGTCGAAGTCGAGGTCAAGACACCAGGAACAATAACGATACCACGATACTACAGACCACGACCAACGCACTCCGTCAAGCGAAGGAAAGACAAAACGTCCGGGTTGCTCGTGTAGCCGCCGTAGGCGCCTCGGGCGTCGACGGATGACGGCGACGGCAGGTTTTGTGGACTTGCGGTAGATGGCGCAACAAATCTTTTAGCGTCAATATTAGGCTTTTGAAGCGTTTCTGCATGCCTAAACAACAAGGTTTTTTAAACTTAACATTAAATCAAGCTTACAATTGCCTAACACTATCACTTACAAAAACCACTCCGAATGACGTCACACCACAGGTCGACGGATGACGTCACACCACAGGTTGGAAAAAAAGTGTTTTTTATCTTGCGATTACGCAGCGAAATCGAGGCATTTTGGAGTATGGTGGCACTTTTTCTCTTACTTATGCCGAAGTAAACAATATAAAAAATACAAGCTGCACATTCATTCAGTGTTAAAATCATTGCACCGCCCCTTTAAGCCAGCTTCTGACGTAGCAAGTCTTATCTTCTTCTCTTTTTTTTTTTTTCGAAAGTGAGAGAGGTGTACTTAGTTTAACAGAAAGTTGTTTTGGTTAGCCATTTTTACTCTTTTGTTGTATACCTAGTGTAGTAACTAACTGTAAGGATTGCGAAAGACTTTAGTTTATGAAACCGATTGTGGTAGGTTGTACATTCCTGTCAGCATTTTTCTCAGCCCGGTCAGTTTCCTTTTATTTATCAAAACGTTTTTTCCTTCCTTCCGTTCCTCCCTTTTTTCTTTTCTTTCGGTTTCTTTTCGGTCGACGCGGTGTCAGCGGGCGCCGAGCGTGCTCGATGATTTGGACGGCGGCGTAAGTACATACAGGGAGATTGTTCTACGCATGGAGGAATGAAAGGTCGTCCTGCCGTCGACCCGCTTACCCTCCGTCCCGTGTGCAGTGTGCTGCTTTCACCGTTTTTAATCGTCCGTCTTCCTTCCAGTTGAACGGCATGCGTGTCGTGTCCTGTGTCATGCTGTTTTCCTAACATCTGTATGCACGACGTTGTTTCTCGAGCGTGTCGGCAGTAGTGGTGGTGGTTTCCACGGGACGTACCGGCCAAACTTTAGAACGGGGGCTCTCAGATTTTTTTTTCATTTCGAGGGACATCTATCGTAGGACCCCTAATGTTTGCGAGCCCCTAATTTTCGCGACTTGGAAAATTTGCTAACTTTAGGGGGCACGAATATTACCACAATCTGGCGAGACCTATTCCAGCCTTCAGAATTAGTGAAATTTAGTGGTCGCGAGTATGACCCCGCTGCCCAATTCGCGAAAAATCGGGGCCGAAGAGCCCCTCTTATTCTTGAGAGTGTTGCGGTAGAGTACTGGTTGAGAAGCCTAGATATATTTTAAACAATAATGTACATGGTGGGAAGATTTTGGAAAATAGTAGTGTGTCAGTGAACGGTTCAGATCTGCTAACATAATGCTTACTAGGCTGGAAGAAACACTTCCCTTGGGGACAGAGAACGATCAAAGATTTTTGGGAATTCGAGGAACTCTTGACGGTTGACCTGAGAAACCTCTGGGTTTCCTAGGCAGCCTGGTTTAAGATCCCATGTTCAAGACACAAAGACATGTGTAGTTTGCATGGCTCCTCTGAACGGTGGTGGCGTGTGTCGCTTTGTGACCATATAACGAGTGAACCCGTCGCTTTGTCTGAGGGGGACATGGGACATCGAAAGGGTGTTCTGCCATCAGCAGTTGCTGTTTTCCTTGGTCAGTCAATCCTAGAACGAATGGTGGGCAATGGATGCATCTGCTTACAAAGTCTACTGTTAAAGGCATATAGAAAGAGGTCTAAACTGAGTAAGTGCTTGCCCCTGAATTTTCTCTCGATTATATATTGCACAAATTTCTTTGTAGAAACTTGTCGAGTATTTTACAATGCGTTAAACTTTTCAAATGAGCCAACAGCCTTCTTTTGGCCATTTTGGTATCTCCTTAATAACTTGTATTCGAGTCTTTATTGTGGGATATAATGAAAAGATAGTGCTCAGAAATTGAAACCAGATATATAAAAAGCTTTGCTAAACTCTTATTTACAAACATTTATTGAGAAACTCTCTAGTCTGAGCTGCAGTGCTGTGTGCACTTCTCTCCCCCTTTAAATGATTGCTGCCTTACCCATCTTCATGATGCTAACCTAACCAAGCATTTAGTAGTTTGTGTATGTACGCTCTGCCATAGCATGGAAACAAGCTCCTTTTGACAACTCTTCTTTTTTGTGAATCTTGTCCTGAACTGCTGGCACTCATGGCAGATAGGACCACCAATAGGTGGCATTGGCATCAAAGAGGGCTTTAGTGATGATAATGCAATTAATGCAAAGGTGCAAGCAAGCTGGACAAAAGTTATGATAATAATCCCTGGAGAAGGGGAACAAAGGGGACAAAGAACAAACACAAATCTCCAAACGCAACTGGGTGACTGGTGCATGACCAAAAAAATCCGCCTGGTCCTGGTATCCCCTTGTTTCCCTTCTCCAGGAATTATTATCGTCGGGGCTTTGGTGTTTCAAGTGTGGCAGCATCGTTGGCTTTGCTCTCAGTGTCAGTGGCATTGTTGTGTGGCCTTGCTCTTAATTAACTGTTCTTCTGTCGTCTGTGATCGGTTCTCGTGACATTGCACCTAAGCACACAGGACACGAGTTTTATGGTAGTATCTACAAGTAGTATTGCAACCGTTCAACGCACCGAGAAACTGACGAAATGAAGGAAACGAGACCAACTAGAGTCAGAATGCTGAGCTCTAGTTGGTATGATGATTGGGTGGCCTTAAAGCTAGCCGCCTTTCTCTCCAGTGCACTCGTCGAATGCATTCAAATGCGAGAGCCAGACGCCGGTGTTAAGTGTTCTGAACCATTCGACGAGTGCAGTGGAGGAAAAGGCTGCCTTTGTCCCCACTGCACTCATGAAATGCGTTTGATTGCAAAAACCAAATGCCAGAAGCCACCGTTCGCATTCGGCAAGTGCAGTGGAAACAAAGGCGGCTAGCTTTAAGGCTACCTAATAATCATACCAACTAGAGCTCGGCGTTTTGCCATCCCTGCGCGCTCTCGTCTCCTGCTTTCCCTGACTTTCTCGGTGCCATGGCACTATTTCCACCATTCGGTTCGATTCCAGTTCGATACTATGCTTCCTACAGACCTTTCGAGCTGCAGTCTCATTGTTATGTTAGCGTTCACGAGCCTCTCATTCTTTAATAACAACATTGTTATGTTGTTATTGAAGAATGTGAGCCTCATGCCTTGGAGCATGAAGCTATTTAGACTGACCTAAAATGTGCTCACTATACCGCTCGAGTTGCCCATTGTCTGCCGTTAACATGCATCGGTCATTTTGCACTTTCAACGTTTGTTGCAACGTTTCTGGGTATCACGTAAATGACCAGTTTTCTTCTTTTTGTTTTTTGGCTTACTCTGCGTATGTTTTGGTGCTAGTAATAATTCGAGCCGTTTTCGTTTGTGCGTGTCTTTCAGCGTAAATGCGACATGTATTGGCCAAAGGAAGGTACTGAGACCTATGGCATCATTCAAGTTAAGCTGGTTCAAGAGATTGTCATGGCAACATACACCATTCGCACGTTTGCCATCAAGAACATCAAAGTGAAGAAGGTGAGTGTGGCACGTTTGAGCATGTAACAAACATAGGTAGTTGCCGTCTTGCGAACTACGAGCCAAACTCGTACGGACGCAAACGACTCGGCAGTTGTGCTCGGCAAATTATATGGCCCGCGTCGAACGTCTCTCCGCCGAGCTTGCAGCACTTCTGTTGCACCGCCCACCAGGCATTATTGTCCAGAGATTATGCTTAAAAATGCCAGAACAGCCACGCTGGCTGGGCCTTCGGTCGGTTGTTTTAAGGTGCCAGAATCCGAAAAGCTGCCGAGTCAGAACGCCTCCCGTGGTTGCCCCCTGACGGGTCTCTTGTCTGAAATCTTGCAGAAGCAGGCGTCTGAGCGAACGGTGTACCAGTATCACTACACCAACTGGCCAGACCATGGGGTACCAGACCATCCTCTGCCAGTCCTTAGCTTCGTAGCCAAGTCTTCTGCTGCCAACCCTCCCGCTGCAGGCCCCATGATCGTTCACTGCAGGTAAAGTACCCTACACTGTCGGGAGCTCTGGGGAGTCCCGTTTGACGCCCCAGAGCACGGGCACTGCCGGCGAAGGGATCTGACCGCACCCTTGCGTCCACCGTGGATGCGTGCAGCGCTGGTGTAGGAAGGACGGGCACCTACATCGTTCTGGATGCCATGCTGAGGCAGATGCGTCAACGGCAGAGCGTCAACGTGTACGGCTTCCTGCGGCACATCCGTCAGCAGCGCAACTACCTGGTCCAGACCGAGGAGCAGTACGTCTTCATCCACGACGCCCTGCTCGAGGCCATCGACAGCGGAGACACGGAGGCACGTCTGCTCCCTTTTTTTTCCTTCTTCCCCCGCGAGGCACGTCTTCTTCCTTCCCCTCTTTTCCTCCTTTCTCTTGCGAGGTGCATCGTCTCCCTTTCCTTCTTCTCCTTTCATTCTTGCAAGGCACGTCTTCCCCCTTTCCCTCCTCTTTCTTTCGTGAGGGACGTTTCCTTTGCTTTCTCTCCATCTTCTCTCCCTCATCTTTGTTGCGGCAACACCTTGTAGGTAACGGGGCTTTAGTGCTGGATGTTCAGTGTTGCCTACTTGAGGCCACTTGGCGTGGAAACGCTAAACTTAGCTTTTCCACGCTCAGTTTAGCGTGGAAATGCATGGACATACACAGATGGACAAAGTTTCAGAACTGGGGGGTTCCATTAAAGAGCATTCCAACAGTACCGCCGTGCTATCTGGGAGACGCTGGTGCTGCGACTTCGTCTCTGGCACAAGAGACATGTGCATTCTGGCGTCGTTTCTTGACCCCCCGTCTCACTGCCACGCAGGTCGGGGTCTCACAGCTGTCTCGCTACGTACAGAGTTTGCAGACGGCGCAGGTCGCCACCACGGGGGCCGGGGACAACGAGAAGTCCTGGTCCCTCCTCGAGAGACAGTTCAAGGTGAGGAGTGACCAAGCGTCGGCGTGGAAGTCCCCGCTTCTCCGACCAAAGCCCGCGTCCAATGTCGACGCTTTGTGGCGTCGATATTGTATGTGTTAATTTATTTAGAAGCAATCCACAAGGTGCTCGACACTTTTCTAGTGGTGCACCAAGTCGAAGGACGTGCTAAGACGGACGGATCGACAATGAAAGCACACCCGAGACAAATCGACAGTCAAAGAATGGTTGATGTCTTAAACAAGTACAGTAAAGACCGATATATAGCGAAGATACAGGAGAATTTTAGAAATGCATATACTATACTGAATCATGCATCTGAAGTACCGACACGGCGGAGAGTTTACCTTAGAAAAATCGACTTTACGGTGAAGAGGTTCTGTCGGAGCGTGAAATAAAAACATCCGTTTTCAAAATGTAGCGAACACAATTTACTGAACAGAGAACCTTGCTATGAAGGGTGTTGACTCCAGATAGGTTTATTTGTAGTCCGGGGAAGGGGCGGCAGCAGTTGACGGGTTTATAAATAAAAACAATGCCAAAAGACGACAGAGTGTTGTCTGTCCTTTCGTTAAGTCATTTGTTGTCTATTGACACTGTTTTTATTTATCAGAAAGATGTGACAACTTTTGAGGGGTGTGCGTCGGGTGGGCTTTGGCGACTTGAAGGACTCTACCAACCGATCCCAAGATCGGCGACAGGGTCTTAAGAGGGCGCCATGGGAAGGGCATGGAAGCCCTTTGCTTTCTTGCTAACTGCTAAACAGACAAACACTCGCTAGGTGGCGCGAGCCACCTCCCAATTAAAAGGGTCCAATCCATCCGTCTTAGTGGGGAAACGGGACGGCATTGATTGAGGCGCGAGATGCGACCAGAGAATTAAGGATTCGGTTGACGCTGGTTCTCGACGGGTTGCCGTGCCTGCGGTTCCGTATGCTGACGGACTTGCCCGAGAAACTTGCCAGAGTTGACGAGGGGCTGTGTTCCAGCTGGTGACCATGTTCAAGGCCAAGGACTTCAATGTGGTGTCAGCTGTGAAGCCCTGCAACAAGGCAAAGAACCGATCGCTCAACCTCATCCCCATCGAGTCGCACCGGGTCCACATCACCCCCAAGCCCGGCATCGACGGCTCGGACTACATCAACGCCACCTTCCTACAGGTCTGCCTCCCTGCCCGCAATTCGTTGCCTTGCCACGTGAAATCTGAATTCTTCTGCTGGAGTCCATGCCGACAAACAGGCGCCGTTTCCTTGGCAGTCTGCTGTTGCTGCGTGTGCTGTGTCACCTACAACTGTGGCATGTTGCTACGCTGAACATTAATTACTACTCGATTTGCTTTTATGCATGCTGTCCGATGTCTGCTATTCCCGTGTTTTTGTGGCTGCCTGCTTTTTCTTTACGAGCGTCGCTGTCTGCCATTGTAACGTGTGACTAAGCTAGATGTTGCATAACTTATCAAATGCATCCATCTGATGTCTGCTATTCACGTGTTTTTGTGGCTGTTTGCCGCCTCTGTGTTGGCCTCACAGCATCTTTTTTTGCCGAGCGCCAAACAAGCAGGAACGTTGGACCCTGCTGCTTTAACATTTGCTTTGCTCCGTCCTGCTCTAACATTTGCTTGCCTGTTTGCTGGTTTTCTTTGTATATTTTGCTTTGTGAGTTTCTGCCTTAGTATTGAGTTGGTTGTCTGCTGTTTGAACATTTTTTTTCCTACCTTCTATCGGACGTCTTTTATTTCGACGTCTGGTTACCTACATTTATTTTGGCAGTACTTCTCTGTGCACTGTTTTGGACTATCGCGAGGTTCTTTTTTTCATGTTTCTTTTTTTAACCCATATTGCACCATACTTTTAACATCCCCTTTCTACCCAGTGGCCAGGTTGCAAACGTTTCTTCATCAAGTCTGAAAATTATTTTTGACTTGTGCATGAAGAGCCCTTTGCATATAAACCTTGGGAAGCAAAATGATGTAGCTTCTTTGCCTGCAGCCATCAGGAAAAACGAGAAGGTCCGAACTCAGCCGTAATAATCCGTTAGACAGCCTCGACTTTTTTTGAGGAAGCCACCGTGCAAGAACGCCGTCAAACCGCGGTCGGGCCAACCCTCCGTCCTCACGTCCATTGTGCCGTTCTGACACTGCAGGGTTTCAACCGTCTGCGAGAGTTCATCGTGACGCAGCACCCCCTGATGGACACCATGGCCGACTTCTGGCAGATGGTCTGGGACCACAACTCGCAGACCATCGTCGTGCTCTCCGTCGTCGACGAGAAGGTGGGGAACCCGTTTCGCACCTCCCTGTTCGACGTCTTCCTTTTCGCCGCAGTGAAATTGCAATTTGCAAAACTTGGTAAATGTTAAAGAAAAAATAATTTTCATATGCTCTTCTTCTATGTGGCTACAAACACCACCTGCATATTTCCCGCCGATTGAATGAGTACTTCAAAAGTTCACATTCCTAGGTAATGTCCTCCCTTAAAAAACAACACTCCGCTTAAAAAAAGTATCGAGAGACTTCGGCGTCGGGTGCGGCAATGTGAGCCTACTTAACGTCGCACGTGTCCGTCCGCCCAGGAGCACCCCCAGTTCTGGCCCGACACTGACGAGGAGCAGGACTACGGGAGCTTCAAGGTGAAGCCGACGGGCGAGAGTGCGGCAGCCCCCGTGGCGGAGGAGAAGGGGGCCCTGATGCCGGGAGAGGGGGGAGGCCTGCCCAGCCGGGACTTCATCCTGCAGTCGACCCAGGACGACTACGAGCTGGCCTGCCGCCTCCTCCTGTGCCCCGGCTGGCCCCAGAGCTGCAGCCCCCTTGCCAAGGCCTTCGAACTCGTCAAGGAGGTCGGGGCGAGGCAGGAGCGGGACCAGAACGGCCCTGTCGTCATCGTCGACAGGTGGGCACGACGGTCCAGGCGCCGTTCGGCTTTAACTAGAATAGTGCGAATATCCAGATTTTCAAATAGTAGTTTAGAATAGCGCGCCATGCAATATTTGCTTGGAGACGAAGTGCGATATTTATGTTGTACAGCAACAGCTGTTAGTGGGAACCTCCCCGGGGAATTGCGTGGTCGTCCTTTGCAAAAACTCCCGGTGCCTCGAGTGTCGAAAGTGACAGCACATGCTGGAGTCCAGGCGTCCGAAAAAGACATCATTCTCGTTTTGACACCGGCTGTAGCCAACACCCCGTTGTGCCGGCGCACGCGCACCATTGTCTGAGCAAACGAACTTGCACGCCGTATGGCTAGAGCTAGAATGCAAATTTCGGTTACGGCGCACCAGGAAGGCTCGTCGTAGGAGTACGGGTCGGGCACGGGAGTGGAATCGAAGATGGCGCAGACAATCTTCGAATTTGCGTTGACGACGACTCCACAACGATGGCGAATCAAACGAGTGCCAAGCTGCCGCCGCTGTGCCACGCGTTGTGCAATATCGTAAATGCACTTTTATTTTTGTTTCCCTTGTGCCAAATGCAAATTTTGGTCTCACTAATGCCGTAGCGTAATCTGCAAAAAATGTTTATTTCTAAAAGACACCCTATCTTCTGGACGAAGAGTTAATTAATGTCTGAAGGCCTCCAACCAACCTACGACGTATTTGTCATGACATACTTTTTGAGACGCGGTTGTGGGCAGTGTCACTTCGAACTCGCGTCCCGAGGTCACTCTTTTGAGCGGCCTTACTCGGCCTTTGTTTATTTGGAACCATAACTTCCTCGTTTTCACGGTCGTTGAATGGCGAGTTCATTAGTAATTTTTAGAATTCAGCATTTGCCACAAAGACCGAGGTTAAATGACACAGATTCGCTGTTCTGTAACAACGAAGGAGCACACCAGAATAGAGGTCGCCTAAACGAAAAAAAAACACAAATTATATGCCATCAAAACTTTGTCTTCGTCACTCTCTCACGCATTCCGCTACACGTAAAAATGAAAAAAATTAAAGCCCAGTTGGGAGAGGCCGGGAGAAAACCGAAACCGACACCAAGCGGTAACATGCCCGAATATATTCTCTGGCGTGGCATTCGGAGGGTTAAGCATCGGCATTGCCTTTCACCACAGTGACGGGAAAGAGGAGCCCACAAGGTATTCTATGCATGCACTCCTCGCGCTTATGCGTGACTGCAAAATAACGCCGCACGTCCCTGCCGGTCGGCGTTTCGTCGATACCATTGCTGACTCGTACGACAGTTGGGCCTCGCATTACGGCCTCGCAGCGATTTGAGAACACTTGCACGAGCGACGTGCTGAGCGTCATCGTCTTCTTCCCGTCTTTTCGCGCAGGTATGGAGGCACGGAAGCAGCGACTTTCTGCTGCCTCTCGGCATTGTACCGCCAACTGGAGAGGGAGAAGTGTGTGGACGTCTACATGTACGCCAAGCTGTATCACATGAGGAGGCCCGGAATATGGAAATCTCAGGTTGGTTTTCGCACTGTCCTCAAGGCGACCCCTCTGCGTCGTTGCGAGCCACTCCCGTTTTCCGAGCGGGAAAGATCGTAAACGGCAGCTTCAGGCTTCTTTTGGTTGCAGTACTGTCAATGCGAATGAATGAGTGATAAAAAGGATTGCTTCCCCGATCCGATCACTGGTTTGAACGTTCCCAGAAGCCTCCGATGCCAGGGGGGCAAAAGTATCCAAATTCCCTTTACGTGTACCCTCTCCGAGAAAAGCTGACCTTGTTTCCTTGTTGAGATACGATAAGGCCAACAGTTTGCAATACGACGGGGATGATAGTTGTCAAACTTATGAGACGCGAGGAGTGCCTGTCTCCATCGATAGACGAGGATTTGGAATGCAAAGGCACAAAAGATTTCTTATAATCCAAAAGCCTCTGGGTTCTAAGGTAAAATTAAAAAAGAGAAAAAATGGCAATTACCTGTTTGCACTAATAGTGTCTTTATAATACTGAAAGATATGAACCTATAGACCTTTCCAGCTGCAGTCTCAAACGAAGCGGTTTACAGCACGCGTCCCTGGTTTTGAGAGTGTACGTCAGTGTTGCCCGATTGCGCTGGACTGTGAGTTTCCTCGTTGGTGGGATGTGGCAGCCTACATAGGCACAATTGTGGACACCGTAGGCAGCTAAATTGCCGCATTTTATTTCTTCTTTTGTGTTCTATGGCGAGTAGAATTTCTCCAGGATTTTAGGAAAGCATTGAACTATTTTTGGGAACAAAATCAAACAAATGAAAGCTATTTTTGCTGAGTCCGTGTACGATAGACAAATGCAACTGGAATGTTTGTTTTGTTTTATGTTGACTTTTACGGCACCATACACTCAGTCGTGTCAATCTACAAAGGTCTTAAAGGGTAACTGCAAAGAAAAAAAAGTTTTTTTTTAAACAGCCTAATTGGGACAAGCATGTCACAAAACAAATGTTCCGCGAAAAAAATGATTTTTTTTATCAATATTTACGCCACAGGACGTAATTTAGTAGAGTCAGAACCTCTCCACATTTGAAACTCCCGCTCTTTCGACCCCCGCGAAAGAGGAGTACGCCCCGCCCCTCACTCTCCTTGCGTTGCGGAGTTGAACCGGCGCAGCGTTTCGACTTCCGGCAAGATCTGGCAACTACGCCAGGCCGCGGTATTGTTTTGGTTGTTATGGTTTGACGCGGTTTGCGAGCACGTGTAGCGAAGACGTGACCGGAGAAGTGCCCCTGTGATGTTCCCGGATGACGGAAAGTATCGTTCGTAATCGTCGTGAGCGCTTTGAAAGCGAAGGGAGTCACAGAATCCACGAGTGCGCAACCACAAGCCAAGGTTCACGACAGCGCTGCGTTGGTTTCGGCGATCTTGTTCTGTTTGGTGCAACACGGCGATGCGACAAAGCTGAAACGTTTGTGGTGTGTGTAATGCGGTGCTAACACGGAGCGCAAATTGGTTGTTGTGGGGTTGACGTTCAACCAGATAAGTCCCGTCGTCGTCAGCCGATCCAGTCAAACTGGTCCAGGAGGACGCTGGGAGCGTTTTTAAAAGTAAATCTGCCTCGTTCCGTTTCAAAATGTGGAAGTTTCCCGACGGATACCGTGAGTAAAAAACTGCGGGCGTTTTCAACAAAATTACGTCGTTTTAATTGAACAATGGACTCCGAATTGTTGTCCTAAATCTGCCGTTTTTATGCTTCGTGTTGGACTGCGTTTGCACAGCGACGTGTTGCATCGTGCGGTGTGAATAAATTTGGGCACGATTTCGGACCGTTCGTACCTGCCTACAGATGCATGAACTGAGACCATTTTTACGTAGTAGACATAGTGCTTTTTTATTTTCTGTCTAGTCGCGGACGTTAGGTGCACACGGGGCGAATATCGACGGCCTCCAGAGCGATATGACGAGAACGTAACTAGACACGTTAGTCGCTACGCGAACGCCCGATTGCCTCCAGCCAAATAGCATTCCTTTCGGGGCGACATGGCTGCTGGAAGGCTCACTGTCGAGATCGCGCATCTGACATCTCCGAAAAGTCAGCATTTGCACGCGCAAACAAGCAAAACAAAAAAAAAAAACAGAAAACACGCTAAGCAAGCAAAGAGGAAGACGAAAGAACCGCGCTATGAAAGCCAAAACCCCGCGTCGCTTCCTATCACTAACACCTGCGACAGCTGCTAAACACACACTACTTCACTTCAAGAAGTACCTGGGTCAGTACGAAACGACGAAACACTGATCACTATGGCGAAACGATTAGTCGAGGTAGGCGAGACAGGCGGGAGCAGAGACTTCGGCGGCCATGAAAGAATGGCGAAGCTTCTGTTTGTATGAATCCAAACGGAAGTGCCCGTCTTGTAAACCTTTTGTAAAGAATAATAACTCTCATCACATGGGTTATTCTTTAAACATAAAAATATGCCGCTCAAAAGGAAATTGCAACATATAACAAAGGTTTAACAACCAAGATCTAAGCTGTCAATCAAACTCTTAGCCAATGAAAACCTTTTGGGATTGACGTCACATAATCACAACTTCGTGGCGTGCGATTTAAAACGGACGAAATAGCCGCAAACTAAAATGAGTCTCACGCAATAAATATTGCTGTAAAAAATGTTTTTTCTCGCGGAAAAATTGTTTTTTGACATGCTTGTCCCAATTAGGCTATTTAAAAAAAAACTTTTTTTTCTTTGCAGTTACCCTTTAACTGTCACGAATATTTGAGCACACAGGACAGCCAAACTGCATGGGCTTCATGCTCACAACATGAAATTCAACGAATCTCATCTATCGAACAACACAATGTACATACCCGACGGTGCCGCGTTATTGGAACAGGATTTTAGAGAAGTCTAAAATACAGTCGACTCTCATTAATTCAAACTCGACGGGAGCCGAAAATTTGTTTGAATAAAGCAAAGTTTGAATTATCAGGAGTTTTTTCCCATAGAGACGCATAGCATGGGACCTGCACGTTAGTTTGAATTATCCGAAAGTTTGAATTAAGAGATTTTGAATTAACGAGAGTCGACTGTAACACAGCATATGCAATATACAGTGTCGACGAGTCACTTCACGACGATCGGACGGAACCTGGCTTGTTTTGGGGCACGTTGTGATGAGAGCTGCTTCTTAGCACAGCACCAAAGCAAATGAACGAACTTGTCTATTCCGTCCTCATACACCGGACCCGACCCCATCAGCTATCTTTCGCGAAAACCGGGAACATATCCGAGACAACTTTTCGGGGATTATCTCGACGGGAAAAATGTTCGAAGAACGTCGAAAGGCCCGCGTCGTGAGCCGCTTCATGTTCTTTTTCTTCGTTCGTTTACTGCAAAGGCCAAGCAGGCTACGAGCCCTGGTATTGCCTGGTTATCACAGTGGAGAATAACGCAAAAGTGTAAGCATCCTGAACGGGCAAACAAAGTAAAAACTTTAAAAGAAAAGCCGGCGAAATCCAAACACACAGTGCAGGTAGAGAGTCACAATGACCGGGCTTCCGCAGCTCAGGCGGGTGGCAGAAATTTCTGGCTGATAGGGGTCGCTCGAGTCGCAAAATGGCGGCGGATAGAGAGCTCTCCTTGCAAAGGTCTATAGATTTCATAGGATGGGGGAGGGCAGCTGCAACTTTTATTCTTCCCAACAACTATGTCCAGGAGTTTGGCTATTTCAAAGCACCGACGGTTATTGAAGCAACGCTTGTTTGCAAAATTCGTTGTGGAATAGTTAGAATTACCAATCACAAGGGCGCCATTGCCGAATGCCGCCGCAGAAATGTTTTTCGATACCGGTGAGCTTTTTATGAGTTTCGATAGTGGTGTAAGATTTTTACAACATGCCTTGGCCTTCAAAAGTTGGCCGGCAGTATTTTCAAAATGAAATCAATTTAGGGTATGCCGTCTTTGTCTGAAATAATTTGTCATTATTTTTAACGTTGAAAATACAGGGAACACAGTAAAATAAACTCCGACAAACCCCGAATTTCCAGCGAAAAATCTACTCCGAACAACACCTTTCGAATTTGGGAAAAATTAAACTCCGAAAACACAGAACCCTACCCAACAGACATACAAACACTCCTTAAAGCAGAGTCGTATTTCCTTTGTCGTTTCGTATAGAAATTAGGACGCGGAACAAAACAAAACAATTGCTGCGATTCATATTTATTGGAACTTTTCAGTCCTATGTGGAGTGCAAGTCCGTCTGCTTCTTGCGCTGGGATCGCGGTGACATCAGAACGCCAAGCTCCGATTGGCTGGATTGGAAGGATAGTAAGTAGACCTCAGGGAGCCAGCATTGAAGTCTACCCACCACCCTTCCAATCAAGCCAATCGGAGCTCGGCATTCTGACGTCGCCGCAACCCCTGCACAAGAGGCAGACGAGCTTGCGCTCCGCATAGGCCTAGAGCAATCTCTTAGTGTTCTTTTTGTCTCAAGTGTCGCACCGAGTAGTGTAGACATCCCATAGTAAACGATGCGTTCCCGCGCGTTGCGCAGGACGACTTCCTGTTCTTGTATCGTGCACTGGAGAGCCTGCTGGCTGCAAGCTCGTCGTCGGACGGTTCGCTGAACCTGGTGGCCAACAGCACCACCACCAATGGCCAACTCAGCAGCAACGGGCACGCGGTCAAGATCGAGGAAGTCGCAGGCGGGAAGCTGGAGAGCCCCGACTGAAGCGAGCCCGCCCCATCGCCACCCTCCCCCCCACCGAGAAGGGCGCCCCCCGGGCGCCGGGCACAGCCGCCACGTCGACGTGCTCCGCCGCTTCCCGCGGCCACGACGACGAGAACGTTTCCCTTACGGTTTCCTTCGCGCCGAGTTTGGGTCGACGGCCTTCGTGCGAGAAGACGGAAGACGCGATGCGACTGGCAGCTCTCGCCCCCCTCTTCCCCTGCGACTTCCTCGAGACAGGTCCTTTGCTTTCTGTGAATGCCGGCGTGACCTTTGGTTGACCTTGGTTTGACCTTGGTTTGTTGAGAAGGTACAGAAATGAGGGGTAGTTGTAATGTGAAACATCCTTTGGCTCGTCAAGGGGGAGTAGCCAGATCTAGGGAAGCCCAAAAGACGGACTGCGAAGCTCGACGCCGATTGGCTGGTGTAAAGGTCACGTGATCGCCGCCGATTAGCTAATTCGGGCGAGTACTGGAGGCTATGGAAAACTGCCAGGTTTTTAAAGCTGACTGGCGCCGGTAACTTAATTCCGGGAACTGCTATAAAGTTTATATGCCACGTGTTAAGTTATACGACGAGGAGTGCCGTGAGCATAGGTGCCAAGCTCGGTAACGTCCCGGAGCAATATTGGAACGTTTCACGTATGACGCAATTGCCCAGCAGTTTACTACGAATTTTTTCCGTCTGCTTGCGGGCTTGCGAAATCAGGATCTGTAGGTTTGTCGAAGTAGAAAAGGCCGGACGGGATGAGCTGCGTAAAAACGGTATTTTCTGCCAATATTAGTAGATGTGCAGCCTACTGTTCCTAATTAATGCATTGAATTAGAATCTAAGAAAATTTGGTTGGTTGGGGCTTGGCACCAGCAAAAACCAAAATATAAAAAGTGTGGCCGAGATCAGTATTCGTAATGAGCACCTCCTTTTGACGTGACTGTTGTGAATGTTTTGAAAGCCTCGAAATTGCAGTCAGAATGTACTGCTAAGTAGTATTTGCTGCTGCCTGTATTAGCCACCCATTTCTAAGCTCGAGTCAAATAGAGCATTAATGTATAAACCGTGACATTCATTTGCCTCATTCGCTGGAATTGTGCCGCGTGCACAATCTTTAGTTGCAAAGTTTTTAAAGTTAAGGTTTAAAATCCAAGACTGGCAGCTTAACCTCCATTTGGTGAAGCCCAAGAAAGATAAGCATAGGTAGTTTCTTCAGGATAAACAGACTGCAATCTCAGAAGCACGAAATTTTGGAATCTGTCAACTCCAACGCATTGAATTGGCAACAAACCTAATTGGAAAAAACTGAAGTGGTTCTGTATTTCAGGGAAAACACTTAAATCCTCTTCATTTGGCCTCCAGGATCACGAACATCAAGATTATTTTTCAATTTGGTGCACAGAGGCTGCAGAAAATAATTTTCAAAGTACCGCCGATGCCCCTCCTTTTGAGAGCGTGACATCATATCCAGAGTTTTCGGAATCTCCGCTCTCGCGCATCTTCAGCACCCATCAGGGCTACGCACGTGCACTCTTGCTATTTTCAAAAAGGTCAAAAAAAGACGTCACGACCGGTGCCAGTGCGGGGGAGTATACCTGGCAAGCTTGCAGCTGCATGTGCTGCCTACGCGAACGACACGCGCTTGGCGGCCGAATGCTCTGCGTATGACGTAACGACTGGTCGGAGGTTTTTCGTTTTTCATCGCGTTTAATTACATCGTCGGGGAAAACGAACATGATATTTAGATTCCCGGGATAAAAATACTCTCAAATTCACCTCTGGCATGTTTTTCTTCCTTTTTTTTTTTTTTTTTTTCAAGAACCTTTTATAGTTTTCTTTTAAGTTCAATACTCTGAATGGATTTACTGACTGCATTGCATGAACGAAAACCTGTCTCGAGGAATTGGGGGATTTTTGGTTCCGTTTAGGTTCCAGTTTTGATCTCTCAAGAGCAGCTAGCGATCTGTTTGTCGTCTGCCTCGTTTAGGACCGTCTGCAAATCTCGTCAACGCGCAACGGTTGCATTGTGGGCGTGCATTTTACGCCCCACCCTTGTTCATTTTTTTTTTTTTTTTTTTTTTTTGTAAATGGTGTAAGATAGATTTTTACCCTGTCTTAGTTGTACTTTACCCTGTATTAGTTGTACATTGCACTTTGAGGCTTTACTGTTTCTTGTCATTAGATGCAGTATGTCTATGATGTTTTGTGTTTTCACTCATTGTCATCATTTAGGTGGTTTTTTTATGTTTTGTCTGGATTTGTTTTATTTGAGCACCTCACTTTTGGAACAAAACAAATGACTAGCGATTTCGGGTAAGCCTGAAGTCGAGATGTAACTTAACGGCATAGACATGGAACAGCAGACGACGCCCCGCAGCGTGGGGACGTGTCGTCTGCTACAATTTTCTCGTTAACTGCTCAGCACTGCCGCCTCAGCTACAATTTATTTATTTATTTTGCCTTCCCCTGAGTCTGCCTTTTCGCGTATACGTAGCGTCGACCAGCTCACAAAGAGAATATTCTCGACCTACGTGCTTCTTTGCCGTGTTTTCTTGCGAAGGAGAGCTAACCGTTCTAAACGTAAGGTTGTCTGCTAAAAGTGCAGCCTCCAAACTGCCGTGCCCGGAGGACTCCACTTCGTCATCGTCACCATCCCTCCCGTAATCGTCGGTTTCGCAACGCGCTAACGGCCAAAGACGTCGGAACGCGAGAGTTTTTCATTGACGTTTTTATTTTATTTTAAAGGCTGCGTCGCTGTGGCCGGACGTGCAAAGAAAGAACGGGTTTTTGGTTCCGTGACTCCGAATATGACACAGCGTAAAAGAAGGAGAAGGAAGGAAGGCACCGAGAGATGGAAGGAAAGGGTGTGAGGTGGGAAGGAAAGAGACAGACGATCCTGTTCGCGTGCGAAAGCGTACCAACTCTCGCACGCCGCACGTGAGAACACATACGCACACGAGACACACGCACACACAACAAACATCGCCGCAGAAGACATCCAACCCCCGACACTCCACGACGTTTCTAGTCTTAGCATCTCTATCGCTGCTTTTTGTGCCCTCCCAGAGCTTACAGTGTTTCCACTCTTCCTCAGTTTGTTCATTTCATTTTCCTTCTTTTTCTCGCAGTCCCCCCTAAATACTCGAACCATTGTCGTCTTCTTGCTCTTCGTTCCCTCGTCGATACCGTAGAGAAGTCCCCGTCGGAGCTTGTTAAACGAATTCTTGAGAGTTTGCAAGGCTGCCGCCCTTTCCCACTGCCGCTAGCGAAGTAGCGAGCGTTCGTCAACTAGACGGCGCCTATCCGCGCGCTACGTTCCTATTGGCGAAGCGTTTTCCGGTGGCAAACAACTACACAGAACCGTAAAAGTCTAGGTGCTTAGGAAAGCTCAACGGCTCGAATGCAGCCGCATGTCGCCGTTAGGTTGTTTCGCCGTGTCCGAAGCAGGACGTCTTAACCGAGGTGTTGCGTAAGTGCTGAGGTGTTGTGTCAGTAAGCTGCGGAAGCAGACGTTGTTAACTAGTGGTAGTAATTTTAATTAAGGAAGGTGGTGAGGGTTCCCTTTTTCCCCCCCACCGGTAGCGCTAATAAACAAAAAAGAAAAGTGACCCGGTAGCGGTCACCCGCCTCCGAATTTCCGCCATGCTCCTATGCTTGCCACTGTCGCAGTTTTGAAACAGTTCAAAGTTGTTCAGAACGACCAGTAGGCTTAGTGAACTTTCAATTGAGATGCAAGAGAGAACCAACTAAATCCACGGCGCTGTTTTTTTCAGTTTCCGGCACGTTGTCGCCCTCGATCAAAGGTCAAGAGACCGGATCAGTTTCGTATGGTCGGCACGCTGTGCCACATCCTCTGACATTCCTTCGTGGGAGAGGTTTCGACGCCCTGTCCTTTACTTCTTGGAGATCTTAAAAGCGGTGGACCAACATTGAGATTGTACACAAAAAGTAAAGCGAAGGCTGCCTTTGCGTTTCTCGGAGAGGGATTTGACGTGTACCATAGCTGTTGGCGACCAAAGCCGTTCGCCGTGTGCTGTCGACCGATACGTGTTATTTATCCTCACGAAATGGCGTGTATTGCAGTGTTTTATTTTTTGTCCCCATAGGTCTTCCTTTTCATGCTTTTTGTCCATACACTAGACCCTGGAAAATTAAATTTTATTGTAATATTTTTTTCCGTGGAGACGCTTATGCCGAAATTTATTCAGCTCGACCCGTGTATATATTGAATGTTAATTATAATTAGCGTGTTATATATATATATATATATATAGTTACATTGTGCATGTCACAGAATAGGTTCTGCGCAGCCCCGTCTGCAAGTGTTCAACAGTTTGCTGCTGAATTTGCGACAAGTTACTTTTTCTGCTTCAATTCATTTTCGATTCTGTTTGCCCTTCTACTTTTGAATTGTCTTTTTCTAGAGAGAGAAAGATGTGGTTGATTAGAGACATACCCTTCCCTGTTCGAAGTGAAAAGTTGCTTCCTCTGATTCTGCTATATATAAATCTATATAAAGAAAAAAATCTATATATGTGATATGTATTGACTGCTCAAAATAAAAAAAATAAATGAAGACCAGATATCACCATCAACAGTTCTGTGCTTGTGGCTGACTTATTTGGCAAGTTGCATATTTTACATCACAACATTGACGGCTTATCAGGTTTGGTAGCGAGTAATCAAAAGTCTTTACTCGACTCCTGTTATTTAGCATCTGCATTAAAACGAAAGCTTGGTTAGAACTGTACGCCTGTTAACATATTCTCAACACCTCTGCTGGGATCTATTGGCAACTTTAATCACATGATTTTTAACATACCTTCACGGCGTCGTCTTTAAACAACCAGGTGCTGCGAAAGTATGACGAGCAAACCTGTTGCAACAGCTTTCTGTTCTAGCCACTGGGTGCGGTCGATTTTGAAGAAGTCTCCAATGCAGCAGGCAAGTTGACCAGAAGTGAGTGGAAGCGGTAATGTCCGTCTCAAAGCGGAAGCCCCCCTTTGCAGATGCTATAAAACGCTAGTAGCAAGCAACAGCTCGGTCGTGAGTTTTTTGTTCATTGTAGCGTGTCTGGTAGTTGTTTGTCAAAAGCCAGCAAAAACAATGTTTCCTTCGAGGTATTTCCTTTCCCCTTTCTTGAAAGACGAGTTCCTGGGTTGGGGGTAAAGAACCATTGGACTTTCAACGGCCAAAAAAAGGCAGGGCAACCTTTGCTAGACTAGCAAATGACACTGAAGCTTAGCTCTGTGGTACCACTGCACCCTTTATGCAGTAGCCGCCTCCGTGTCCACCCGTTGCGTCTTCCAATCGGAATTCAGCACAGTGATTTCACTTTACACCGTGTGCAAGGGTCAGGCAAACTTGCAACATTGACATCTACCTCCTCACCAGCATTTGTTCTGCTAAAGTGGAAAGAGTGGAGGCATTTGTGGGAAGAGCTTGTCCTGCTTTTCCTAACCTGCAACAGGGTATAGTATCGCGTTCATTTTCCCTTTGCCACCAACTTCTCAATGGCAGAGAAACATTCTCATGGGCAAAAGTTCTGAAAGCATTGGGGGAAAGTGACCCTGCAAAGCACCGGGTTTACGTAGGAATATATATATATCTTTCCCTTTGTGTTTGCAATGTGTAGATAATGCAAAGTGTAGTATAAAAAATGAAGGAATTACTTAGCCATGCTGCAGAGAGCAAGTCGTCTGCTGCGTGCGCAGGGGTTACGGTGACGTCGGAACAACACCGAGTTCTGATTTGCTTTGATTGGAAGGATAGTAGGTTTACCTCAATGCTAGATACCTTGATGTCTACCCACTATATATATATATATATATATATATATATATATTTTTTTTTTTTTTTTTTTTTTTTTTTTTTTCAGTCAGCCAATAAGAGCTTGGCGTTTTAACATCCTCGCAACCCCTGTGCGAGAAGCAGACGAACTTTCGCTCCGCATGAGAGAGAGAGAGGAGGAGGAGACGAGAGTGCGCGGGAACGCCAGGACGCCGAACTGGCCGAGCTCTGACTGGAAGGATTAGAGGGTAGAGGCAAGGCTAGCTGCCTTTGTCTTCACTGCACTTTTCGAACGCCGAACGCAGGCACCCAGCGTTCGCGCACGGTTCGCGACGCCGAGTCACTTCCCGCGTTACTTAGACATAAGATGGCGGACCATTGCAACGGTCTGCTCCGTAAGTGGGACGATAGTGACTCCGGTACGGTGGCGCCACTGCCGTTCGTGTCGCGAAGCTTGTTCCGTGACCGGACCGGAGGCTCAAGCCAGGGGCTCAGGTTGCCTGGGTCCCGGGTCGCGACCTTCGGGCACCGAGTCCAAGCTCCTAGGTGGGCAACGAAGATGACAACGTGCGTCACGAGCAGGAGGAGGGAGACGGGGAGGAACCCTTCTGAGACAACATGGAAAGGTGAGCGACTCATGGTCTCCATTACGAATTATCACCGCCGAGCGTGGCTCTCCTCTAGCTATGTATAGCAGTTAGGGCAGTTGGGGAGTTTCGTTTTTTGGGTACAACTCCGATCGTGCGCGAAACCTTGCACCATCTCCCGACTGCAGGTTTTGTTGACATCGCAAGAAGCAAAAGTATATGTAGGAGAGCTGGTTACGAAGCGTCGTAATCTAAACCAGTTGGGACAAGACGACATTATTCTAATTGTCTGTGTTTCAGCTTTATGGTTTTGTTGACATCCCCGTTTCTAAAACTGTCTGAGCCTGTGATATGTAGTGAATGACCCCTTGCTCTAGATCCGAATCTTCATAATCATCCATCCCCTGGATGGATGATTATGAAGATTAATTAAGTGATTGAAAGTTTTTCTATGGAAAATTAATGGTGGAAAAAGAAAACTTTTACTGGGCTCTTTTCCTGATCAAGAAGGCACATAGAGGAAAATATCGTAAAACTCTTGAGGTCTAAAATTATGTTATGGAGTAGACTACGTACCGCATGGGTCACAGTGGGATTGTTCGGATGATGCAAGGCTGCCAAAGAATAGAGGAAATGCTGTACATCTTGAGCAGTGGTGAATGGTACAGGAACGTTTGTTCAATTGATACTGTTGAAGAACATGCATGCAGCAATCAACTGCTACGTACATACTCAAGACAGCCTTAAGTTTTCCAGGAAAAGGACCAAATTGTTTCCTGAATACCATGAAAAACGTTTAAAACCCCATCTTTATGCTTGAGGTCGTCTTTCATTAGTATACTTCTTTCCGCCTGCAGTAAAGATTATGTATGAAATGCCTCTCGACTGCGAATTTGTTATCTCAATTTGTTTCTGTTTCGACGGTGCAAAATGTTGATCTGATCAATAAAGCTCTTGATAAAACGTTCATCAAGTGGCTTTAGAGCCGTGCATGAGCCAAGAGATTGATTGGACTGCAACCCAAAAGGAATGAAACATAACTGGTATATAACAAAAACAATTATTTATCAAACAGCCGAAATATGATATACTAGGCTGGTTAATTTTTTATATGAATGATATTTTAAGGGAAATGAAGTTTCCGCTTTTCTAAAATTCAATTCATCCTAAATGTTTGTGGAACCCGGTACAGGAATCCGTTTTCGTTTCAATCTGTTAACTCACAGAAAAAAAGAAAGAAATCAATACCCGAGTAGCAAAATAATTTGTTGGCCTAGTTGGAATTAAACATTAAAAAAATAAAAAGCACCAAGGACAAGTGGAAGACTACACAGGACAAGTGCTTGTCCTTGTAGTCTTACACTTGTCCTTTGCGCTTTTTATTTTAGCAATACCTGAGTGTTTGTTTCTCTCAGCGAAATAAGAAATCACGTTGGTCGTGGTGTCAAATTTCACCAGAACCGGTGGTTCTCGCAGACACTGTAAGGCTGTAAGTCGGAACGCAACCCACAGCTGCTGTGGTAAGCAAGGCGATTGAGAAAAACAAGAGCGTTAACATACAGTATGTGGAGAGCAAGTCGTCTGCTTTTTGCGCAGCAGTTGCGGTGACGTCAGAACCACGCCGAGCTCTCGATCAGCTTTGATTGAAAGATTAGTGAGTAGACCTCAACGCGAGACGCCTTCAGTGGCAAATCCAAGGGGGGGCGGCGACTGCCCCCCCCCCCCCCCCCCCCCCCCACAAAGTCGACCCCCCCTTCCCCTTCTTGGAGTGCAATTTGACATGGGTGGTCCCCCCGGTGCTCAGAAAGAATGGGAGAATAGTATCCTTACAAATATTTCCCCCCCCCCCCCCCCCCCCAAAACGGAGTTCTGGATCCGCCCCTGGATGCCTTGAGGTCCCACTCTTTTTTTTTTTCAATCAGCCAATAAGAGCTCGGCATTCAGACGTCATTGCAGCCCCTGTGCAAGAAACAGACAAACTTACGCTCTGCACACTTTGTGCTCAAGGCCAACCCTAAATTTTCCCTTTTTTTTTTTTTCAGTAAACAAAAATGGAGAAAATTGAAAAACTTTAAATTCTCTTAAAATAATAAAGAGAACCAAAGCTCCACTGAAATAAATCTCTATCCAAAGCTTTATTTTGTGTGAACCCAAAGCAGATCTAGAGAAACTGGAGACGTCGTCTTTGGTTTCAACTATCTGCAACTTTAACCAGCTTGCCTGTTTGCCTACTTCGTTTCTGCACGCCTTATCTCGTTTTCTTCTCCTAATAGTACCAGGATGGTTTTCGAATATTCTAATCATGGATGTATCCAGTGTTGCGTAAAGTACATCCAAAAGTACTTTAATTAAAGTACAAAGTAAATAACAGGTTATGTACTTCAAGTAAAGTAGTAAGTACATCGGGTGCAATGTACTTGAAGTAAGGTACTACAAATACCACATACTTTTATAGTAAAGTACTGTCGAGACTGGTTATAACGAAGTCGGTCATAACAAAATAGCGGCTACAGCGAAGAGATCACGATTTCCCATTCCCGTTTGCACTGTTTCATTGCATTTGTGTCTGTTTTACGTGAAGGAAATCGAGCGGATCCCGCAGATAAAGCTGAGAAATTTTGTGACGATTTTAAAAAAAGAATAAAATTTTGAACGTTGACTAAGTCTCGGACTGCTGCACTTTGCTGCCGTGCCCAAGAAGCCACCCGAAACAAGCTGCAGAAGATGCTGGAAAGGCCACAGGCGGCAATCTCTGCAACATTATTTGCTCATTGCTCTTTATCTGGGAAGCGGCATTACCGCATCGGACGCAGAGAAGCCATCGTGACATGCCGATAAGGGTGTTCGGAGCGCTAGCTACAACATACTGGCGGAGATGACAGAGAGAGCCTAGATTTAAGAGAGGGAGCAGTAAGTACGCCTGCATTTGATTGTCGCGTGGCCAGTTTGGCGAGGAAACTTGGCGGAGAGGAGGACATGTTTGCAGGAGGTGAACGCTTTTGAGTTTTGGGTTCTTGTATGCTGCAGCTCGTTTAGCAAACACGGCCCACAAACCACATGATTCCGACCGAGCAGTTGCCCCATCTCTTAAATCTAGGCTCTCTATACCGACGACAGACAAGCTTGAGCGCGAACTCGGTGCTGTGTGCGCTTCTTTGTTTGCTTCATGATTTGTGTCAGCGTCTGGTCGGTGAGGCCGCTCTTGCGCGAAAGTCTACTGCGCTGAAGCACCGATTTGGAAAATCATCGCCACTCAACAATGGAGAGTCCCGGCACCGCCTGCACCTCGATGGGGAAGATGAAGGCAATCTCCTTGAATCAAAAGTGTGTCATCCTCAACGGAGTGCGCATAAGCGTAAAGAATGCCTTCCATCGCCGGCGTCCTCCATGGGGCCGTAGCAGCTGTCAACACGGTCCGTACGTAGCAGGATCTTTTTTCGATCGGAGCTTCTCGCAGTTGGCGAGAAGCAGCTCCAATCTAGCAGAGGGACGCGTGCAAAGGAGCCTTGACTGCTTTCTGCAGGCTCGGTAACCATATGCCCGTGACTACCCATGTTATCTTTTTTTTTCATGTTATTTGTATGAGTTCATATATAACAAGGAAGCGGATATAGCAAAGCGATTTCCGATTCCCGTTGAACCGGTCTCGAAAGTACAAGTACTTTTAACATAATCTTTCGTGATGCCTTTTTATTCTCCTATACGGCGTGCGAGTTTGTCTGCTCTTGGCACACTTTGTGCCTTTGTTTGCCCTCGAGATAGACCCATGTGCTTTTGTTTCCCCCCGACCTCAACCAATGACAGGGCACTCTTGGCTGCCTCGTCCCTGCACGTCCTCTACGCTGCTCTTTGATTGATATGCCTCTCCTTCCACTCCGATGTGCCGAGGCAGTGGCGGATCCAAGGGGGGGGGGGCAACGGGAAAACGGCTGCCCCCCCCCAAACAAAGTCGACCTCCTTCCCCCCCCCCCTCTTCTCGGAGGGCAATTTGACATGGGTGGACCCCCTTGCACAAGAAAGAATGGGAGAATAGTATCCTTAAAAATTTTCCGCCCCCCCCCCCCCCCCCCAAAATGGAGTTCTGGATCCGCCCCTGTGCCGAAGACACATTTGGGAACGCTTGCCTGCTGTATACCGTGTTTTTTTTAACTATCATGCATTGCCATTGAAGTGACCGGGGGTGCATTAGTTATTTTCGGAAATGGCGGCAGATATTGGATAAAGTCAAGTGGCTTCCGAATGGACCTTTTGCAGAAACATCGGTCCGAGAGTAACTGGTTCCAGTACTCTCTCTTCCTTCTGGCCGAGCAGAAAGGGAAGATGGTTTCGTTGTGTCGACTTCGGAACGGAAGATTACGCACGATGGGGACAAAGGCGAGTTCGGGGGAGCTGTATCTAGGTCACAGCGTCTGAATGGGTGAACAGGATGTAGCTGACGTTTTGGGAGTGCAACGGGTGGGAGAGGCCTCGCGCGCGCGTTGTTTTCTCGCCACTTAGCCTCGACCCCAGTCGCGTGTCTAGGTGGCAGCACATATTCGCCAAGAGGTCCATTGACAAAGCATCGTTTTGTCATAAAAATTTAACCAGACCGAATTTGAGGAATGTACTTTGAAGCCGGAGGCTGTACTTTACTTGGAAATTAAGTACCAGAAAAAAATACTTTAAGTACAGGTATTCTAAACCTGAATAAAGTAGTACTTGAAGTACAATGTACTTAAAGTATTTCTGAACACTGATGTATTTCCTGGAGGTTGGAGAACACCGTTGACCTCTTTCCTTCACGACAAATCCGGATAAACGCCGATTTTTTTTTTTTTTTGTCCCGACATTGAAGAACACAGAATCTGTGGGCAAAACTAAACTGTCAGTAAAATACAGCTGAATTCGAAGAAGTGTATAATCCTAGAAAGCACGGAACCCCAGCAATGTGTTTAGTTTGATCTGCGGTATATGTTACTTCATTTTTTATTTTGCACATACAGCCAGCTGGGAGGCTGAAGCAGATGGGTAGGCCCGTTAAAAGTAAGAGCACCCTCGAGTGGCCAATTAGGACAGCGCAATGTAATGTCATTTATCTCTGCCGGTTGTTTGGCGCTACCAGAGGAAAAAGATGTGGTCCGCCAAATGTCTGCAAAGAGCCGAATCGCTGACTGAACATTCACACAGATATCGTTAATATAAGGTAGAAAAAGGAGTGGCCCCACTACTGATCCCTGAGGAACGTCGAATTTCACGGGTATTTGGGAGGTTGTCGTCTAAGTGGCCGGACCGATTTTTGGAAAGGGTCTGCGTTGCAACGCCGCCATAACGTTTTGAGCTTTCACTTGTTTTTTTTTTCAGTGACTGCCGAGTCATTCCAACACTGGACGTGTATAACCAGCGGATTCTCGACGACTCAGCGTACGGCACTGTCTCCAAAACAGACCGGCTCTGTCGGCGCGACCTGGAAGAAAGTCACATGCAGCAGGGACTGCTCTACGGTTGGTACCCCCTGACAGTGCCTCAAAATTCCTTAGCGCCGATTTTCGGTCTCGACAACTTTCTTTGGTTGCATCCCGTTCACCCTGCAAAACTTCTTGCGTCTGCGTTTCCAAGCTCGACGGGGTGAACGGCTAAAGCTGCATGTTATGTGAAAACTTCGGTTATATTTTTTCGTTTGTTCATTTGTCGCATTGCAGACGAAAGTGCCTGCGAGGGAGAGCGCCCTGTGCATTGTAGGACTCATGCGGGGCATGCTGCAGAGGGATCCGTGTCCGACGATGAAGAGGTAGGTTTCCTTGCTTCGTAGCGAGCCACTAGCACTCTCGAACAGAGAGGCGCGGCATTCGAGGCCAACCCTACACCATCAAGCGCCCTAGGCAAACTCTGGCCGTGATGCCTCCCTCCTCCCTTTTTATACGCTCCTATCTACTGCCGTAATATCTAGAGAAATGGCCCATCCCAGAAAGATAGCCCACTCCTCTTTTTAACGCAACAGTGTTAAGGAGCTTGTGCCGCAGAAAAGTCGGTGGCGTGATGGGAAAATCCTGATTGGTTGACAGGGTCATGACGTCACACCCACATGACCTGCCGCGGGAATTTCAAACAACCCACAGCGCTCGCGTGAAATGCAACGTCACGTGCGGATGAAAGTGATGAAAACGGGACATGTAATACAGATTAAAGGTCGTCGCACGTCTCAAATAATTTCACTTTACAAAGTTATTCATTTGCCTTAGGAAAACAAATTTGAAGAATTTATGTGAGATTCGAACCCACAACCCTTCAAAAGTGAGCCAGACAAGCTACTGAATAGGCCATGCAAGGCACGCTTGCACGACTCGGGAAAGAGCGGAAGTTTATATGTTTATACGCGTGCCCGTGCAGCCGAAGTGGGGCGACAGCAGCGACAGGACGATTCGGAGACGCGATAGCGCCTCCGGACGTCGGAGCGCACTCGCGTTTGCTGGCGTGAGAAGCAAAAGAGAAGGCGATGCGAATGGAGCCCGATAACGCTATCGCGTTCCACTCTTAAAGGCGAAGCTTAGGCGCGCTCTTTAAGTTTTGGCATGATTTGCTATTTTTTCTGAAACACCTAAAGATAGCCCACTTCTAGTAAATGCTGGACCCTGGCCAACGGCGACCTTAGCCAGAGCGGTGTTACTTAATCACAGCGGGAGTTATGTGAACATTGCTGACTGTGAGGACAGTCATCTTTGGTTCATTGCCCTTCCTGCGATCACAAGTTTTGAGAATCACAAAATCTAAAACTAGCCTTTTTTTATGTTTTTTTTATGGCACACTGAAAGTTAGCCCACCCCTTGTTTTCATCCAATTTGCTATCAAATTTAGGTGGGCTATCTCTTGGGACGCTTTTAATTATTTTTTGTAAATGTTGGTGCATTGTCCTGTGTATTATCGTCCTGCATAACTAAAGCACTATAGAGGTCATGCCATTATCACAGGTAAATAACTTTTTTTTACTTTTGACTTGACAATCTAGAAGTATATACAGCCGTTATGAGTCTTAAAACTAGCAAAAACATTGATGTCAATAACATGCAAATAACGCCTATCAAATATGTCATCGATCTTCTTGCACCATATTTAACACATATATATAACCTCGCATTTGAAACCGTCTGTTTTTCGCTTCAAGTGCGAGTATCAAGGGCGGTGATATACTTCACAAGGGCAGTGATATGCTAGATATAAATAATTACAGTAGGCTCACGATAATTCAAACTCGGATATTTTATACTTCCGGTTAATTCAAACAGATCTGAAAATTTTGGTTGTCCCGCTATATTTTTAATGTATTTATAAGCCACTTAATTCGAACGGCGTTTTCGCTTAATTCATACTTTTTTGTTCTCGCGGCCCCGTTGAGTGCGCTTCTTTCCGAGCACCGGTGCACCGCAGAAAAGCAATACCCGCGGAGCTTGTTTTCGCGAGTGTTGCTTCTCCGCAGTGCACCGGTGCTCGGAAAGAAGCGCACTCAACGGGGCTCAAGCAGGCACACATTAGCAGAAAACAGCATTCACATTATGTGCTTCAAGACTAGCAATGATGATCAAGACGACATCGAGGATGAGGAACAGCTCACTGGCATTATGCTTTCTGGCCTTAAAGCACATAATGTGAATGCCGAGCTGGCAGAATATGCTAGTCTTGACGACGATGTGTGTGTGAGTGAAGAAGTGAGAGTGAAGGTGATGATGAAGAAAGGGATGACCCATTACCAACTGTCACAGCCGCAGAGGCCTTTGAGCACATCGCTCAGCTCCGGAAGTTTCTGTCTGCAAAGGAAGAGTCCCGTAAAGAGCTACTTGTGTTGGCTGGTATTGAAAATTTTGTTTTGAGATCTCATGTACTGACTAAACAGTCCGCAATCGACAACTTTTTTGCCGGATGAATAAACTTAACGTCACAGTTCTTTCACCAATGTGTTATGCCTGTACTTGCTTATAAATAGGCATAGGTAGAGGAAACTGGCAAAATCTGCTTTGTATGTGTAGCTATCCATGTAACAAATCATAATGTTGTCTAATATCATATTTAGATGAATCTGTAACTTCTGGAGTTTGAATTAATGAGAGTCTACTGTATAAACCGATTTCCTTTCTTCCCATTTTAGAGCACAACTCTTAGGCACCCGTTTCTGGCTTGAGCGGCAAAACCATCGTCGTTGCGTTGGCGCAACTGCGCGAGTTGCATTATGGGACATTTCCTTACTAAAGTAAGCAGGAAAATTTTCCCGTTAAATTTAGCGGGGAAATTTTTCCACTCAATTGAGCAAGGAATTTTTTCCGCTAAATTTAGCAAGGAAATTTTCACTAAATTTAGAGGGATATTTAGCGAAAATTTTTTAATAGATGGGAGGGGAGGAGGGGCATACCCTCCCCTCCTCCTCCTCAAGAGCTGCACTCTAATTCAGCATTACAGAGAATTGTAAATGTCTTTCATTTTTTCTGCTTTGTCAACGGATACTTTGTCACATCGAGGGTCCTCTCACCACATTCCCCTTTTGGATGATTTAAAAACATCAGAAGCTGAACCTGATTTAAAAGAGCAGAAGCCTCGGTGCCCGACTCTTCCGCACGCTTAGGAGCAAGCGAGAATCGAGATGGTCCTTTTATGATGTAGTGACGCGTCACATGTGACTAGCCAAATGGTGTGCCGCTGCGGCTATCGCTTCTGTTTAGTGATGATTTTGGGTGAAACGGTTGAGATGTTTGAATTCAGCAGGCACATGCATGTCAGAATCAACCATTAACTCATTTTTCTCAAAAAGCTGTTCCGCTTCCCTTTAAAAACAGCTCAGTGAAAATTGCAAAATACAGTTGAACCTCGATTTAGCGAAGTCACCGGGACCCCCTAATAATTTCGTTAAATCGGGAACTTCGTAAAGTTGAGAAAGACATTTTTCGGGGATAGGCTGCGCGGGGAATCCGAATTTGTTCGTTAAATCAGGAAACTCGCAAAATCGGGTTTCGTTAAATTGAGGTTCAACTGTAATCAAATTAGACTTTTACATAGGCAGTCTGCACAGACATTGTACTCCTTTGTTAACTTTTTAAATATTGGTTTTAGGGGTCACGTTGCAATTGTTGTATTGACTGGTGGCAATTACTATTAGAGGCCAGACCAACTAAAGAATTTGGGAAAAGGTAATGGTTTTATTAATCAATCGATTTTTGTTCTTTTCGCCCTGACTTAAAGGGGCCCTGCAAGGACTTTTTAGTGGTTTTTAATTTGCACCGAACCTCAGCGCACTGAACGTAGTAACCTAATTATACTTTTCTCGAATTTCACTTTATTTTATAAGTTACAGGCAAATTAAAATGACAAAAACAAGCAAAAAATAACCTCCTTCATGACGTTCTTAAGGCCCGTTCACACTCTTGCGACCGAGTACGACTGAGAGAGACGAGATCTCTTACAACTTCGTAAATGTTTCTAGAATGAGGGAACACACTGACATTGTGGCGCCATCTATGCGGTGACCCTAGAACTGCATTTCACAAAAGCGAAGGTTTTGCGGGATTTCCGAGGTCAAATGTGCGTAATACCCATAGAAAGGCTCGTTTATAACATTGACAAAAGCTTTTCGAGCCAAAAAAGAAAGGATATTGCGCGAGAAATAAAAAAAAAAATATGCCGGACCGCCGAGTTTACACTGCTTCCCAATAGATGGCGCCAGTGTGTTCTCTGGTTTAAGAAGTTTTAAGGAACCCATGTTTAACAGGTCGCAAGCAGTCGCAAGAGTGTGAACGGGCCTTTAGTTGCTTGAGTGGCGGTGAACTAGAGGAGGGGTAGTGAGCTCAGCAAGCACTCACGGCTGTCGCACTCTGTGTCGACGGCGCGAGGGGGCGCCACTAAAGTATGTTCTGGATAGGCTATATGCGGCGGGCAGCCAGAGCGACTCTCATTGCATTTGCTGCTTAATTAAACACTAATTCGGCATGACACTTCATTGGCCACAAATGACAGCAAACACGGGGTAATGATCAGTTCAGAATGGGAGCCACTTCGCGCTGCCATACCGCGAAACGGCCAAACCGCAAAACAAAGCTGCTCGCCGGAGGCCCTCGGAACGCTCAGAGCCATTCGGATCATCCAGTTCATACTACCGCAGCGGTGCCGCACACATCCGGTACCTTTCCGTGTCGGTGCCTCATTGCACTACTCCTTTCCTCTTCCATCGCTTGATGGCGGTTATGTCGACGGTTCATTTCTTGTTTCCATACTTTATAAACTGCATTGGTTCCTTCTGATCTAAAATCCTGAACAAAAACTACTTTTATAAATAATTGAAACGGTTCGCATCACTTATATTTTGTATTTCGACTAAAAAGAAGCTTTTAGCGGCTCTGACCAGTAGTAAGCCCAGGACCAAAGACATCACATATCGCGCGCTTTTGATACCGCGGGTCGCCCCCGTCAGTGGAGGAGGTTTCCACGTCGTCCGGTTAAAATATGATGCACTAATATTTAGTTACTTCCTCCATGCCTGCTGGCTTGCCCCAACTCCAAGAGACGTGGAAACCGCAAAAAAGGTAGATGCTTAATTATGATTGCAGGGCCCCTTTAAAGAGTGTGCTCTAGAAGAGTGTTGCAAGCCCTGCCCAGAACGACACTCGGATGAGTGACGTTGATATGAGAGTGTCGTCGCTTTTTGGTAGCATGTCCTTGGCAGGTGCACTGACGACACAAGTAGCAATGTGACTGAAACGACTACGTCACTCTTGCAAGCGTTACTGTGGGCGGGGCTTGTTGTGCTCTTTTTGCACACATTTTCTAAAGCGCAGCTCTTAGGCGCCCCGTTCTGGCTGGAGTGGTGTCTTGGTCGGCGTAACCGCACATTACATTATGGGACGTTTCCCATTATGACGTCACACGTGACGTCACACGGCGCCTAAATTTAAGGGGAATATTTCCCCGCCAAGTTTAGCGGAGAAATATTCTCGCTAAATTTAACGGGCAATTTTTCCCGCCAAAATTAGCAAGGAAATTTTCTTGCCAAATTTAGCGGGAAGATTTTCTCCCTAGATAAATCTAAGGGGAAAATCATTTTTCCACTAAATATGGCGGAGAATTTTTTCGCTAGATTTAGCGGGAAAATATTTCCCCTAAATTTAGCGGGAAATTTGGCGGAAATATTTTGCTAATTGGGAGTGGAGCAGAAGAGGAAAAAGGGCGTACCCTCCCCTGAGAGCCGTGTATACAGAGAGTTTGGTCAATGGGAGGCACAGGCAGAGCCAGGGTGTGCACCAAACTCGGAAAAAGGACTTTGCTTTCTTGACCAACTTGAAGCCAAAAAGAATCCTCCAGCGGTGGTTGCGAGAAACAGTTCTGATCGAAGGTATATGTTCGTATGTGGTTTTAATAAGCTTGTAAGAGTGAAGTGTAGTAGCTCTTCGTGATTGAAAATAGGGTGCACGTGATGTTTCGATCATGATCATGCAGAAAGATGTAAGAAACGAATGCGCCGCTCAACTCCGTTTTGCTCGCACAGAGTGTGACTTCTCGGACGACAGATTCCCGGCCCTCGGTGCTTGGCATAAGGATTATGTCGATCGTTCCGCTAGTCGCATTCTTCCACCATCATTTTGAATGAGCGTGATTTAAACATCACGTGTACCATATTTTCAGTCATCGAGAGTCACTTCGTTGCACTTATCACGTTTGTTTCTTGCGACCACCGCCAGGGTATTATTTCCGGCTTCTGGTTGGTCACATTCGAATTTCTGAAGACGCCCTGGAACACGCCCAGCCCGCTTTCGGCCAATGGGGCCTCCTCATTTGTCTCCTAAACTTCCCAACGAATGGCCAAACTCTCTACATATACGGCTCTGCCTCCCCTCAATACGCTCCCTTCCTCTTCCTCAAGAGCTGCACGCGCATTACAGGGAATTGTAAGCGTCTTTCATTTTTATAAATCGGGAGACAAAAACCTATAATATCTTTAAAAAACATTACCTTCTTGTAAATTCTTTAAATTGGCTTGTCCTCTAATAGTAATTTCCATCAATACTGCAATTCCAACATGATTCCTGAAACCAATAATGAAAAACTTCATTAACGAAAATCAGTCAGCTAGTCAACTTCGCATTGCGATTATCCCAGAAGTCAACGTCCACCGAGCCTGGTAATACATGGGGAAGACAACGCTCGTCCCACTTTCACCCTCTTTTTTTTTTATCTGTTTGAATTAAAATTAGACACCCTGTATAATTGACAAGTTTATGCTTCACTTCTAGGTCATGTGTCTCATTAGGAAAAACGCACTAAAGGCATCGCTTGTTGGCTAGTCTAGTCCATTGCCCGGTCTCTCACGGCTGGCCACGATGTCCGCAGACGGTGGAGAGCATAGAGAACCTGGAGGACTTGAAAGGCCACACGGTCCAGGAGTGGGTCACCCAGCTGGGGCCCAAGACAGAAATCTACAACCGCTTCAAGAATTTCCTCCGCACCTACGTGGACGAGCAGGGCCACAATCTTTACAAGGAGAAGATCGAACAAATGTGTGAAGGTGAGGACAACTGCCTCCGCATCCGCGGCCGGTGCGGTCCGTAGCTCGCTTCAACTGGTTCCCTGGGAAAGAACGAGGCAGCGAACGACCGGCATCGTTGAATTAATAATGGGCTTTCTCTAATCCAAAAAAAGCCATTTCAAGCTGAACGATTTTTCGGAACAGGCCATGTGCAACGGTGATGACGACACCTCAGGGACATTGTCATCACCATTGGCATTGAGAAGGGACATAGCATTGATGATATCTGCGTGGTGCGTTTTTGTTTGTTTCCTTTTGGAAGATTATACAGTAAATGTTGATGATGGCCCTTTTCTTAGTGAGGCGCCGCGGACTCCCGGTGACTTGGGTAATGATGGTGAGGTCGAGTTAGTTGGTGATGGGGAGCAAATAACTTTACGTATATAAGGAGTGGAAATATACAAAAGATTTTACGAGTGGTGGAAAGAACTTTCTGGACGCCCTGCAGACCCTCTCCGCAGCTACTCTAGGTGAGGCATGTTCACCTAGCTCTAGACAAGAATGCTGCCGCTGGGGCTTCCTAGTTCTTAAATAGTCCGGCATTCATGAAGCTCTCTCTTCGGAAAATAAAACGCCCAGAGAACAACGCTTGAAGCTGAGGTCATTTTTCTCAAACGCTATTTGTACTAAATCTCACATCACTTGATCTCTGCTCTTCTCATTCATTGATTCTAATGTTGGGTCTCAAGTTTGGCGTTCTTGCCACACTCGCCACTTGCGGCGGTGGCACATGGGCCACACGTCGCCAATAGACCCTTTACAAAACCTCATCGGGCAGCACTGGAGGCCGCCATATTTCGGGCATGGCTTTCTACTCAAATCATGTGACTGGATCTGTGTTTGCATTGAGCGCTGACACGGCACTTGTGCCGAATGCATTTGGCACTTCTGCCCAATGCACAGAGTGCAGTGTTCGGCGCGAGTACGCGCCGAACAGTGCAATGTGAGCTATGCGTTCATTGAACCAGCCAACCTCTTCCCTCTCATCACCTGACCCACTCTCCACGCAGGGGTGTAGGCGGGAGTGTGATCATGTGGCGAAAGATAGGCATGCGAGTGGTCCACCGAACATGTAGCTTCCACTGCACTGTCAGCTTAGTGGTGAACGGAGTATGATGCGGCACTCATGTCCATGCACATTTGAATTCCCAAAGCATAGCTGGCATTGGATAATCGACGCAGCACCCCACCGGAGGACACACATCGTCGAAAAGGGCCCGTTGCTGTCGCGAAAGCTACTTTTATTTTTCATTTTTGAAGCGCTGCCTTTGGCTTACGACACCGCCTCCTCTCCGTCGTCCAGGGAACGGGCACAGCCTGGAGGTGAGTTACACCACGCTGGCAACAGCAGATCAGATGGTGGCCTACTTCCTGCCGGAGGCGCCCTCAGAAGTGCTGGTAATCCTGGATGAAGCCGCCAAGGACATTGTCCTGGGGATGTTCCCGCAGTACGAGCGGATCACCGGGGAGATCCGCGTCCGTATCACCGACCTGCCCCTCATCGAGGAAATATGCAGCCTCAGGTCCGTTCATCTATTTTCATACCTGCCAACTCCTCCGAATTTTTCGTAAAATGTATGAATTGGGACTAATTTTCCAATTTTACAAATCTTGCTTCAAATTTTACAAAAAAAAAGATATATAAATTTTTTTTTTTTACTTTATTTGTAAAACTGTTGTTGGCGGTATCTTGCACTGCCACAAGAGGGCGATAGGTACCGTTTATGGCAGCGTCGTGGTTTTTACTATTCGTCTATCGGGTGGCCGCGGATCCAAATCCAATATCCAAAGCCTAAAACCCTTATTCGTGGGTTTGGCGGCGCCAACGAGGACAGAAGGGTAGGAGAGGGCATGACGTCAGCCGCGTAACCTCCACAAGCCATGCTCCCTTGACTCCTCGTTTCTTTCTCATTTTCCTCCTTACTCTCCTCACTTATCAGCCCAACATGACCACATCGCGTGACCATAGCTAGCCTTCGTCTAGCCTTCAATCTGATAAAACCTACCGGACGGAGCGCGCGCAAGCCTGCAAGGAATCCTCCTACAATCAACCATCCATCTCGCACGTGACATGTCACGCGCACCAATCGCGAGAGAGATCTGCGGTCACGCTGGGCACAATATTGTTTAAACTTTTTATGACTAGGCTTCACCGATATTGCAACGTGCCCCCTCCTAGTACTTATAGCCTTCTTGGGCGGCACACTTTGGTTCGGCATGTTCAGACTGTTCAGACGTGTTTGGGCCTCTCTGTTTCGGCCAGTTTCGAGGCGAGCAAAGCGGCGTCTGTGTGTCTGTTGCACGTGTAATAGTAGCACTCCCCTGGTCGCGGTGGCTTTGCAGCGCAATGGCAAACCCCGATCCTACACGTCGGAATTCTCGTGCTTCATGCCGACCAAAAAGGGAGAGGAGTTTGGATTCTTTAGCACGTGCACGTGTGATGTAAGCGTTTCGCACAGTGGCGAGGCTGACATTAAGGTGCAGATCGCTTCGCGTAAACACACGCCCCGCGCGGCCGCGGGATTTTTACGAATTCGAAAGTCCGCAGGTTGGCAGGTATGTATTTTGTTCCGCGCGAGATGAACACTGCCTTTCAGCGACGGTACGTCGAGCTTGCCAGCGTGCGGAGCCAAAACTTGGAATGCAGACTCGGTTGTTAGGACTTGACGAGTTCCGTATCCTCGCTCCTACTCATTTCGCCATGGATGGGTTGTAGCAGCAGGTATTCTTGTAGTTACCGCTGCGTGGAGCTCGTTGAAGACCTCGGGTTAATTTCCCCCTCTATAGCGGGGACAAAAGCGGCATTATGTTTTGGGGTCAAACTGACGTTTCGCTCCAGCAGGAAGGGATGCAAAGTTTGTGTCTCTTCCGTCCACATCTGCCGGCTTCCACCTTCTCATTACGTCTCCCCATTTCCTCCGAATCGAGTGCTTGTTCCGCTGCCCCCTTGCCTCCTGCACTCTCTCCTGCCACATGCACATGCGTGCTTGCTGCCTTGTGGCAACATTCCGTCTTTTCCCACGTGGGCCGTAGGCGTCACTGGTCTGATGTAGAATTCACGACCGGAAAGACCCCGGTTCGAAACCAAGCGCTTCCCCACTTTCTCCCAATGCTTCCTTATACCGGCGAATTTTCGTCCGACGCTCCTGCACGACAGTAGTATGTTACGGGAATCTGCCGTGCTCCGTTTCACTTCGAGTTCGACCGCAGCCGACGCTACGATTCGACAGAGGTGACCGAGCGGCGCCAAAAGTGAGTCGTCACGACACTCGTTGTCTTTGTTTGCTATCGGGAAATAAACCAATCGTGCACAGTAAATGTACCGCGACCCGTAGGTTTTTTTTTTTCTTCGCGCAATTCATTTGGTGGGTGACGGGAAACCCGCGAAGACAACAGGTGCCATGACAATGCACTTTTGGCGCCGCTCCGTCGGCTCCTTCGGGTCGTGGAGTCGGCTGTGGTCTGATTTAAAGTGAAAGAGAGTGTGTGGAGACCAAGTCATCTGCTTTTTGCGCAGGAGTTGCAGTGACGTCAGAACGACGTCGAGCTTTGATTGGCTTTGATTAAGAGGGTGGTGGGTAGACCTCAATGTTAGATGCCTCGAGGTCTGCCCACTATTTTTTCTCAATTGACCAACGAGAGCTCGGCATTCTGACGTCATTGCAACCCCTGTGCAGGAAGCAGACGAAATTGCGTACCGCATAGGAGCCAGTCATGTAAGGTGCATTTGTGCATTTTTATAAAAAAATATCTGCTTTGATTCACGTAGCCGGTTGGACCCGAATCAGTCGGTCCGGACGGCTGGTGTGACGACGAACGTGACGGGAACCCTGCTGCTACTGTTCCTGATCAAGTACATCTGCGTCAAGTGCGGCCATGTCCTGGGGCCCTTCGTCGAGTTGCGGAACTGGGGGTTCGAGCCGGGGCCCTGTCCCGAGTGCCGGAGTGTGGGCCCCTTCGCCGTAAAGAGAGAGCAGGTGAGAGAGGTCGTCGTCTGCCGACCACCTCCTTTCCTTATCTTTTCTTGCAAGCCTTCCAACAATTACTGCCCTGTTGGCAGAACGAATTCGTTCGGCGTTTACCAACAAAATCCCTTTTGCCTACCTTCCCACCATGCCCACTTTGTGCAGATTCAAGTAGCCATGAGCGAATAGTGGATTTTGAGTTTGAAGGAAAGTGGTTTTGGTCGAATATTGTCTAATAGAATATTGAATAGAGTTTCTCGAAGTCTTTCACTACTCTGCACCCTGCTTGAACGAAAATTCAGATGAACTTGCGTGAAGGTGGTTCCCAATCTTTTAATTGTCCACTTCTAAGCTCAGTTACTTTAACACAACTACTCTAGGAACTGTGGCGTGTAAACAATATATTTGTTATTTATAATCCAGGGGATTTATAAATCTGCTCGGCATATGCAAATATTCTTTCTTCTATTCCAAGATTGATAAAATAAAAACAAAACTACCGGGAATTATGAATGCGGGCTGTCAAACATCGCTGCCTAACACATACTCTCGCATAATTGCGGCGGTTTAGACCCGTTGAGTGCACTTCTCACAGAGCACTGGTGCACTGCGGAGAAGCAATAGTACTTGTAGAGCCCATGAGCTCTGCGGATATTGCTTTCCCGGAGTGCACCGATGCTTGGTGAGAAGCGCACTCAACGGGGCTAACCCACCACGATCGAGATGAATGAATATGGCAATTCACCTCGAAGCGAATACCAAATAGCGTATTATTCGAAACTACTATTAGAATATTTGCACAACACTACATCTTAGGCTTTGATGGCGTAATCCGTCATCACGCAGACTAGGGAGAATTCTTATACGCTCGTGCCGTGTTAGTACGAAGATTCCCCAATGCAAGCATTTATGTCTCCATGCTAGGACACAGCATTAACATAACAAGCACATTCTGCATAATAGAGGGGTCTGTTCTTTGCACAGAAATGAACCACCTCCTTTGCACAGCCCTCCCTCTGCCACTACCATGTTGTACACATTTTATGTGACCTCACCTAATGTGTCACAGGCCATATGCCGCTCCACAAACGGTGTTCGGGATCTAAGTGTCGGTTTATTCTTTCCTCACTTGTCCAGAGTGGCAAGCCTGTCGCTTTGCTGTTTCAGCGTTACCTCAGCTGCCTCTTTTATTTACTAATCTGCATTCTCTAAATGCCTCTTGATCAAGATTGTGCGAATAGTGGATTTTAAGCTCGAAGCGAATTCGAAGCGAGTAGTGGTTTTGGCCAAATATTTTCTAATCTAATAGTTTCTCCCAGCCTTTCACTACTGCACCATGCTTAAATTTTAAACGAAAACCCAGCTGAATTCTTGAAGGTTGTTCCCACGATTCCGCTTAATAATTTCTTCATTAACATTTAGTCCAACCATATATGTGTGGACTGTGACCTAGAAAGTCTGATCTCTACATTGGGATGGCTACCAAATGACGCATTTGGCATCAAATTAAAGCTATATAGATGACCAGCTATACCAAATGGAGGTGATTTATAAACCTCTTTGCTATTTTCAAATATCCTTCCTAAAATTTTTAATTTAAGAAGAAAAGACAAAAAAAAAAAAAGACAACCACAAATAATGAATGCAGGTTGTCAGGACATCTCTGCCTAACATGTATATAATTTTGCCACGGTTTAATTTTGAAAGTTACTGTAGTGTTGATATCAACATTCAGAAAGTTTGTGTTTTTAAATGTACTAGGTGCATGTGTGCACCATCCCGCTTTGAAAGTATACTTTCCTCCTAAGCGCGCGGCTGCAATATTTGGACTTTTCGAAATGGTGATCACAGCAAATTAGCCCCGTTGAGTGCGCTTCTCATCGAGCACCTGTGCACTGCGGCAAAGCAACACCCGCAAGTGCGAGCTCCGTGGGTGTTGCTTCTCTGCAGTGTACCGGCGTTTGGTAAAAAGCGCACTCAAGGGGGCTAACCTACTGCAGTCAAGAATGTTGCAGTTCATCTTGAAGTGAATATTGAATGTTGTATTATTCAAAACTACTATTCGTAAATTTGAATATTCGCACAATCCTACCTTTGGCACTGTGTGATGGCTTCTTCGGCTTTCTTACTTCTTTTTGGTTTGTGTTTTTGCCTTCTTTTTCTTTCTGGTTTGGTTTGGCGCTTCTATTGCTCCCACTTCAAAAAAAATTTCTACTAAATCATCAATGTCCATTCTTCCTCCGGTGACCTGGATATATATAGCTTTCTTCAGAAAACTCCTGTAGCTCAACATAAATTACACCTGGTTTGTGGTTCTGTTGTCAAAGTATCACATTTTATTTTAATCCTCTAGGTTTTTGTATCTTTTTTATCTATTCCCATGCCTCCTAGCCTGTTACGTACAGCTTGTGAGACATTATGCAGTAGTCATTTGTTGAGTGCAAGTTACCTCTTTCCCACGTCACTCTCCCCTTTACATTTTACTTGGGCATTAACCTGTACTAGATCGAGGGCATCGCAGTACATTGCAGAGCTCCCATAACATCCTCCCCATTATATCTGTGAACCCACCAGTCAAGTCACCATTAATGTCCTAATGACAGTTATTTCCGCCTCGAATTTTCCCTCCTCAAATATTTCCCTGCTGTGCTGTGTGCTGTGTGCAATCCCCCAAACTTTTCAACCGTAGGTGTTTCCCTTTTGCTTTCCCTCTTCCCTGGTCCTGCCTCTTCACTAATATCCCTTTACATTCTTCCCCTTTTCACTATATCCTGTCCATGTCACTTCAGGAATGAGGGGAGATTCTTCCATAATTCTAAGGTGAGTGAGTGACACAATGTGCTTTAAAATTTACTGTACGTAGTTGCTCTTCAATTCCTTGGTGCCTCAACCCATGCCTGCCCCCTGCACGCTTACAAACCGTACAAATTCACGACTAAGGTTGCCACTAAACCGCAGATGGCATCTGCACAACTGCTGCTGCTGCTGCTCTGTGCCCTCTTCCTCACCTTGAATGCCCAGCTTCTCCCCAAACGACGAAGCGTTTGGGGAAACGAAGGACAAAGCCTGCCTACTAGTTGCTTTTCAGCATGTGCTGCATGTGCATAGTGCAACTAATTTCGTGTTTAATGCCAGATGTGGAGGCACAAGAACAAATGACACCGACAATAGGGTCCGGAATAAATGGTCTCGGCAAATATGGCTCCAAGAAAAATGGTTCCCGACGATAAGTTGGAAGAAAATAAGCCTCAATCACAAAGTAAGTTGACTGAGGCAACTTTTGTAATGCTGTAGTTTGGCAATGCTCTAGTTGGTGAGCGGCACGCCGATCGTTCGGGTAAATCGGCCATCTCTCTGCCTATTTTGCGAGTCTTTGCACCTGAATATTACACCATTCAGGCAACTCCTCCTCAGAAATATCTTTGTTAAGAATGCCTGCCATTTCATTCATTAATAAAAGTTACTGCCGTAGTATCCCAAGACGACCCACCATGAGAGATAACCCAGCCCCTATTTTTGGCATGACTTACCACTTCTAGTGAGCATCTTTGCAGCGCTGGGGCCAGTGGTGACCTCGGTCGAAACGAGGTTAGTTAACTGCAATGGGAAACAAGCAAACATTGCTGACTGGCAAGGACTGTCGTCTACGTTTCGTCGCCCTCCAATGTGATAACAAGCTTGGCAAAATAGAAAATACAAACAAAAAAATCATTTTTTTTTGTTGCGCGTTGAAAGTTTGCCTACTCTTCATTTTCATATGATTTGCTCTCGATTTTGGGTGGGCTATCTCTCGGGGTATTATGGTAGCAACATTTCTCCTCTGCCAACTGTGGTCAGCATGCATCCCTGGCCACAGATGAATGGATGCACCAGACACAAAGTTTCCAGACATCAATAGATTCGAGTGTCAGCATGAAAGTTTCGGGCTCTTGTTGAACATTTTATTTACAAAGAAACCTGCATCGCCGTGAACACTACAGCAGGGGGTGGGTTTTACGAAGGAACACTAGTAACATATGACTGCACTATAACGAAAAAAGATATCTATCAAACACAACTATAGGCGGGGCCAGGTTAAGGGTTTGGAGGAAGCTCCTCCCACCTCTTTCCACTACAGCGGAGCGAACAATCCTCCTCCTCCATCCTCCATCCCGAACTCTTAACCTGTCGCCGACTATAACATAAAACTAGTATATGAAGAAGCATTCGTAAAACATCACTGGAATATAAGAAAAAAAATATTATCTGTCAAGCACAATTATAGTATAAAAATAAACAAAAAAGATGCCGAAACTGCTGTTGTCGTTACGCTGCTTCTCGATGAAGTGCATTAGCATTTAGTGCAGGGGTTCGTTGTCTTGGGAGAGCCAGTCTATCCTCCCGGGCGTCGGCAGTTTCGTATGCAGCCATCACAGCTTTTAGAGGAGGCGCGTCAACAGTGCCGCGTCATTGGAAGCGCGCGAGAAGACTCTTGCCTTTCTAAATAAGAGGAAAAGTGGACATAATGACCGAACGCATAGAGCAAAAGCGGGGCTGAACCGCGCTTTTGCGGTTCCTGCCCCGCGGTCCACGGTCCGGTCTAGACCAAACCAAAGACAGCTGCATGGACTAGGGCAATAAATGCAAACACATTTAAAAAGCCATCGTCCAAAAAACCTAATCTTGGACGTGGGAATGTCCAAGGTATACAGCGAAACATCTGCAGTACAAGTACGACCAGGGCGCAAATCATTTTCGCAACACAAACTCTGGCAGGCTGCTGAGTGCTTTAAAGGTTTGACATACAACCGATCGGTTTTCCGCAAGGAAGATAATCCTCTTGGTGCCCTCCTTCCCAAAACTGTGAAGGGAGCCATGTCGGGGCAAGGTTGAAAGGTGGAGAGGGCATGTGAAAGGAGGGAATGAGAAAAAATGAAAAGTGCAAAGTGTATGTCCGCCTTTAACCAGCTCAGTTACTGTCGGGGAAAGTGACCCAAAGAGCATTGTTCGGTCCAGGTTACTTGAAATGTTTCTTTGTTCTTGTGCAAGGAAAACGGTTCAATCTGATTGGTTCTTTTCTGGTTGACAGTGTCGCCCGAGATGTCACCAAGTCGACGCAGCCCTAGCGCCGCTCCGTACAAGCTTCCTCGCCATGGACGATGACGAGTACGGAAGTGAATGCTTCCCGAGATCTGAATACAAAACCAGGTTCAGTGAAACCAGTGCGTTTGAAATGTCGGACCCAGAGTACTGGGGTACGTACTTCCGTTCAACGGCCAGTGACGACGACTGCGATAGGTTATCAAACTTGAAATCGAAAGACTACCATAACCATTACACAAACGCACCCCACGCCACGTCGGTCAGCGCCGGTACTTTCCACAGCCCGTGGCAACGTACGCAGTACAGCGAGATATTTCACGCAACGCCGGAGGCACCGAGACTGGTCTACGAGCCTGCTTTTCTGTACGATTTGTTGCTTGCGTATAAGAAATCTGTTTGTGTGAGGGTTGAAAATCTTTTCAACAAGAGGGAAGTGGCAGATAAAAAAATGGAAGTGTATTTTGCAAATGAGTATCCTTGTATTCTGGTGAAGATAGAGGAATTCAACAATGTTCCCAAGGAAACGCGTAGCTTGTACAACATTGCAATAGCTTATTTTGTTGCTATAACTAACAAGATTGCTCAATTAGATAATATTCCTGTTGAATTAGTCATTAGGTCAAGTTTTGGTCACAATATTCCAAGCGTCGCACAAACGAGGACTAGCTTTAGGATTAATATTGGAATCGTTCCAGAAATTTATACGGAAGTGTTAGTTAAGAGCCTGATTGAATTAAACGATAGGGTTTTAGTGCCGCTTTTTAATTTGAAGTTCCTATTAAATTTAGATGCAGTGCAGATTAAGAACCATAATGAAGAAGTCGCAAAGTATAACGATCGGAAGAAAAGCAACGAAAAGTCACAACTTGTGAGTATGTGGTCGGAAAACGAAGCTTTATTTCAGATATTAACCAAAGTTGGTGATTATACGGGAAGGAGAGTATCCGCTCACATTATTAGGAGAGAAAAGCACATTGATTTACTCGCAAATTACGTATCTGAAGAATTGGATCGGTCTCAACCAAACCTCGGTAACCCTCTCATAAAGCTCCTGGCACAATTGTCGTATTGCGAAAGACTGGTCTTAAATGTGGTCGAAGAAGACTACAACAAGATCTCATTGCACAAATTTTCGGTTGAGGAAGAAAATCCGCAAATTAGGAGAGACTTTGTATTTTGGCGTGTTATGCAGTATGTCGTATTAGCCTTGGACGTAAGGGGGATACCCGAAGCTATGGATGCACGTAGGCTGACTGGTTTGTACGGCACACTCGAGAAGCTAAACTTGGAATTCATCAGAAATAGTGGCTGCCAAGAAGCTCAGGACGGGTGCGGAAGCGACAGCGATTGCGAAGTGTGTGGCGCTCCAGCTTTTTATTCTAAAAAGCTCACGGTCGCCACCGGCATGAGGGCAATTAACCTGGCTCAATTTCTGTCAATATACCATTTGCGACAGTCGGGTTTTAACCCTCGAGCGTATGCCGAAAAATGTTTTTTCGAGACAAAGGAAGCAATCGAAACAGTGAGCGACATCTTCACTTTGTTAGGCTTACAAGGTAGCACGCAGCAGCATCGCGGTGACGCCACGGTGAGGTATGTTGACCTGAGCTACTGCGCAGCCTGCGGCCCCGAATCCATTAGCATGAAGGACGTCCTGAACCGGATATCAAAGAACGACGTCGTAGTTCTTGATTACACGAGCACAAATACTGAGAAGATAAGTATGGCCGTGAGCATTTTTATCAAGAAGGTAGAAGTCGTAATACTGGTGAATAGCGGGCTCAAAAATGAGCAGCTTGGAGCCGACATGAATCCTTACGGGACGATTAGAATCGTTGCAAAGGATCGTCGTTTACTCAATGAGCTGTATTTTGTGTTGAAGAAAGTCTTGGAACAAGGGGAGGAGCTGCTGCCGAAACATTTACATCGCATTAGAAAAGCGTACAAGAACGCTGGAGCTGTTGTGACCAATAAGGCAATTTATAAAGTGATGTGTAGGAAGTCAAGTGGTGATCTAGACCATGAAAAAAGTATAGCCCATAAATCTAGTTTATCAAAAGAAAAGTTTAACACTCTAGCTTGTTGACGATGGCGAGTCTTAAGAGAAATGTGCTAACTTGCGAATGCTGTTCTCTAAGCTGCTCTAGTAACTTCTTTAAAGTTAGCAGTTATACACTCAAACACCTTTATAATGAATGCCTCTACTATGAAAACACCCCATTAATGAATTAAAATAAAGTCCCGGCCAATCTCCTGCGGGCTCAGTGTGTTGCTCTGACTGCTACAACGAATTCCTGTTTAACAAAAGCAAAAAAAAGCGGTATCATGAATTGTCTAGGTGAAAAGTAATTGATATCACATTAATTGTTGCTCTCAAGTGACGCGCTGAGAAAAGATGAATACTGCGGGAGTGGCAATGACTGGAAGTGCAACTGCGCTGTGCACTCTCTGTTTTGGGTCTAAATAATTTGTTAGTGTGCAGCCTTGTGTCTGGATGGCGCTACATGACTACGTTGCTGTTGCTGTATAGAAAGCCTGTATGCAGCAATGTAGTCACCATAGTCACGTAGCACCATCTGGACACAGAATTGCAAACTAACAAATTTAAGATGCCTGGATTCTGCTGTGCGAACTTTTGCCTCACATGTTCCAGGGTTCGATGTGCTAGCATACTCGGCCACCATTTTCCGTTTTAATAAGTCAAAATTGTTTTTCCTAAAACGCCTCGAATATCACGCAGCTAATTAAAATGCGATAGCACAAATTCAGTTTCGCGTGAACGATTTTTCGCGCTCAACTTCAACAAAGTTAGCTGCTACGAAAAACTTTGCCGGCCCCGCAGACTTCATTATAAAGGCGTTTGACTGTACACTGTGGTTGGATTAAGTTAGCCTGTTACAGAGATGTGTTTAAATTTGTGGCTGATTGAAGTGTTGAAACAAATCAATTATATTTTGAGGCAAGAAACAACCGAAGTTATTGATAGATTACAAGGGTGAATCAGGCCGTTTACTGTCTCTTTATAAATGTTGAATTGCAGAATTAATTTTTTGAGATTGAATTAGGTAATGAACTAGTAAATATTGTGATTCCCAGAGAAGTAGTTTGGACTGCAAGGAGAAATTAAATATGACAGAAGCAGAGAATGTAGACGACGGTTTTCCAAAAAGTTGGTTACAAAATGGTGAGAGAAGATAATGAAGATGTTATAGAACATTTATTCAGTTTTCTGTTACAATACTAAATTACCCTGAACTAATCCAAGAATTCTATTGGAGGATGAAATAACTGATCCAAGAGTTTAATCGAAAGATAAAAAACTAATCCAAGGAGCCTGTCGGAGGATAAAGAGTTTTTTTTTTCAAGAAGCTGCTTAGGTGTGACTCTGCCAATACTCATAACTTATTCTGACAATGTCGTGGAAGTTTTTAAAGATGGACTATAATCACTTGAGAAGCTGCTCCGAATGCGTTTGCACATAGTTCCCAGCAAACTGAATGTTTCAAACTATTTCTTTACTTCTTTATGGTTAACACTATTGTCATCTGAGTGGAAGATAGCCCACCTCAATACTCTTTTCGCAATCATCAGCGTGTGCATAAACGGGAGTTTTAGTAAATCGTTCCAATGCCTCCGATAAGGATTCTCAACAGTGATGCGATGCATGTGCCAAGGCGTTGGCGGGTTATCGGAACAATTTACTAATACTCTCAAAAGGTACCACAGGATAAGTGCCTAAAGTGTTTGAAATGAACAAGGACTCAATTAACGTGTCCAACAACGATTATCAAATTAGCCTCTTTTGGGTAGACTTATTCAAATACTCGTTTTCTTCCACGCACAGTATCCGACTGGAACATACTGCCCTAACATATTGTTGAGCTGGGACACTGTTTCTTTGTTCCTAGACCTGCTCTTATCAACTGTTAAATTATTTTTGTTATCTAGTATACCCTTGCTTTTCAGTGTCGTAGCAGGCTGCACTGTCATCACTGTTTGGTCTTGCACCATTACCTTTTTCTTTTTGTTGTGCAGCCTTTTTAACTGATGTTGTACTACGTTTGTTGTACGGCATTTCTTTTTGTACTGTTTCGCGTATATTTGCTCATGCGGTGCTGTTTTTCTTGTTTTCCTTTGGGGTGTAATCTAGTGATTTTATTTACAGCATTGTAGTCAGAGTGGCAGCTAACACATTTGAAAATGCTCAATCACTGGGGATTTCGAGCACCCTGAAATGACTGTTGAATTATAATGAATTGTTAACATTTTAATCCTGCATATAACCAGGATCACACAGAATGTTTCTGCTCAGTCTGTCTGTATATAGGTGTCTATGGATGTTTGTTAATTTTGTCGGCAATATATCATTTTCTCAGTATATATATAGCGGGAAAACTTGCCCGCTAAGTTTAACAGTTTTCTGTTGTTTGAAACTAACATTAAGAATTCAAAAGCAGCCCTATTAGAGATAGTTTCTGTAGAAAAGGGTTTGTGCCATGCTGCCAAGTTTTCCGCCTCTGAGCATTGCTGGGCCGCATATCCGTGTTCCCTAGAAGTGGATGAAAGAGCAGTTGACGATGCAAGATCAATTTTTTCATGTCCGGCCTCCGGGACATGCTGAAAATATAATCCCAGGAAATTTCGGAATATTGTCAACGACGAAATGTCTTTCAGTTTTATTCAAGACTTGGAGGGTTTTGCGTGTCCAGCGTGGAATGTGCCAACAAGTTAAACAATTGTATGTTTATTGAAACTTTTTCTATTGTTAGAGACCTAGTAAGTTAGTACCAGTGGACTGTGCCTGTTGTTTACAAATGGATGCTATTTTTGCTAATCCTGTTGGTATAATTATGATTATATATATACACCAAAACTGTCCTCTTCAATAAAAATCAACAAAATTATTCCAGCTTTCTCTTTTTTTTAAGAATTTAAGATATATATTTTTTTTATTCTACTAAATTATTGGAGCAGTCACTTAAGTTGTTCACCCTCAGATTATGAAGTGGGGAAGGTGGTTCCTATATCAGGAATTCATCCAATATAGAACAGTCCATTTTAGTTCTATTTAATGTTTATAGCACGCTGCCAGTGTAACATTGACAAAAACTAGTGTGGCACCTACCATAGTTTCCAGTTTGTAAACCACATTTTTTTCTTTCCAAATTTTTGTTGGTACGTTTTATACAATGGCATGACTTACATGCATTATTTTCTATAAGAATGTACCTTAATTGCGAAAGTTTGCCACGGGGGTTATATTTCTCATTCGATTCGTTGACAATAATATTGATTGCTCTCGCTTGCACATATATTGCAATCACAGCACACGTATGCGGGCTTTTCACTCGTTTTACCCTGCTGACTATACAAACACAGGTGCAACTCTTATATCAAACTTTTTCTGAAAACGGCAATTTATAGGGGGAGAGGGGTACAGTTTACAGACCGATAAATATGGTATGTCTAGTATTTCGAGAAATTTATTTTCGTAATCCCATTTTATGCATTCAAACAATAGCTTAATGCCCCTTTTAGATGTCATCGCTCCACTACATACATCAATCGGTATGTAGTGGGAATTTCCTCAAAACTCGTTAACCGCCACATTTCACTCATCTTTCCCACCTCACATGGCCAAAGTATATGGAACCACGTCCCCGAGTGTATTGCTAACGAACACAAACCTTATCTTGTTCAGAAATGCTGTATTTCGCTAACATTTTTCGCAGCGATCCATGACGTGTTTGTTTGTTTGTTACTATTGCTTTATTATTGTTGATTTGTTAAAGATTTACCAACTATTTTGCCAATGTATTTGCTCTGAAGTGCCTTCAGGTAACGAGGGTGTATTGGACAAATAAATGAACGAATAAACCCACCGTTTTTGTTTGTGGCATTGTGTCGGGTGTTTAGGGGGAAAAAAACCTTGCTTTTCTCGTTGTGAAAATAAACTACAGACACTTTGCAGCAGCTGTGCATGGGCGCTGCAATAACTAACTTTCAGTTCTTGTTTCCTCTCATTTTGATCACTTTGCTCTATCATTACCACAGCAGGACAGGTTATTGCCATTTTAGATTCTACTGTGTCCCTCTCCCCAGCATCGGCCTTTATGGAGGCTTGTCAATGCCTACCTCAGTGGCTTTGTATTTCGCCAAGACAAGAGAAGGACAGCAATGGCGGCTGCAATCTGGCATGTGTGCAAGGCGTCTATGCATTGCTGAACGCCGTCTATGTCCAAACAATTTTTTTTTGCAGCTGAGCTGTTAGGGGCTAGCTTCCCGAGGATCGTGTCCCCCGCAAAGAAATGTCGACACAAAACTCTGGTTGCCGCCGTCGCTCATAGATGGCGGTAGCTGTCGAGAGTGTTGTGTTTGCCGGTTTCACAGATTGCGGCAACATTTCTTCATTTCTTCGGGGGAAGAAGCGCGGGAACGGAATGAGCGGCGAAGTGCGTAGCAGCGCGAATGGTTTCGTAACCGCCTTGAGGCCGCTTCGCCTGAAGTTACACTACGTCGAGCGCTTTAGATTCTCTTGCGAAAGGAGAGCAGATCGCTCGCCTGGAAAGCCACCACTTAGAACAGGTGTTACAGCTCTGCTGCTCTTCCTTCACCAAAGTGGAAAGGCTGAAAGTTTTTACAGCAAAGCTGTTATGCACTAGGACCTGGGAAAAATATGTCCACGGATGTTGACAGAAAACTCCCCATTGGTCGAGGCAAGTATGAATAAATAAAAATAAAAAGAGGGGGCAATCGCGTGAGTCAGCCTTCCTTGGCATTATTAGATAGGTCCTGATCCCTTGTTATCATCTCTAGTCATCGTCCTTGAGGTCGTCCGAGAAATTGTTCTAGGCATCGTCCTCGAGGTCATCCTTGAGAAGTTTGAGAGGTCGTCTTACAGGTTGTCCTAGAAGTCATCCTTGAGATCGTCCTAGAAGTTGTCCGAGGGGTCGTCCTAGGCGTTGTCCTCTAGGCATCGTCCTCGAGGTCGTCCTAGAACTCGTCCTTGAGGTCGTGCTGTAAGTCGTCCTGGACATGGTCCTCTTGTCATTGTCACAGAAGTCGTCCTCTAGGTGGCATCCTCGAGGTCGTCCTAGACGTCGTCCTCTGGGCATCGTCCTAGACGTCATAAAAATAACAGCTTTGCTGGTCCTCCACCTTCGGTGAAGTGGAAGGGCTTCACAATTCTTTTGTTTGTTTTTCAGGAGGAAATGGCGGTCAACAAAGCCCTCGGATACATGGAATTGCATCTGCTACCAAGAATGGGCCCTATTTTCTCATTAAAAAATTTTTTTGAACTCGTTTATAACTTTTTAATTGGATACCAATAAGTTCTGAAATTTTGCCACCTGACCCCAATTCTTTGCTGGCATTGCATTTGGATGGAGACTGGGCATTCTATGATCTGCAGAGTTTATTATTGCTGTGATAAAAACACTTACTAACACCCAATATTTTCTACCACCCTTCTTTGTAGTTTTTTCCGACATGCATCTCCTGAGCTATTATGGAATAATACTACAGATAACCACGCCAAATAAATAAATGGAGTGCACATAACAGCAGCTGCTAAACATGAAGATGGTGATTATGTGAAGAGCTGCAAGTATACAAGCTCAGCAAAAATGTAACATGAAACAACAAATCAAATTGGAGTATAGGAGTCTTTAAAGCACCTGTGCTACCATCATCTTCACACTTAAAATCCTTATTCTCACTATACACCAACTCATGTTTACAAACAATCCGGAGCGCCCCTAGCAAACGCCACTGGCGCCGCGCATGCGCGGTGGACGGTGGGCAAGAAGCTTTCGTCGCTCATAAACAAATCACTGAATTGCATTGTTGTCGGCATCGGTGTGAGTCCCCGTGCTCTTTTTCGCGTTGGAGTTGTGATTCTACGTCCTCCTAACAATGTCTGACTACTTGAGCGGCTTCGGCAAAATTAACGAGGCTCGTTACACCTCAAAACTTTGCGTGAATAATGTGAGGCACGGCAACTCATTTCACGTGGATGCCGTAGAATGGGCGCTAAATCCTGACTCCCACGATGACGTTGATCTCGCTATTTTCAGTCATGACGTCACTCGGGCTGCAAAAGCGTGGATTGCAGCTGAGATGGTGGACGTCGATACTGATAACCGCAAGTAGAATCGAGCATTACAAGTCGGTGACGGCCACTGGTAACAACGATCAACATCTTCTTGTATCTACTGTTTACACATAGCCTACTCACACCATCCAACCTTTAAAAGTGTTTTGAGGCCTCCACTTCTTATCGCAATTACCGAGTGAATGTTTGGTTTACGGGCCACTGTCGTTTGAACGAGCTGACAGCAAAAAGCAGACAAGTTTGAAAGAACAGACGACAGTTCCAACAGATGCACAGAGTGCGGGCAAGAAGCACTGCATTCCGCGTCAACTAACCATTGGAATGTCACGTCAGCGTCTGTGTGAGTCTGCATACTCTTTTCTTGCATTGGAATTGTCCATTCTACGTCCTCGTAGCGACGTCTTGCCATTTTAATCGCCTGAGCGAAATTATCAAGGTTCGTTACGCCGCTAAACTTTGCATAAATAATTTGACGTGCGGCGATTCATTTGCATGAACACCGCAGAATGGACGCCAAAACCATGATGAGATTTTTCTAGCTATTTTCGGTCGCAGCGTCGCTCGTGCTGCAAAAGTGTAGAAGGTAGCGGCGATGATCAACGTCGATACTGAAAATCGGAAGCGGGAACAGACCAAGCGTAACAAGTCGGTGATGGTCACTGGTACCAATGATCAACAACTTGTATCTACTGTTTACACCGAGCCAACTTAAGTCTTTTGAGGCCTGCAATGGATCTTTTTCCAGTAAGGAGTGCCCCATGACGGTTTCGCCGCCTACTACAAATGGAGGGCAACCATAGGAACAGATTAGTGTCGCAAGAAAACAGTGCCCCCCAAAAATGGCGAAAGGGCGGTCAAGGTCAAGTGGAAAGGGCGTGCGCGTGCGCAGACGCTTACTGGAAAAAGGTCCATTACTTCTTATTGCAATCACCGGGTCAAAGCTTTGTCTACGGGCCGCTTTTGTTTGAACGAGCAGACGACAAAAAGCAGACAAGTTCGAAAAAGCAGACGCAAGTTTGAACGATCAGGCGGCCGTGTGAATTTGAAGACGCACTGAACCCGCGAGTGGTCCGAACATCTTGGCGGTTTTCTCTCGTTCATGTTGGAACACAACAACTACATCTGGCGAGCACAAAGTGTTACCCGCACAAGCAATCGTAGTTCGACAGCGTCTGGTTTGCCCTTGTCACGGCTACTATCCACGTTCTCGGACGAACGGAGGGGGCAGAAACACATGAAAACTGATCTTCAAACCTCTTGGTACAGCCCCGTCGCAACATTTTGACGAGAAGGCAGGTTTTTTGTCTGGTTTCTCCCAGAAGAACGCAGGAATGCATGTCTCACACCGCGACTTCTGCCCACCACCCCAGACCGGAAGTGCGCCCGACGCGCCACCACCGCGGCGTGACGTAGGAGAGTTGAGTTTGTGTATACATAGTGAGAATAAGGATTTTAAAAGTGTGAAGATGATGGTAGCACAGATGTTTTAGCTTTGGCGTAGATTTTGTTTCTTTATGGGGAGTGCAAATTCATCTGCTGCTTTGCAAGGGTTGTGGTGATGTAAGAACGCCAAGCCGTGATTGAAGGATAGTGGGTAGACCTTAGGGCAGCTTGCTGTGAGGTCTACCCACTAGCCTTCAATCAAAGCCAATCGGTATTAGGCGGCGTCGTGACGTCACCGGAACCGCTGTGCAACGTTACTAGATTAGCTCAGTTGTGGAACTCCCGCAGAAGGGGGTGGTCCCCCTCACTCACTTCAGTCTCCCTCCCGTCGTTTGAAGCGCCATCCAGGTTTTCGTTTACGAACTGCGTGTTCCATAGATTACGGTGGAACGCCATCTAGAAGCTGCGCTTCGAAACGTACGTATCCCATAGAATACACTGCAGTTACCAAATCAGCCGTCCGGCGCGTCGAACGACGAATGGCGAGTCGTGGTGAGTGAGGGAGGGTACTGCTTGTGCATGCAGCACCTCGTTGATCTACAAGCAGTTCTGCAACCGAAGGAGACGACTTGCTCTCCTTCGTTTGAAATGAAAAGTAGCTCCTACCCATTATGCCAAATCAACAACTCTGCAATCGTGGTTCTTTTTTTTTTTTTTTTTTTTTTTGTTGCTTAAGTTTTGCTAGATTTGCGCATTCAAACTGCCGCTATTCTGTACATGAGGACCGCGGTCCGCGTTCGCGCCACTGTTCATTTTTGGCGACAACTTATTTTTATGGTTTGGCTGGTATGTTTTTAGACTCCGGACAGCCCGTGCCGAGACTAACGTTAGCCGTGACCAGTGGCCGTGACTAACTCAAACTTTTCAGTCCTTTTCATATTTTCATATTAACGATTGCACGTTCTCACTCGGGTTTATTTTTCTTGTCGCACTGGCCGGCGGCTTGACCCGGTTCCCACAAACTCAAACGTGACTCTTTATGGCCGAAAACCTTTCAGTGTCGTCGTTTTGGAGTTGGCGGATTTGTGCTATAATCACGTGGTTACAAGCTGGGCAACGCTGAAGCTGAGCTGGCTGAGCCGGCTGAGCCCGCCTGCTGGGCTAAGCTGGGGTAGGTGGGGTAGGTGCGAGGGGTGAGTGTGCTAAACCAATACACTCAACTAGGAGTGTCGCGAACCGGCCGCGGTTCGAGTTCGACCAGGTTCGACTTTTTCGAACTTTTAGTGGAAAGTTCGACGAACCTTCTATTGAGGTTCGACTCGTGTGCGCATGCGCGACAGACTGGCCAGTTGGCTTCGGATTGAATGATAATGGCTAAAAGATTAATTAAGTGCAGCGCTGATTGGCTATTTCAGTTAATACAGTACTAAAAATTAAGTTATTAACTTTTTCATTGATTAGAATTAGTTTCTTTTAATTGCAGTTGTTCACAATATAAAATAACCCTTTGCATAAAAAAAAATTTGCCAAACCTACACATGCTTGTATTAAGGTCTGGCCACACTGTCCACAAAGTCGAACCGGTCGATTTTGGTGAAAAGTTCGAAGGTTCGTCGAACCGGTTCGACCCAGTCGAACCCCGAAAGTTCGACCAAAAAATCTGGTTCGACAAAAGTTCGCGACACCCCTACACTCAACCACTCTCCCACCGGCACTAGCCCTTGTATCAGTCCGCCAGTTTCCCGCGTTTTTTGTCGGCCACTGTCGCTGACCGTCGTTTTCGTAAACTTTGCTGTGCTGGTAAGTGCTTTGAACATATCCGAGTCTGCTTCAAATTTATTGTAAACGTCTTAGCTCAGGTCGTAGTATGCGTAGGAACTCGTTTTATCGCGGGTGTCCTCTTAATTACTTATTATCATGAGTTTTTGGTGTTGTCGGCGCTCAACCAGCTCGACCTCTGTCCCTTTAACTAACAAAGAAGCTTTAATGGCTTTAATGCGATCCTCTGCTGGTTGATCGGGTCTCGAAATAAATAAAAAAATTAAGAATGTTATAATTAAGGTTAAGTGAAGAACCCCCTTTGGCTTCATTGAAATTTCACTTTTTTGTTAAGGAGGTTGAATATCACTGTTAGAAGTTTCCTGCTCGTTTTGTGGCCATGCTCTGCACGGTAATTTCTCTTGATGCCTGGATAAATTTCTCGGATCTGTCTTGATGTTGTACAAATCTAAGTTTTTTTTATTTACTTCATTTCGAGCTTTAGGAATTGCTCTTTATTTCAAAACTATTTGAAACTCAATTATTTTTAATCTTTATTTTTTTTTAAGGTTTAATTTAGTTCTTTTTGCGAGACGCTTCTTGAAACTCCAGCAAGAACTTCATTTGAAAATTGACTAAGTCTTATAAATGTAAATTTACCTATTTTTTTAGATTCTGTTTTGTTTCCAGGTGTAAAGAGCTCATTTCTCATTACTTTTTGTGATTCACATTAAGATTTATTGATTTATTTCTGCGCACACAGCAATACATCCACAATAAAACAGAAATCTGCCATTAGGAAATGCCATTTACTGAATGCTTTCGAACTCGAGCTCCTGCAAAGGTTGATTCATAAAATTCTTAATCTGACTTAACCTACCAGCAGTTTGCAGCTTTTGAAGGGGTTGATTGGTTCCATCTAATTGCCTGCGGTCAGACTTAAAAGTGAATTGGAGTATAGTGGCGGTACTCGCCACGTGCCTCACAACACCTGACGTTGGGGACGTCACGAGACGAAAAGTTAAAAGGACCGCGAAACACCAGGTGTACCCAGAGCCTTCCCGTGACACATTGTTGAGGCAGCTACTCGCTTTTACATTTTTGCCTTTTCCCCCGTGTCTCTACTTTCCAAGGTTCGCAGCTCTTCTGCGTTCGACCCTTGGTAAGAAGATCGTCCCCCACCAGGGGATAGTCCTCGTTTGTTTCGTTACAATTGGCAGGGGGCCGTCCAGTCACGCAAAATGTGCTAGAAGGAGAGGAAATATGGGCCTCACTCTTTGCAAGAACCAGCGTGCGTAAACAACGATAATAATCCCTGCAGAAGGGGAACAAGTGTAAACAAAAGTCTGATTCGTGTTTCGCGCCTTACGAGCATGAAGTGTCTATGCCAAGCTCTAGCTACGGTAAAGAAAAATCATTTCCTTTGTCTCTTTTTTTTTTTGTTTTTTTCAGTTTGAAGTTTGGAAACGTTGAGCAAGATGTCCGAAGGCCGACGTTCCCACAGCAGCCGCCTGTCTTCGCAGCCCGACGAGGTCGTTGACCCCGTGACCTCTTCCCCGGGTCGCGACCTCCCCCCCTTCGAGGACGAGTCTGAGCTGCTCGGAGGAGCTGGCAACGAGGAGGATGGCGTGCCTCATGAGGAGGAGGAGGAGGATGGGGAGGAGCTCTTTGGAGACAACATGGAAGAGTGAGGCTACACGTCCGCTTTCTTCTCGCGTTAGTGCCGAGTGCAACTTTGCTCTGGCAACGCACAATAATTGGGGTCCCTTGTGTTTTCGAGCACAACCCTAGTCTTACCCTTGACCTTGCACAAAGAAAGAAAAGAAAAAATATCCTGGCTATGCCATTGCCTTGCTCCCCTATCATGTTTCCTCAGTGCCTGTCATTTATCCACGAATATGAAAATATTGACAATCTCCTGATTCTCGTTGTCAAAACCACCGTCGGAAACAAACACTAAGAATTCTCTGCGCACCACATTAGTGATCCTTGGGAAGGAGCAAGCCCTAAGTCAGTGGTTCTCAAGCGTGGATGTGTTGGGGGCTCCTTGGGGACCCACCAATATGGTGGGGCACCCCATGCCAGTGGGAAACGGGAAGGGGGTTATAAAATAAGAAATGACTTTGCAGACCCCCAGTGGGTCCGCGGTTCTTTATATTAGAACCACTGGCTTAGGTCATAGCTTTCTGTAGTACGTCCTCCTCAGTGGTAAAGATTGTGACACAAATATCTTGCTTTGGAATATGTCTTGTCTGTCAAAACTCCAAGTCAACTTCTGTACTTTAGGTGAAATAGCATAAAGAGTGCTGGCCACAGAAATTCACGATCTACGAGATTGATTTTACAACAACTGTTAGGACTGTGTTAACATCCAACGGTGGGAGTATTGTGTTTAAAAGCTGGTGATCGCACACAAGGTTGGCGAAACGATTCACAGACCTTCGGAGATGTCCACAATTGGTAGCTCAACTTTATTGCAATCCACCTCGACCATTTCTTTTTATTTTTTTTTTACCCTTCAGCGACTATCGAGTCATTCCAGCGCTGGACACATACGACCGGCGCATTCTGGACGACTCGGAGTACAGCGCCATGTCCGAGACGGAACGGAGGGCCGTTGAGGACCAGCTTCGCCAGCGCGACCGCGAAGAGGGCCGTGTGCCGGGACGTATGCGCCGTGGACTGCTCTACGGTTGGTTCCCCTCTGGCTTCATTCAAACCTGCTCTCAATCTCTGTGCTTTCATTGCTGCTATTCTGCTTCTCTGTCGTTAAACACCTTTCATTTGCGTTCTTGTAGAGTCTCTTGTTTCGTTTTTTTGGTGGGCGGTTATTTTTTCTATTTCTGCTTCGATGGCGCAAGACAGCTGAAGCTGTGGATATGGAAGTTGTTGCGTGATGAACTTTACGAACTGGAATCGAATGTACAGGGTGTGGCATTATGTGCTGGCCCAGCGGCGTTCGAGCTGGGGCAGCACAATAGACATGCGGAGATCCCCGGGCATGTTAAACTTTAGAAGAAAAAAAAAAAGGGCTGGAACGGACATTTTTTATTGTCGTAATGTGACAGTCGGTTTCATAGCTTTTTAAGCAGCATTTCAATCAATCAATCAATCTTATTTACATCATCATCAGATAGTGATGTGGGCTGCAGAGGCAAAAAGTCAGAACAGTTTTGACTTGACAAGGCCTCTGCAGCCTTAAAAACAACAGCAACCAGGGGAAAACAAGCAAACAGCGACATGGGAAAAAAGAAAAAAGAAGAAGAATACACTTCTATACTCTATTTGCTGCTAGGAGAAGGATTTGGCCTCTTACACAAAGAACGAAGAACGACAGCATTTAGTGACTGGATGTATACAGGAAACAAAAATATATAAAACGGATGTATTTACAGCTCACAAAGACAATTTACTTTTTATTTGTGAAAACAAAGTTCTCGAATTTCATTTAGATGTAGCTTTTCAATGTTTGACAAATTTTGTTTTTCAACTTTATTTAAGACAAGCGGAAGATTATAGCTTAACATTTGAAACCCATAGTTTGTGCAATTTAATGGAATTTTCTAGCGGTCCCTTTCCCTAACGTCAGAAATGAGAGTTAAATTTGAAATACAAGTAAAAAAATGGTTCATTACATCGGAGGGTGGATCTATATCGTCTGAGGAGAGTAAACTCATAGGAATCAAGAATGGATGTTAGATGCAGCTCTTTAAATAGAGGAGGAGTGTGTGTGTCAAAAGACACATTTCATATTATGCGGACAGCCTTTTTTTGAAGAATATGTAATTAATTTAGGTTGGACTGGCTTGTAGTGCTCCACACCAAGCTACAGTAATTTAAAAGAGGTTCAAAAAGAGCTTTATATATGAGCAATTTTAAACGACAGGGCAGTATATTTTTAAACTGGTACAATTTTCCCAACACTTTTGAAAGTTTTTTAGCTATATTGATAATATGATCATTCCAAGACATGTGGTTGTTAAAATAAACTCCAAGCGTTTTCACATTTTGAACCAGTTCAATTTGAGAGAGGCCAAGAACAACATTTCTAACATTTCTATTCTTAGGTCGGAAAAGGACCACCTTACTCTTGCTCATATTAATTTCTAACGAGTTTACTACACTCCATTCCTATAGCTTCTGTAGTGTGGTGTTAGTTTCATACACCAGTTCCTGTATTTCAGTGCCTGAAAAAAATAAGCTAGTATCATCAGCATAAATGATGAAAGAGGGGGTTCTACTGATGTTAATGATATCATTTATATACAAGTTAAATAAAAGAGGACCTAAGATGCTACCTTGTGGTACTCCTGATCTGATAGGTTGAACGGTAGAATTTTGGCCATTGATTACAACACATTGTCGCCGAAAATTAAGATATGATTTTATAATATCGAGTGTTACACCATGGACTCCATAACATTCAAGCTTTTTTATGAGAGTAATATGATCGATACGATCAAACGCTTCAGAATAATCTATAAAAACACCTAAAATTATTTTTTTTTTCTTCGAAAGTCTTCAAAATTAGCTCCTTCTGTTGTAACAATGCCAATTCCGTTGATCGTCCTTTGTGAAAACCGAACTGAGAGTCTGTAATTATTGAAAATTTTTTACAGAAACTTGTTAATATATTATGAATGATTTTTTCAAGGCATTTAGAAAACACGTGTATAATTGATATAGGTCTATAATTTGAAAATTCGTTTTTGTTTCCACCTTTAAACAAAATAACTTTTGCAATCTGCATTTTTGTAGGAAAGACACCAATATACAATGAGGCATTCACAATATGTGTTGGAACTGGTGCCAAGACATCTAATACATACTTAATTGGTTTGATCTGGAAATCATCTATATCAGAGGAGTTGCTGTTTTTAAATGATGACATTGTGAAAAATACTTCTTGTTTGTCGGTTGGAAAGAAAAAGGCATTGTGTTGATTTCTAGGTTTCATAAAGGCCATTGGTAACGGACTATGTGTGCTACTTACAAGATTTATGAGATACATATTAAAAGCTTCTGCAAGAGCTTTTCGTTGTAATGTTACACCTTCTTTAGTTATTTCTTGTACTGCTGACTCAAAGGGGCCATGTTTTAACACTTGGTTTAACTGTTTCCATACAAGATCTGTTCTCTTCATACATGTCTCATTAAATAAGTTATGAAAATATCGAGAAAAGAGTCAAAGTACAGGCTAGCTGGTGGAAGTCAACCATTGAGACCTGTCTGTTTTTTCTGTCACTTCTGCTCTTCAAAAAACCCCCCAGTCTCAGGGTAAACGACGAAATGGTGTGAAAATATGTTTGTTTAGACTGGCAAAGAATTTTATTCACTGTATTTCTGCATTTTTTTAAAAGAGCAAGATCTTCTGGAGTTCTTGTTTTAAGAAACATACTATACAGTTTATTTTTTTTATTAATCAATTTTAAGCATTTTCTAATTACCCATGGCTTGCAGTTCTTTTTAGCTTGTTTTAATTGCCTATAAGGAAAAGAGTTTTCATATATCTCCTTAAAAATATCTAAAAATTCATTATACGCCTCATCAGCAGATGTAGCGAAAAAAACCGAGTCCCAATTTGTATTTGAAATAGTTTCACGAAATTTTTCTAAAGTGGCGGAATATAGGCTTCGGATCCTAATAGTCCTTCTGTTTTCATTCTCACTTTCAATTTTCTGGTTCGTTATATTATTTATCAACGTGAATATGGGCAGATGATCACTTAAACTATATTCCAGAATGCCAGCACTAACCAAGCTTACTTCTTGATTCGTCACAAAAACATCAAGCAATGTGGACGATGAGGATGTGACACGAGTGGGAGAATTTATAAAATTACAAAAGTTATTTGATGATAGTAGAATAAGAAAGTTGTCTTTGACACGCGATTCTTCGAGCAAGTTTATATTTAGGTCTCCACCAAGAAAAAGTTTACATCTCTCCTCATTTGCAAAACAAAGAAGTTCTTCTAAAAAGTTAAAAAAAGATTGAAACATTTCCACCTAGTGGACGATAAAAAAACCTAGTAAATGCAGTCTTTTCTTCTGACGCAGAGTATTTCATAGTCGCGAGAGTCATGATGGTGTAATCCGGAACAACCTCAAGGTCAGAAAAATTACTTTGTAACAAGACACCACCACCTTGTCCGTAATCTCGATTTAAATAAAAATTATTATATCCAGGTAGTACAAAAAAAATCACAGTCATCAATATACCATATTTCCGTTAGCATAATAATATTAAATGAAGTTTGAAAAGAATTAAAAAGCAACATTAGGCTGTCTCTTTTGTTCCTAGCAGATTGCACGTTTAGATGAACCCTCATTCAAAACAAGATTCAACTGATCAGCATCAAGGTCTTCTGCCATGACAAGGCATACACAGAAAAAAAAAAAAAGAAAAACAGCGATGTTTAACAAATCAGCCTCAAGTCATCTTCATGTGACACCGAAATAACAGGAGTGTCAACCGAGTTTTTCGCCAGTATCTTGCCGTTTCGGACCCACACAAACTGCCAAAGATGTTCACGTTTCTTAGACACCGTCATTCCAAGCAGTTTTTTTAAATACGGGCACAAGTGCTCGTTCACAAATACTGGAGCATCCGATGGCAGATCTAGGTCGCGACACGAAATTCACTTTTTCTTAGCCTTATCAAGGACACTGTCTCGCTTATTTCGGTGCATGAAACGGACAATGATGTTGCCTTTGTCGCTATCTCTAGTCGGCAACCAGTGACATGCTTCGACATCTGCTTTGGTTATCGGTTCGCCGATGACATCTCCGAGTTTCGTTATCAACTGTTCTGCATTTATGGTTTTGTCTTTTAGAATACCTTTAACCTCGATGTTGTTGTTTCGTGAGTACTGCTCGCAGTTCACTAGCCTATTTTCAGCTTCTTTTAATGCCTTGGTCAGCGCAACCATTTCCGCTCTCATTTCGGTGTTTTCCTTTTTCAGGACAGAGTTTTCGGTCACAAGTGCAGTCATTTTCACTTTGAAAGTCTCAAATTCCTTATTTATAAAGTTCATGCTGTCCTTTATATCAGTTATTTCTTTTAAACCGTTACGTATTTCTCGTAACTCTGTCCTGAGATCTCTTTCAAAAGTGTCCCTGAAACCCTTCAGCTCCTGTCTAATGTCTTCTTTAAAGTCACTTAACAACTTGGCTATATCTTTGGTATATGGAAGAGCAGTATTCAGAGAAAACAAAGAACCAACAGGAAAAAAGACACGAGAAAGCGAGAAACACTTGGCAGCAGCGACGACAAGGCAACACCAACACAATTTCAAGTCAAGGGAGGTTAAAACCAACCTGAAAATTTACGAGGATTCAGTACGTTGTTCCGTTGCCGCCGGCAAGAGAGACTCCGATGAAGCGTGTTGTCTTTTAAAGACGAGTTTGCACACGGCCCTGGCAGCAGATGACCAATCCACAGCAGGCAGGAACTGACGCGTGGACAGGACGTATTCCACTGAAGAAATGGCAGCTCCCGCCGTCAGGGTCGATCCTTGTACATAGATAAAGCGACGAGATTTTTTCGCTGCCTCAGCCTGCAAATTTACGAGGATTCAGTACATTGTTCCGTTGCCGCCGCCAAGAGAGATTCTGATGAAGCGTGTTGTCTTTTAAAGACGAGTTTGCACACGGCCCTGGCAGCAGATGACCAATCCACAGCAGGCAGGAACTGACGCGTGGACAGGACGTATTCCACTGAAGATATGGCAGCTCCCGCCGTCAGGGTCGATCCTTGTACTTAGATAAAGCGACGAGTCTTTTTCGCTGCTTCAGCCTGCAAATTTACGAGGATTCAGTACGTTGTTCCGTTGCCGCCGCTGACTGTAGTTCAGCCAGCACTAAACTAGGCACACTTATATTGCCGCCGACTGCAGTTGCAAAATAAGAAATTTTTCGTTGAGAAATTACACATTTTGAGAGAAATGTGAATGACAACAGAGTCTTTATTAACACACAATTTGGGAAGAGGCTTTACTTTGAACGTGCAGATACTACAGTAGAATTATTGTGAATGACGGATTTAATATTTGCATTGGACGAGGGAAGTTGTGGCTCTTAGCCGCTGCTCGGTTTCTTTGTCTTCCACGATCTCCTCTTTACGCAACTCTTATCTAAATCCTTCTCGTTTTCTTTATTTACAAGTTATCACACGCTGGCCTTTCTCTACCGCAAAACAATGAAAAGCTCTTTGTTGTAAAAAGTACAATCCTCATAAAAGTTGTGCTGATTTTTTTTTTCGTTTGTTGTGTCGCAGATGAAAGTAGCAGCGAAGGAGAGCGCCCCGTTCGTCGCAGAAGACTCGCGGAGCGCGCCGCGGAGGGAGCCATGTCGGACGACGAAGAGGCGAGTTACTTTGCTTTTTTCTAGCGAGACATTCGCCCTCTCAGACAGAAATATGTGGCACTGCAAACTGATGTCGGCATCAGTGGAGCCTCTCTGCACAATAGCCCCTTGCAGACCAAGAAGAGTAGTGCAAGTCCCTTTCATAAAGCTCTCTGCTACTCATGTTTGACGATTTCCTCCTCTCCACCCTTCACTCTGCTAAACTGGAAAACTTTGTGGGAGCAGCCTTTCTTGCTTTTCTTATATCGCAACAGACTATAATCTACCAATGGACCCGAGGAAATATTTGGATCATTAGCAGGCTCATGATTGACTTCTAGCTGGTGATCTAGAAGTGAGAAAAATGCATTCTCTCAAAAAGTTTCAGAATTGTCTTCAGTGTCCCTGTAGGGAACAAGAGTACAGCTTAGTCATAGCAAGACATCCTGTTCTGTATAGAATACATTCTTGGTCTTCTGCAAGCCTTGAAGCAATCGTTCATGTATGTAGACTCTTACTGCCACTTCCGGCGAGAATGGAATTGGTTGTCGCTAGGGTCGCATGATCATTTACACCAGCCAAGAGGAATGATGCACCACCCGCGAGGAAGCCTCTCTGCTGTGGTGGCACTAGTGCGATGGTCGCCACCTAAAGAGGCTACGAAATCTGCTAAATTTGCGGATGGTGTTTCGCTTACTGAATTTAGCGGGCTGGCAAAACAAATGTGACAGAAAACAGGTTCATTCAATAGATGTGGCAGCCAAAAGCAAATTCTAGGTTTAAAACTCCGAAGGCATCTCTTGTTGGATGGATTAGTCCATTGCCCCCTCTGACTACTCACCCAGATCTTACAAATGCTGGAGTTTTCGTCGCACTTCCATAGTGAAGGTGGTAGTCCAAAAGCCTATTCTAGGTTAAAAACGCCATTGCTTATTGGATACGGACTAGTCCATTGCCCCGTCTCTTACGGTCCTCACGTATATTCGCAGATGGTGGAGAGCATAGAGAACTTGGAGGACCTGAAGGGCCACACGGTCCGGGAGTGGGTCACCCAGCTGGGGCCCAAGACGGAGATCTACAATCGCTTCAAGAACTTCCTCCGCACCTACGTGGACGAGCGGGGCCACAACCTATACAAGGAGAAGATCCGACAGATGTGTGAAGGTGAGCCAAGCTGCCTCCTCATCCGCAGCCGGTGCGGTCCGTACATCGTCTGAACGGGTGCCGTTTCTTGCCAGGTGACCTGGCAAGAACCAGCACAGTGATCGACAATAAATGGTCACCCCAGAAAACCTCCGTTCTCTGAAATTTCTGACACAGTGTCTCGGTGTACAGTGCTAATGTAGAGCAGGTGCTGCGTAACAGGTTTTTGTTGCATGTCAAGGGTACTGTAGGTGAAATAAGTATGTTCTCTGTTCTTTGCCGGGACATGACGGGTGTAGGTTGTCTGCTTGGCACGTCAACCCCTAATATCTCTCTTCTACTCTTTTTAAATCAACAACATTGCCGCTTTCTGCGTCACCCAGAGAACAAGCACAGCCTGGAGGTGAACTACAACACGCTGGCGGCGGCAGAACAGGTGCTGGCCTACTTCCTGCCAGAGGCGCCCACGGAGATGCTGGTGATCCTGGACGAGGCCGCCAAGGACATCGTCCTGGGGATGTTCCCGCAGTACGAGCGGATCACTGGGGAGATCCACGTCCGCATCACCGACCTGCCCCTCATTGAGGAGATACGTAGCCTCAGGTTTGTACAAGAACGCCCTACTAGTCCACCGACTTAGACGTATTGCGTGCATACTGAGTAGTGCATTGTTGTGATGGTAGTACACTACACTGGGCACTAAATGAAGCTAGAGTTCTGGATGGTTACAAGGACATTACGAGTTCTTAAGGCCAGGTCACACATGCAGTGCAGTGCCGAGATGGCGCTAAGTCAGTGCTGCGTTAACGGTAATGTCAGCATTGACTCGACCCTGCGCTGTGTATTTACAGAGAAGAAAAAAACCAGGTCTTGTGCAGCAGAGCATTCGCACAGCGCTGTCATCGCACAAAGTCGGCGCTGTTTCTATAAAATGGAGTTACTGTGGTGCCGCATCTGGTAACAGAGCAGGCCTTCATACATGTTAAACACATCGGGGCTCAGTAGCTCTACACATCTGGCCAGGTTGCAAGCCAATCTTTTTTCGTGCACTCAAACGCGTTGCGTTTGAGCGCATTTGACTGCGTTGGGGATGCGAGTAACCAGGACATACCTGCTTCATGTACCATGTGCCAAGCTACTCCTTGCCTTGGTTGCCACGCTTCCTACGAAGCATGGCAACAGGAAAAGCACCACCGACACAGGAAAAAAACAGAAAAAGCTCCGATCCGACACCGACTGTGTGCGGTATCATAGATAGGGTGCTTCTCTTGATGATAAGCTAAAATGTAACCCGAAAGAATTTTGGAAATACGTGAGAAGTTCGAACAGAGATGGGACAGGCATTTCATTTATCAGTGATTCAGGACAATTAGTAGACAATGACGCAAACAATTAAAACCTATTTAATAGCTACAGTGGAATCTCGTTAATTGAAACTCGCGAATAATTCAAACTAACATGCAGGTCCGGTCCTATGTGTTCCTAAAAAGGAAACTCTCGGTAATCCAAAACTTTGCATTATTCTAACAAAGTTTGGGTCCCCCTCGGGATCAAATTATTGAGATTCCACTTAATTTTGAAACCGTATTTTCACCACCTATTGTGCGTGACCTTCCTGATACCCCCGCATGTCTTAACGACAGTATGTTGGATATTGAACTTTGTCAAGGTGGGATTTTTAGTTTGCTAAACAAAATTGATGCACACAAGGCTATTGGCCCTGATGGTATACCTTGCCGTGAATTAAAAGTGTGTCTTGGCTTTTTCCTTGTTATTTTTTATCTGTTCTGTTTGATAGTCCGTTGTCCTGTGGAAAACTGCCAAATGAAGGGAAAATAGTGCATGTTGTTCCTGCTCATAAAAGTGGTAAAAAAAGAAAGCCATTTACAACTCCCTGTAATGCCGAATTAGAGCGCAGCTCTTGAGGAAGAGGAGGGAAGGGTACTGGGGGGGGAGGTCACGTGACCTTGGGGGTCACATGACGATGACAATGACAATGATGTCATCAGTGACGATGACGATGCGGATACCGATGATGTCATTAGTGACGTCACTGATGACGTCATCAGTGATTATGACGTCATCAGTGATTATGACGATGACGATGCGGATGTCTTTGACGTCACTGATGACGTTATCAGTGATGATGACGATGCGGATGTCGGTGACGTCACTGATGACGATGCGGATGTCGGTGACGTCACTGATGACGATGCGGATGCCGGTGACATCATTGGTGATGATGACGATGCGGATGCCGGTGACGTCATCAGTGACGTCACTGATGACGTCATCAGTGATGATGACGATGCGGATGCCGGTGAAGTCATCGGGGGGGGGGGGGGGGGGGGGGGGGGGGGGGTCGGTCACCTGACCTCGGCGGGGGTGGGGGGTCACGTGACCTCAGGGAGGGGGTCACGTGACTTCGGGGGGTCACGTGACCTCGAAGAGGGGGGGTCACGTGCCGCCTCCCAGGTCACGTGACCCCGGGGGGGGCTTGCGCGGTGCATTATGGGACATTTCCCATAATGCACCGCTCGGTTACGCTGACGCCGCTGAAGCCGGAAACGGGCGCCTAAGAGCTGCGCTCTAAAAATATGGTAGAAAACTAGAGGCCAATCTTCCTTCTTTGTGTGTGTGCTCGAAAGTTTTGGAACGTACAATATACAGTCGCCCGATAAAACATCTCGACAGAAACAACTTTTTTTAATTTTTTATCAATGTGGCTTTCGAAATGGTTTCTCGTGCGATACTCAGTTGGTACGCTTCTGTCGCAATATTTCTTTTTCTTTCGATAAAGACGTACAAGTAGACTGCGTTTCTTTAGACTTCCAGAAAGCATTTGACACGGTTCCCCGTAAACTGCTTCTACACAAAATAAAGTTTTTGAATATCCCTGAAAATATTATGATTTGGCTTACTGACTATCTTCCAAATAGAAAGCAGGGTCTTTTAGTTAAAGGATAAACATTGTCATATTTAGATCTAACATCAGGTGTCGGTGCTAGGTCCGCTTTTATTTCTAATTTATATAAATTACATTTTGACAGAAAGGTCAAGTATTCACCTTTATCCGGACGATTGTGTATTATGCGGCAACATAAAGCCAGATTCAGAGTGTCTGATGTTGCAGGGAGATATTGATCGTTCATTGAGATGGCGCGAAATATGGAAAATGAAATTAAATATTCCAAAATGTAATCAGATAACATTCGCCGGAAAGCGACAACCAGTTTCCTTTACTCATACGATTGACTATGTCCCACTACAAAAGGTGAACAAGGTAAAATTCTAGGACATTCATTTTTCGCTAAATTTGTCTTGTAGATGTAGATTTCATAATGGTTAAAGCCAACCGGGTGTTACATTTTTTTAAGGAGAAACTGTTGACACTGTCTCACTGTAAAAAGCACCCTGCTTTTTTTCTGTGAGGCCTATTCTAGAATGCACCTGCATGCTGTGGGACCTTAAAGAACTCTACTTAGAACAGAAAATTGAGCAAATACAAAGCAAAGCAATTAGGTTTGTTACAAAAAATTACACTTACAAGCAAAGTGTTAGTGCCCTTAAATGTCAATTAGACTGGGAACCATTAAACTCTAAAAGACAGCGTCTTTGCCTAAAAGTTTTACATATGATGTACATGATCAAACTGGGCTGGATAAATCTAAATTCATCGAAGCACCGCACTTTGTATCACGCAGACTAGATCATTCTAAGAAATTTAGAGAGTTTACAGCAATGACCAGTGTATTCAAATTCTAGTTTTTTTTTTTCATTACTATTAAATAATGAAAAAACTTGCCTGATGGCACTGTTCTGATTTCATCTACTGCCCTTTTTTCGGTAAACTATCACGTGATAGTTGGGTAGAACAAAAGTTAATTTTTCTTTTTGTGAATGTGCGTTTTCAGAGTGCTTGGTCTACAATGCTGTGTTTGAGTCGGCTCTGTTTTGCAAGATCCCTGTAAATGTGATGATTGATAAGATCAGTATAAAATTACATAGAAGTACTTTTTTTTATTTTTTCAATTGCTCAACAGAGTGATATGCATGTCATTATGCCTTTGCCTGTACCGAAAACTTTTTTGGTGGCTTTATTTTAATACCAGTGTGGATTCCATTTTGTTGAAGTTTTATGATTTTGCAGCGCAATTTTGATGTGCAAACTTGCTTGCTTCTGTGTGATTTTGATGGAGTGTATTTCTCATACAAATGTACCATCACCCCCCCCCCCCCCCCCTGCAGTAATGCCTCTTGGCGTTGCGGGGTAACATATAGTAATGTAATAAATAAATAAATGACTCGTGGTCATTCCTCAACACAATGCAGCCAAACATACTTGAGCGCAACTGGGTGTATAGGCCTCCTGCGATCTGGCCTTTAACCTTCCCAGTATGCAATCTAGTACAGTAAAACCTCGTTAATTCGGAACTCATAGGAACATCAAAAATGTCAGAATTGTCCAAAAGTCGCAATATTGAGAGGACAAAGAAAACTGCGCGAAATTGTTTCCCTCTGACATACATTTATTTCGGGAAGAAATCTGTTATTGCCGTCTGCTTTCTGGACGACATTTGGGCGGAGGCGACAACTTTCCTTAGCGCTGTCAGGTGCTCCACCACACTCGCACTGTCAGAGCTGCGCATCCCATGCGCTGAAGATCCACCACAGTAAGGTTTCTTCTACTTTTTGGGTGCACCACCTTCCTCAGCCGCTTTCTTTTCGCGTTGAACTTCTCGCTCTCGAAAGCCTGTGGGATCTCGGCCTCATTTTCCACGTACGTGGCCAAAGTGCTTCTCTTGATGTCATACCTTTTCATCACTTGTTGTGGAGAGATGCCGTCCTTCAAGGCCCTCAGTGTTTCCACTTTCGTTCCTGAATTCTTGGCCTGGTACAGCTGCAATGGAAAAAGAGTTGCACCACTGACTGATGACCGGAGCGGCAAAATCGCGACATGCGGCGCTATTGTTGCCGAGCGCCGATAGCGAGAGTGCCAGTCACGTTGCACGTTTCAACGCGGGTCTGGCCGGCAGAAAATTGAGGGATGAGATAGCTGTTTAAATGTGGGCTTTAGGATGGGCTGCTTTCTGCCGGCCACCCCCGCGTTAAGGAATGGAATGTGACTCACTCTCGCTATCGGCGCGCTCGGGAACAATAGCGCCGCATGTCGTGATTTTGCCACTCTGGTCGTCGGTCACTTGTGCTACTCTTTTTCTGTTGCAGCTGCACTTCTGTTGCATCCATGCCAGGAGACTAGCGTGCCAACGCACGGCAATCCAGAGCAGAACTGGTGTGAAACACGGAGAACTGAAAGAGCGAAGAACCATGGGAAAAACCATGTATGCATCTCGGATGGATAGCGGTCATCATAGCGCGCCCACTGTTTCCGAATTAATGAGCGTTTGGTCCCATTGACTAATACACATGTTTGACGGGACCGGATCGGCAGTTCAAATTTTCCGAATTAGCGGGGGTTAAATTAAGGAGGTTTTACTATATTGCAAAATTCAGAATGGTTATTGTGAAATTGACAAATGAAGGGGATGCCAAAATCAATGTTCAAATATGCAGTGCCGTGAACTCACTGGCGGGCAGGCTTTGCAGGTTGAGCAGGCAGTCTATAAAACAAAGCTCAGCCGAGCATATGTTTCGTGCTGCTGCTCGAAATAAATTAGCAAAAAGAATTATTTCGGCCTAATATCTGGGTTACTTGTTCAGCTACGTTTGTTGTGTTTGCCAGCAGAGACTTTCACTTAAAAAAGACAGCGAGGACCAAAATTGTAAATCCAATAACTTTGCAAAAAGAAGTTATTTTGGCTTAATGTCTGGATTACTTGTACAGCTATGTTTGTTGTTTTGTTTGGTCAATTTCGAAGCAAATCAAGGACCCAAAAGAAAACCCCGAAACTCCCTTTTACAATTTTCCAATCTAGATTGCCTGGGTCTACATTTGGAGCCATTGCTACATTTTCCGGCGTGTCCCTGCATATTCCGGCGTGTTCTGAGACATTTCCGTCCACGCAGGCAGCTGCACCTGAACCAGCTGGTTCGCACGGCCGGAGTGGTGACGAGCACGACGGGAGTCTTGCCCCAGCTGTCCTTGGTCAAGTATGACTGCGGCAAGTGCAACTATGTCCTGGGACCCTTCGTCCAGTCGCAGAACCAGGAGCTCAGGCCGGGCTCCTGCCCCGAGTGCCAGAGCCTGGGCCCCTTCACCGTCAACATGGAGCAGGTGAGAGCTCCGTCGTCTGCTAACTACTGCCATCGTATTGACTTGACAAACTTGGGGTCCTTCTGTGAACTGACCCTGCGTGCCTACCTTCCTGTCGATCGTGTATGTAGCACCAAGTACTGGAAAGTTGGCAGCCAACTTTGGGCCAAGTGAAACCCACTCTGAGCCGGCATTGCACATCTGTGGCCGAATCTGGGCTGATATTACTCACTTGTTACTAAGATTGTGCTGTCATTGCCCGCATGTTTCCAACTCTGTGCCAAAAATTGTTCGCCTATTGCAAAATTTGTGCTGACATTACCATACCTGTACCCAACTATGTGCCGATATCACCCACCTCGGATCGACTTCTTGGATATTTTGCCCATGTACCGCCAACATTTTCCATCCTTTGCCGACTTTATGCCAATATCGCCCTCCTGTATGCCAAGTCTGGGCCGACATCTACCACGTAGCACAGAGTTTGTGCTAATATTGCTGTCATGTTGCTAACTCTGAGCTGTTGCCCACCCACTTCTTACCAGCTTTCTGCTAATGTTACCCACCTACCAACCTGGTGCTGACATTGCCCACCTGTTGTCAATGCTGGGTTGACATTGCCCACCTTTGGGCAACTCTGGGCTTTACATTACCTACATGGGGCTCACATGAGCCCCCTATGTCATAATGTACTTTTACTGTTAATGTACTAATGTACTGTTATGGTTCGTGAAAGAGGCCTGGAGAATGACAATGCACAGAAAGTGTTTGTTCCCCTGAATGTGCTTCACAGATGATCCTTGGCATATGCGAGGAGCGATTGGTCATGTGCTGCAACGAGGTAGCATTTGTGCGAAGAATATTTTCCCTGCCTCGTGGTTGCTAGGCTGATTTAATAGTTTGCAGCAAAAGTATGCATAAATAACCAAACGTGACAGAAAAACAATGTTTTTCTGTCATCGCCGCAGTCTGTCGTTCTTCTGTCATTTTTTGTCGCATCTGTCGTTCTGTCATCACCGCAGTCTTGGGCAATTCTACAATTATAGGCTGTACCTCGTTTCATGGAGAACTCGATGCTGCAGGTCTCATATGTCGGCAGTACACAAATGATTGGAGCAGATACGACGCTCGTGGTCACTGGACTCCAGTGAACGCCTACATTGTGAGAACAGGGTGACGTCTGTCACTCGCTTCTGCTTCTCTGGTGCTCATTCATTGGTCTCAGGTTGCCAGTTCACGAGTTTAGGCTTGGTTTACTAAGCAGCAGTACATTCTCCTCTTATTTTTTTTTTCTTTTTCCAGACTGTATATCAGAACTACCAGCGCATCAGCATTCAAGAGAGCCCGGGGAAGGTGACAGCGGGTCGTCTGCCCAGATCCAAAGATGCCATCCTTTTGGGCGACCTGTGCGACTCTTGCAAGCCGGGAGACGAAATTGTACGTGAGCCATTTTGTTTTTCTCTCTAGGCTCCAAACTACTTCTGGATGTAGACACGCACTATCGAACAGGCCCACAACATGTTCCCATAGGAATAAACTTTAGCCCCCAACCAGGATGGTCGCGCTTGTGAATCGATCCTTTAAGAAAAAAATAAAAGCAAGTTGGGAACACTTTTTCTTTTTTATCTGCTCTAAGATAATGGAACTTTAGCTATTTATGAAGTTTTGTCTTCTCTTTTCAAAACCGTTTTTAGTTTTAATGTTGGTTCTATAGTTTTGTTTTCACAAGCAGAAACATGGAGAAAGGTTTTTTGTGCAGACATTTAGGTTCAGCGATTCTTTATAACGAGCATGGTGCAATAGCTCAATATGCTCCCTATGAACATTTGAACGGTATTAGCGCACACGTATGGAGAAGAGAGAAAGAGATAGGAAGCGCTCTTACCTGTCTCTTCTCCATACGTGTGCGCTAATACCGTTCAAATGTATAATTACCGACTAGCCCAGTTATCAACCCTTTTACTGCTCCCTATGAAGTGTAGAGTGCTAAATACCTAGCCAAAAGCTGCGTACAAATTTTTAATTTAATTAGGAAAAATAAAGACGTTATAAAACCTTTTAAAAGTTGGTTAAATTTGCAGAAATATGATTAAGATATTGCATTTATAAATAAATAGCAGCACTCTTTGTGTCCTCGAGGTAGTGCACAAAAAAAATTCCAGTATGGTTGGAGGATTCTAAGTACCAAAAACTGTTTGCACAGATGTGAAGACATCCCAAAGTTGCAAATTGAGAGAAGTGCATTCGGAAGTTCGAGAGATGTAAACTGTCCCAATACGGCCAGAACATAGCTAAGGTGTTCAGGTAACATTCAGACTCAATAGACCCGTCTGGCACTGTATGCTGCGACTTTTCTGGCCCCTCTTGCACCGCGTGCTGTTGGACATCAGCTATATTAGCTGTTCCTCCCACGTAGGCATTTCGGTTTTCTCAAGGTTTTTTTTTCACATCTTTTTGTCGTGGCGGCATGAACTTCCTTGCTAGCGAAAGTCTCGTGGTGCATTGGTGCTAGTAGGCCATGAATCGCGCAGAAGTGCAGATGTTGACGGCTTTTAAGCCGACAGCAAAACTCGTGCGAGCTCCCGCCGTTGTAACTTTGCTTTGCGCTCCTACGTCGATCTGACATGGCACGTGTCGACGAAAACATAGAAAGGAAAGACCCACTTGGGGCACTTGCTTTTCTCAGTGTGGTTTGAGAGACGATGAAAATCCCTTGCATTTCCCAGCCAACTCCCAAACGCTTAGAAAATCTGCACTCTTGACAAACCGGGCAGATCACGCTGATCACAAGCATCGTCAGCACATCGATGTCGCACATCACTGAACTTGTACACCCTTAGTCCCGTGTTCTGTATTTGTTTTCGAAGGACGCAATCTTTCTCTCCACTGCGCAAACAAGCATGAACAGAGCATAGATTGTGTCGGAACAGTCGGCGTTACAGTGGTTAGGCTTGGCAGACTGTGATAAACTTTCCTCCACTGTCGTTCTCCACTTGTGTTTGCACCACCTTTCTTTCAAGTTGCGTTTGTATCGGTAGTTCCAAACACGAAAGTCATGGTTTTCAGTGTAGTCTGCCGCAAATCGAATCGGAAATATACATAGAAAGTGCTGCTGTCCCAACCGACAGCCCCTCGAAGGTGGTGAATAATCGCATAAACTTCAGATTTTTCGAGCACCGTGAGTCAGTTAAACCGTTTTTTGTTTGTATAATAAGGATAATAAAGCAAGCAATAAGAAAAAAATCAACAATTTTCTAAATAAATTGGGATTTTTAAACCCAAATCTCCCTTTAATTTGCGAAAGCAGCTGCATGCAGTGCTGATTGGCCAATCTTTTGATTGGTCAACAGCTTGCTGTTGAATCTCACATGAGAAGCAATTCACACGTTCCAACCAGAGTACTTTTCTTCCAAGATCCAACGTTCAATCATTAGTTTGTGCTTACTACATACTGGCAGCACCAACAGCCCATGTTTTTAATTAGGTATAGCCATCATAAACGTGGGGTACTGTAAAGGGTCATAAAAACGAGCACCATCAAAATTCGGTGTTCGTCGTACCGAGGAGACAATGCCACGGCACATCTGAGCTCCAACTTGTTTTGTTAGGTGTGAATGCAATCATTAATCCAAGTGTGCATGTGCACCACTTTCTTGTACTAAAAACAAAAGTTGGTCTTCTCTTTCCCTCCAAAAATGACAGGAGCTGACGGGTGTGTACACCAACAACTACGACGGCTCGCTGAACACGGTGAACGGGTTTCCGGTGTTTGCAACGGTGGTGATGGCAAACCACGTGGTCAAGAAGGATGACCAGATGGCCACCAGGCACATGACGGACGACGACACGCGCCGCATCTTGGCGCTCGCCAAGGACGACAAGATTGCCGACAGGGTGGGTGCTCGAGATCCCCGAAGTGGCGGGAGAGTAGCCGGTGGACGAGCAGAGAAAGAAAGTCCGGTTTACGCTGAATTCAAACTTTATGTGGGCTGTTACAGGGTGATATAGGATATTCTTCTGCCAATTTTAGCGAAAAGGGATTGGTATCACATGACACGGTCACGTGATACCATCTCGATGACATCACGTGATGTCATGGTTACATCATTGTCACATGATAGATGACATCACATGACATAGAAGTGACATCACATTACACGCTCACATAACCCATAACAGCACCAACCGCGTGATCGTTGTGTACCCTTGTTATTGTATTTTCGTCACAACTTTTTGCTGCCCTCTAGGCCAGGGGTTCTCAAACGTTTTGGTCCTGTGGAACCCCAGAAAGCCTCAAAAATTGCCGCGAAACCCCCCCCCCCCCCCCCCCCCCCCCTCTCTCCTTCTCCATATTTGTCGACCAAGAGGCAACACAAGCACAATCGTAGGGAATTTCTTGTGTTGCTTCTCATATATCCCCACCATATCAATCGCAATGTCAGTACAAAGTGAGATGAAGGTGCTTTGAACAGTCTTGCTGCCCAGCCTGCAGCATGGGGAAAGGAGGGGGGTGGTGTGTAATTCGGGTGTTTGCGAAACCCAGTTTGGGGGGGGGGGGAGAACCCGTGCTCTAGACATTGAAAGGGGCCCTGTAAGCATTTTGCTTTAATATTTCCTTTTTAGGCATTTGCATTTCAGAATGTGATTCTAGCTGCTCAAATGTTGTGTTGGAGTTGCAATATTGAACTTGATTTCTAGCTGCATCGCCAATGCTATTTTCGGTATGGCTTTACCCTCTACTTTTGATCTGCAGGCGTTGTCTGCTAGCCGGCCGGTTTGTCTGCTGGCATTGTTTGGCCTGCATTGTTTGCTTACTCCAGTCTTTTAACTTTTTTTTGTTGGTGTTGTCAGATGACTGGAATTCCTTTGATTTATCAAATTTCTTGTTTAGATTATCTGCTAATGATTTACTTTTGTCTCCTGGTGCTGTCTACTGATTAGATTGTTTCTCTGCTTACGTGATCATTAGCTTACTTCATTAGCCTTGCCCACTAACAAAGCCTAATGACATCTTTTTGCTCTGTCTACTAGCTAATACCTTCCGTATGCCAGTAGTCACCGATAACTGACATTAAATACTCTACGAGTATTGTTCTCTTATCATGACCTCATTTTTGTGCACTCTGCTATTTAGCAGTTTGCCTCTGCGTCTTCTAGTGTGGCTTCATGATTGACCTTATCTTCTGCCAGTGTTGTCTGATGCCTTCTGCTGTTCAATTATGGAAACAGTAGTCTTTTACAGTAGTCAGGCTTTTGAAAGTTGCACCATAAGATGGATTTTTTTTTTTGTTGACTAAGTTTAGATGCCCAGTGAGACCAGGAGTGATGTCTGGTTCCTTGTTATCCTTCAGATTATTGCGAGCATTGGACCCTCCATCTTTGGCCACGAGAACATCAAGCGAGCCATTGCGCTCTCTCTTTTTGGTGGCGAACAAAAAAATCCAGGTGAGAAGAGACCTTTTCACTGTTCTCAAAAAAAGATATCCGCTGGGGCGTCTCAGGATAGTGACCAGCTTTCAAGGTCACGAGTCATCATAGCAAGTTTAGGAACACGAAATGTAGTTCCAAGGTTACTACAGCTTCAAAAGAAAATAGCCTGTGCCCATACCTCAGCTCGAAGTCATGGAAAAACAGTTGGTCAAAACATATGCTACCTTCAGACAAACTTAGTTCAAGGTCGAAAGGTCGGGGTCCCAGGGATTCGATCGCTGCAGGTGATTAGTTTAGAATATGCTCACAAAATGTATAAATTAAGAAACGCTGTTCTTACTACAAAAACCCCATAACAAAATCCGAGTCGGACAACAGAAGTGTGTGTGTGTGTTTTTAAAGCAACACCTGACGTATGCGACTTGATATTACATCAAGTATTTATGTCTATCTCGATAACAATGCCAGAGTTTTTCATGGGCTAAAAGGAAATCAAAATGCAATCTTTCTGTAAAGACTAGTATGGTTAAATGGCGTGTTTTTGTAATTATGGAGTTTCTGGGGACCTACATTACCACAATTTGTATTAGTAATAATAAAATGAAGACAATTTAATAAATAGTTTTTTTGTTGCTTATGATCCAATTTCAAATGCACAAACAACTAGGGCAATCTGAAGTTGGCACATTATCCTCACTGGTGCCAATTGCAACATTCTCAATTAAAAAGTTATTAAATAAAAATAGTGTAAGCATTTTAGCTAGTCTGAGAAATTTACGTAAAATGACATCAATTGTGGGTAAAGCACATGGTTATATCAAAGTTGCGATTTTTGGCAATCAGAGAAACTTCTTCCAAACTCGCCGCTGGTGCCAATTACAACATTCTCAATTAAAAAGTTATAAAAAAAAAAAAAAAAAAAACCCTGAAATACGAAAAGCTAATTCCGTTGTTGTTGCTTTAATTACAAAACCACCCAGAACCTTTCTTTTCTTTAACTTTTAGGCGCCTCTGTTTTGCCAATCCCAGCCTTTCCAGATCAAAGGAACGCCCACCAGCTTGCATGTCTGCTCATTGCAGTACGTTTCATGGCTGTTGGAAGACCGGTGAAACAGTAGCATGTTTTAGTATTGCGTATACAAGCGAACACAAGCATTTTTTGTTTGCGTTAGCATTGCATGTTCCCCATTTCGCGTGCACGAAGCCTAAAATTGCAATCTTGGATTGGTGCATGGCAACGACGCAGATGTGCAGCAGGAAGCACACAACTCTGACGCAAACGCACAGCACCTGCATTTGCTTCTATACGCCATATTAAAACTCTCTCGTAAGGTAGAGTCACATGCTGGCTGCAACACTTCATCGGGTCAGTGAAGTGTTGTTTGCATTCAGAAATGACTGTTCGGGAGCCACAATCGCAACCAGTTCTGCCGTACCCGCTATTCAGAACCGGGGGACCCTCACTAGAGCGCTTCCCGTTTCCGTTGCGAGAGGGCGAGCAACAAGCTGGGGGCGCGTGTATGCTATTTTCAGCCACCCCTTAGTCCAAGGTAGAAAGGTCAGGTCGCCGTAACTCAAACGCATTTTCCCGTACCCTTTCGCTCGTCCAGGCCAGAAGCACCGGGTGAGGGGCGACATCAACCTGCTGATCTGCGGGGACCCTGGCACGGCCAAGTCGCAGTTCCTGAAGTATGTCCAGCAGGTGGCTCCGAGGGCGGTGTTTGCCACGGGCCAGGGGGCGTCTGCGGTGGGGCTCACGGCCTACGTCCAGCGCAGCCCCGTCACCAAGGAGTGGACCCTCGAGGCCGGGGCCCTCGTGCTGGCCGACAAGGGCGTCTGCCTCATCGACGAATTTGACAAGGTCGGGCCGGTTTATTTCGGGGGGGGGGGGGGGAAGGGGGGGGGGTGCTGCACGTTAGTGCAGTACCTGGAATGCGTCTTTGTGTCTAGGCTCGCATCGGACGAAGCAAGTTTTACTGGCGCATCTACTTTGCGACACAAACCTCTTCCATGTTCGCATACGTTAACTGCTGAAACCAGAATGGCTATTGTTTTGTCATTGATCATTATTAAAATTTTAATTTTCTCGTATCATCTAGGCATAACGTTGTGCGTTGGTAACATGTATTTGTCTTTAAATTATGTTGAGAGTACTAACTGAACTTCGTGGAACCATTTAGCTGCGAGAATGATTCGGTGCAAATCGGAACTACCAGAGCGAAGTTTTCGGTTGTCATAATCGCTACCACGGAGGGGGTCACTGTTGCATCCCTGATCGGCTGCTGCAAGTTTCCTACCTATTTCCCACCCATTCCGGGTATCCCAGCAATTCTCGATGCAGACCCAATCCCAGCAATTGGGGGTACACAAATATTGTGTATTAAACACGCATTTTCAAAAATATATACAGATAAACAACAACAACATTAGTAATGAAATGTCCCTCTAATGGCACGAACAAGAAATTAAAAAAGGAAGAAAAACAGTAAATATGGACTTGGGCTGGGCGGCGCATGCTATCGCCCATTACCAAGAATAGCGTCATCAACATCTATCTATCCATCCGGTTATGCAATTCTGTTTGTTCCTTTTTTAAATGATTCAGTCCCAAATGTGTGTGATGTGGTTCCAAGACATACAAACTTCTTGAATGCCTGTTCATTCGGGATTGACATATACCGTGAGAAAAATGTCAACCTTTAGCGCTTTCTTGTTGCAGATGAACGACGCCGACCGTACCAGCATCCACGAGGCGATGGAGCAGCAGAGCATCTCCATCTCCAAGGCGGGGATTGTGACTTCGCTTCAGGCACGCTGCGCTGTCATTGCAGCAGCCAACCCCATCGGCGGCCGCTACGACCCTTCCATGACCTTCTCCGAAAACGTGCGTCCGTCTTTTTTTGCGTTGAGTGAGGCCGCTGCTGTTTTTTTCTTAAAACTCGTACGTGTACCGCAACGAAAGTTGCATCGTGCCATCAGGGGTGGATTTATGGGTCAGGCATGGGGGGGGGGGGGAAGGGTTTGTGGTGAGATGCGATGCGGGCAAAGTGTTCCTCAGATCTATTTTGTTTTAATATCTGCCATTTTACAAAAAAACTAAACAGCTCTTACAAAAAAAAAAAAAAATTATGTTTCATTGTTTGTTTGTTTTTTTTCGAAAAGGGAAAAGAAGGGTGGGTGACTTCCTACCATTTTTTTCTCTTTTCGAGTCATGGATCACGAAGCTAGGAAATCCTTGCATTGAACCAGATCCCAAAACAAAGGATAGATCATGGAACATGAACCACTAAACTCGGTTGTCTAAAATATCTGAACTACGCACACCTTCTCGGTCGCCAGTTCAGTTCAGTCTTTTGAGGATCGGCTTTGGCTGTCTCGGTTGCCGTTTAGTACTTGTCGTGAACCGTTGCCACTAGTTTGGATGCTTGTCGGCCCTCTGGCACAGCACGGCCTATGTTGCATTTTGCGCCATTAAACACCTAATCATTGTCGTCATTGTCAGCCCTTACTCTGCTAGTTCTGCTCTTCATTTGTCGTAAACGTCGCGCTTATGGTTTTTCAGGTGGATCTCACAGAGCCTATCCTTTCCCGATTTGACGTTCTGTGTGTCGTCAGAGATACAGTGGACCCCATCCAGGTGACTACTTTCGTTCGTGCATCGATCGCGTGATCACATCACCTTTTTACAAGCTGGCAGGACTCTTCCTAGGCATTGTATATCAGAAACACTGTTGGCTGCTGTCATGCTTGCAACAGACTACTATCAGTCTGACAAACAAGTTGCGCAAACTATTAGAGTGGGAAGAACTGCTCGAAGCGTAAATACCATGACGTAAACACCATGACTGAACACTTTTTTCTTTCTCTTTGTTTAGGATGAGAGGTTAGCACGCTTCGTGGTGGAGAGCCACATGCGACATCACCCCAATGCCAACAGCACCGAGGATAATGAGGACTCTATGGAGGAGGTAAGGAGGCAAGGTTTTCCCTCATTGCCGCTGGAGAATTTCTCTCAAGAATCACTTGAAAGTCCGTCAAATTAATCCCTGCTTTCTATGCCCCGGCAGCAGTGTTGTTGGTGTTCAGGTGCAAAAAAGTTTGGTTTTGGGGAGGTTTCGAAGTATGCTCGACAAAATAAATTTCGCTAAAGGGCACCAAAACTTTCCAAGCATCCTCGCAATCGAGAGATGTGCGCGTTACGAAGAAACTCCTAGATTTTTTTTCATATTTCCTCGAGGATACTGACAATTGTAGAGGAAAACGTTAAGCGAACGCGACTTCGTTGTGGCACGTACTAAGGAAATTTGTGCGAGCGCATCCCCTTGGCATATCTCCTCAGGACAGCCAGAGGGAGCTGGAGGAGGGTCCCGAGAAGATCCCGCAGGAACTGCTGAGGAAGTACATCCTGTACGCACGGGAGAAGGTGCATCCAAAGCTGCACCAGGTGGATCAAGACAAGATTGCCCGCATGTACAGCGAGCTGCGCAGGGAGTCCATGGTGAGAGAGCACACCTCTGTCACTACGGTGGCCTGATTGGCGACTCAAATGTGACAAAGGGAACGGCCTTCTTGACTTTGGGGGGGTAAAGACGGGTGCAGAACGCTGCAAATCGTATGCGCTGACGTCGGTGGTTTGCCGAGGAAAGAACGAGAAAGGGAGCGACCGAAAGGCAAAGGAAGAAAGCCGACGGTAGCTTAGACGTGTTTTGTTTGCTGCAACGGTAGTTGGAGGACTCGTCAACGTGGCGTGGCGTCCATTACGCGGGGTAAAATTTTTGCATTTACACACTTCGTGCAAATGTTATATTAGGTATCAATATGACACTGCAAGGTAATGTGGCACGTCTCCACTTATGGAGGCGCACCCATGGCTGGTTGGGGGCGCACCACAGTAACCATGTTTTATAATCTGCGAACCTTTTTAGAGCGCTTTTGGCGTGCCTTTTGCCGAAGGAAAAGGGCCTTATGAAGCTTTTCTTTGGCATCGTGAAAGCTAAGCACTTTCGCGATTTCACTGTCTGAAAGCGGACCACAGACGACGGCGTGTTTGTTGACATCAATGCATCCGATAGGCGAAGAATGTCCGGGGCTGGGCAATTCCTCGACCCAAGCTTCGTCAAGTGTGCACGCCGTTCAGTTTCGCGTTTTATCGCCTCTGCAACTATGCACTTGCAGCCATTACAAGAGTGGCTTGTCTTGACTTGACTTGGCCTGACCGCTTGGCGGCAAAAGAAAATTGACTTGGTGGGTTGGATGCAATTGATGACTTGCGGAGCTGAAAATTGGAGGTTTGTCATTACGAGAGGGGGAAAAAAAAGAAAGTCAAAATATTGGTACCCATTGTGAGGGGCGAATTCATTATGCAAGTAAATATGTACAGAGCGCGACACTGTTAGCACGAACAAGCGACCGCCGGTTTTTCCAGTTTGTCTCTTCGAAACCAGGGGATGTCATCCAAATTATTATTGCTACGGAAAGAGCTCATTTAGTTCTATAATATAAGCGATAAAATGCCGTGCTCGCTAATACTATTTAGAAGTAAAATGCGAAAAGGCGCCGACGTCGTGTTCGCGCTAACAGTGTCGCGATGTGTACTACGCCCACCGTCTCTCGTTCTTGGCTGCCAGCTACTACGATCATGTCGCGGATACCCTGCTCTATAGACAAAATGTTTGTGGACCAAATGAGTAACTATGTACATTGTGGTCTCCTTACTGTGGACGATTGTTTGGTGGGAATGAAGGTGTCCATATTAATGAGGCGTAACTAGCTGCCTGCAGCCTTGGGGGAGTTATAGTAGAGGTGCTTGTGATGCAACTGAACCGTGGTCGTCACGCCATCTTCTCGGTCCAGGCCACGGGCAGCGTCCCAATCACGGTGCGCCACATCGAGTCGATGATCCGCCTGGCCGAGGCCCACGCGCGCCTCCATCTCCGGCAGCACGTGTTGGAAGAGGACGTGAACATGGCCATCCGCGTCATGCTCGAGAGCTTCATCAGCACCCAGAAGTACAGCGTCATGCGCACCATGGAGAAGGTGAGGGGCGCCCTCGACGCTTGCGTTTGCGGTGGCCAGATTGGGTCGGCGGTGGGAGCTAATTTTTTTAAACCCAACATCTTTATAGATTTCTTTTTTTTTTTTTTTTTTTTTTTTTTTTTGAAGGGATGTGAATGAGATATGGCCCGAGTGAATGCTCGGGCCATATCCCGATTCTCGAGCATCGATTCATTCACTTGGATATGGTACTACAGTCTTTACGCAGCACTGAGTAACCGTGCAGGTGCTTCGCTGCATGTTTGTTCTTTCTTGTTCTCAATTATGCTACATACCAACATGTATACAAAATACATACATGTATTACATACCTTGTTGGTCCTCTGTTCTCATTCTTGATTATGTTGCATAACCACATATTAGAACATACATAGTACATGCAATATGGCATACATATTAGTATACTGCTTACCTTGTTGGTCTTCTTCTCATTCTCGAGTACACTACGTAGCAACGCATGTACATCATATATACATCATACATACAACATAAGTATACTACCGTATTTTCCGGGCTACAGTCCTTACCCGGTGTATAGTCCGCAGAAGCCAATTTAGGCCGAAAAAAAAGTTTTTGCTTACATAGTTTTTTCGAACTTCAGTTCGCAGAGGCCAATTTCGTAAAAAATAAATTTCCTTTAGATTGCGCCTAGTGCATAGTCTGCATGTACTAAACCATTACACAAAACACATCTTGATGAATACTTTGTGGGTATTTGACAGCGCAGTTTCTTTGCCAATTTGATGTACGTCAAAGAGATAGTGACTTTGTGCATGCAATGAACAAAGATTGCGGCTTTCGCCACCAGTTTAGTAACCAGGAATAGTCGCTAGATTATGGAAAGTAGTAAGGTAGTATAAACAAATGGGTATAGGCTGCACAGCAAAAGATATCACGATTTTGAAAAACCACATTGTGTATAGTCCACACTTGTAGATAGTCCGCACAGCCTGTAATGTTAACTTTTATTTATGTATAGTCCGTGGACTATAGCTCGGAACATACGGTACATGCCCGGTGGCTCCTCCCTTCTCATTCTCGATTATGCTACGTACCAACATGCATACAATCATCATCATCTGCTACTAGCACTGCTACTACTATTACTACTTCTACATACCTTATTGGTTTATGTACCGAGTTGGCATACCGGCACTTTATAGGCTCCGATTCCAGTGTGTGTCTCTCTGCACATTTTTCAGACATTCCAGCGGTACCTGAGCTACAAGCGCGACAACAACGAGCTACTGCTCTTCGTGCTCAAGCAGCTGGTGCAGGAGCAGATCAACTTCACTCGAAGCCGCTACGGCACAGAGCCAGAGGTGGTTGAGGTCTCCGAGCGAGACTTGCAGGAAAAGGTACACGCGCCTCGTCCCTCTTTGCGCCTTAAGTCGCCGAGGGGAGTTGGAAGTGGCAATGCGTCTCTTTCAGACGTCTTGCCTCTATTGTAACCTCACCTTGTTTTGTGGTCGTTTAAACCCTGATTTGGTTTTGAAGGCGACGTCGACTTGCCTATGAATCGGCGGGGAGAAAATCGGAACTCTGCCGTCTGCGATGTCTCCCCAACAATAGAAGCATTTTATTGAGAGAATCTGTACGGTAGTGTTTTGAATGCAACTACCTTCGGTGTCGTGAGCGATGCAATCGGGCAATCCGGTCATTTCTAATCGGCTCGAACTGTAATGGCGATGACAGTGTTGGGCATACCCAATTAATGCGGTACATTATCATTGGCGGACCTGTTGGGGATCGTAGATGCTGCCTTTCTTAGCTGTTTATTTTCTGTTCCTAGGGTTAAAAGGGCAACTTTTGCCCAGGCTTCTAAAGAACTGCATGTTTCCTTGCTGCTCTCACTGCAGAAATTGTGATCAAGGTCTCGATCCAGACTTTTTTTGTAGACTATAGTTTTAATATCTCTGCAGTGTTCCTGGCTGGCCTCGATTAACTTGACAAAAAATTAATTTGTGAAGGTTCTTACATTTATTGTGTTATCCCGATTTTGTGAAATGGCGTAGCTTTGTTGTTATGAAGTTTTAATGAGGGCAGGTCGTTTCAAGCTATCTCTTCTTTTTTTCTTTTTCACAAATGGAAGGCTGTAATCTAAAATACTAAAATATAACAAAAAAAAAAATTTTTTTTTGCAAATGGAAGGTTGCGATTAAAAATACCACTACGTATGGTAAACAATTTTCTTTTAAAAAATGGAAGGCTGTTATTTGAAATACTACTACTGACAGTAAAATGTGTGTTTTCTTTTACAAATGGAAGGTTGTGACTTAGAATACTACTTCAAAATGGTAATTTTTTTTTTTTATAAATGGAAGGTTGCGATATAAAATACCACTACAGTCGAACCTCGATATAACGAACTTCAATGTAACGAAATCCTCGATTTAACGAAGTATTTTATTTTTCATAATTTCTTGCCCATAGACCCCATGTATTTTTAGTCTCTATATAACGAAGTCTATTTTGCTGCTATTTCAATATAACGAAGCGCCATTGCCATAGAAGGCAATAAATAAATCAACTCTAAAAAACAACTTCGCAAAAAAATTGTGGCTAAAAAAAAAAAAAAAATTATGCGCAAACGCGATCGCTTGATAGGTTACTTCACGGGGACAGGCCTTCCAACGTTCCTATACTTCGTTTCAGCTTCGGTCCGAGCGCGGCCGATGTTATAAGCCAAAGGGCCAATCAAACAGCGAAAGAGGCACAACGTCACGGCGTGCTCTCTGCGCTTGATAGGACTAGCCGGCGGAGGAGCACGCACAGAGAGACGGCGAATACAGGCTGGTCCAATTAACTGCAGAGAGCACGCCATGACGTTATGCCTCTTTCGCTGTTTGATTGGCCCTTTGGCTTATAACATCGGCCGCGCTCGGACCGAAGCTGAAACGAAGTATAGGCTGCCCGAGGATGCGGCGCAGGTAGCGCCGGCGAGGCATGCGGCAAAGCGCATTCCGCGGGGCTGGCCAGAAAATGCCGAGCAAAAAGTTAACACGGCATAACAGCATCACCACTGACATTCACTGATCATCATAGTCCACTGTATCGCGGGTAGCGCGGGAGCCAACTTCAGCGGGGGAGCGACGTGATGGCGCGACCGCGCGACCGCACGGGCAGTGCCATCTAGGAGAAGACCGAGAAGACCGATTATCGTCTTGCGAGCGTGATGTAAAGCAAAGGCGCAAGCACACTGTGGGCGCAAGGGGGCAAGTAAACTGTGCGGTCAAGAGTGCTGTGTAGGTTGGAAACATTAGCACCGCCTAAACTAAACAGCTTTATTTTTTAACCGGGCGGTTCACTCACGTGCTTGCTGCCATAAGGAAACGTAAAGTTATTTCTTTGGATGAGAAAGCAAATGTTTTGGACGCCATCCTGAAGAAACTGCCGAGATCACGAGCACTCGGGAAGTGCTCGACGCAATGGACGTACTGAGGAGGTACACGGCGTCGCATGGGCAGCAAGATGCCGTGCAAGCGCTCTGGGCGCTCGAACGCCGTATTGGCCGTATGACGCCACTGCTACTGTCGGACAAGGCGCAAGCAAAACTAGCGGACTACTTTGCCCCTAAATAAATGTCATTTTCGGTGAGTTTTCATACCCGTAAAATGTTTCGGAATTTTTTTTTTTTTCGCATGTTAAAGCCAAATTTCGATTTAGCGAAATTTCAATGTAACGAAGTAAATTGCGAATTTTACCGACTTCGTTACATCGAGGTTTAACTGTACAATATAGTAAAATGTTTTTTTTTTCTTTTTTTACAAATGGAAAGTTGCGATTTAGAATACCACTACAAAATGGTGGAATGCTTTTCTTTTTTCTTTCACGAATGGAAGGCTTTAGTGGAAAATACTACAACAATAAAACAAAACATTTTTTTTTTTACACAGAAGGGAGGCTGATTTAATATACCGTATTTTGCGGGCTTATCGCCCAAAAAATACAGTATATTAAAGAGACACCTTTGTATGAGTCTCCCCCATATGCTTGGACGGTTGTCTCGGCGAAATTTCATTGAAAATCCCCAGTTTCCGACTTTTCTCCTACAAATCAAATGAGAAATATGAACCCTGTTGCAAATTTCTGCAGGTAAGGCCCATACATATAGAAAGAAAAATGCATACAAGTCGCCCCATTGTATAAAATGCACCGACGGAAATATCTGAGAAAAAAACGTGACTTATACACTAGATAATATGGTACTATGGTATGTTAGAATGTGCTTTTGTGTTCGATGCTAACCCTTAAAGTTAAACAGGGAAGAAGTGCTGAAGGGGGACTTCTAGAAAACTAAATGAACAGCTGAACTCTCGTAGCTACTTTAGACAACTTATTTATGTGGACTCATTATTTCAGAAAGCGTAGGGTTCACAAATATTTCACGGGCACACAATATTGCGATTGGTGTAACAAGCTTTGTATTCGTCACCTTGATATTTTTGCGAGACCTATTTTTCGCAATATTTTCCAGGTCGTGGAATTTGTGGAAATTAGGTGGTCGCGAAAATTGGGGTATCTTACAGTACTTAAGATTCTCACACCCAAAGCGGGACTTTTTTTTATTCTTACTCAAGTGTTGCGGATGTTTCGTATTTCGCAGGCCAACCAGCTGAACATCCGCAATCTGAGGACCTTCTTCGAGAGCGACATGTTTCGGTCGCACCACTTCAGGCACGACGCAACTCGCCACCTCGTCGTCCTCGCCTTCTGAGAAATGCGCGCGAGAAAAGGGCAACGGGGTACGTCAGTCCTTTAATCGTTTTCCAAAAAAGACTCAGAAAGAGACAACCAGGGCAAACTTTGTACAGAAAAGAATAAAAAAAAACACAACAACAAATGTTGCAGAACAAGATCCGTCGCTAATGAGGAACAGAGAGGCACTTTGAGAAAGATTGTCTCGAGCGAGGAACTTGAGACAATCAGTTGGCAACTGCCGGGGCGGTTTCGAGCTGTCGTCATCATCGCTTGTTTGGTGGGTCTTCGTCCAGTTATTTACAAAGGCGAGAAATGGCAATCGTTCGACTAGTGTTGACTCATTTGATGACTAACGCAACAACGCCACAGGGAAAGGAACGACCTGCCATACGTTTAAAGGCCGGTTCCCACACTTGCGACTGCTCACCACTGAGCACGTTAAAACCTCTTGTGATCTCTTATACAACGGGAGTAAGCGCTGATGCCATTTGTTGGGTAGCCGTGGAACAGTCACAATTTTTGTATATTTCCCCTTTTTTTTTTTGCACATTGTTTTTTTATTAATGGTTCGAAAATCTTTAACAACATTATAACTGACCATTTCTCGTATGTAGTGGGTACACCTCACAATTATCTACGAGGCGGGGCCATCTCGTAGATTGCGCCAGTGCATCCACTCGTAACAGACCTTGAGAGAGGTGGTGACGCACTCGGTCGCAAGAAAAGGCAATTGCACAAAGCAGCCTCAGCGGGTCGAAAACACCAACGGAAACGCTCGTAAAGTTGGAAAACTCTGAGTTTAGATGTTTGTTCGTCGGTGTCTACGCTTCCCCCACGGAGAAGCACGAGGCGAGTGCAAAAGTAAAAAAAATGCCGACGACAAGAGTTCGGTTTGTACGTTTGAAACCGCAGACGGTTTGCGGCGTGCGCGTCTCGGGTGGGTGTAGACAGTCCTATCTTCTCCGGCGTTTCAAGCTTTTTCAACTACTATGTACACGTTTGCTTGGATAGGGACGCAGAGATGGGGTGCTTTTGATTGGGCGTAAAGACCATGCAAGACTGCGTCTCTCGAGTGTCCGATTACGGTGAGTTTGTTTGATCAGTTGAGTCGGAAAGGGACGTTCGAGCATTTAGGAAGGTAAAGAGAGACGGGAACTCGTGGGCGATTTGGAAAGCCGGCATAAAGACGGATGCTCTCTACAATTTGTTCCAAGTGCGCTCGTGATGTGCAAGCTGCAACTGTCTTCTAGAGGTTCCAAATTTCTTCCGTTTCGATGTCTGCATTAAAGGCCTGTACACGCTCGCGCTTGACTACGACCGAGAAGAAACCGGTTTCTAAGCCTCCTGCGACAGCTCACGATTAGCTGCATTGTCGCGCAGCCAGTCCCTAGAGGCCTAGGAATCGGCCTCGCCTCCGTCGGTCGTGATCAAACGAAGTGTGTGAACGGGCCTTGATGTCTCACCACAGGCCTTGCGTACGGCCGGGTGTCGGAAGCCATGTCAATAACAGCAAAAATTTGCTGTTATTAATATTAAATCATCTGGGATTGCTTCGCAGTAATGAGGTGCACACTCTAGAAAATCAGGAGCGTCTACTTTCCCGCAAAGCATTTGGGAGGGCCAATTGCTGCGATCTACGGAGGACACTCGGCGAATGACGAGGCTTAAAAAAACAGCCTGCACCGTGACATCGAGCATGGCCTCGTTGTCCGCCAAACTCCTTTCGAAAATCACATCGATCGGCTCTCCATAGTGCTTTGCGGAAAAGCAGACGCCCTAGCTTTTCGGGGGTGGACACTGGGATCCTTAGGATCAGTTAAACTTACTTTTCAAGCCATGCAGTGTTGTAAATAAAGCGAGTTGGGGTTCCTAGCGAGGACGGTTCTTTCTCGCAAAGAGACGATTGGATGATCTCGCCAGCATTTTGGAGGAGAGGGGGGGGCGGGACGTGGCTCAACTCGGATCGGAGGGTCTTGGTGAGGACTCTGGAACTGGCTAGTATAGATCCGTAGCGAGGACAGTTCTTTCTCGCAAAGAGACAACCGGCTGTTCTTGTCAGTATTTAGGAGGGTTTAGAAGTACCTAGAAGATAAGGCCTTTCCCATCCAAACATCATCACTAGTGGGTCCACACAGCGCCACCTAGCACTAGCAGCCGGCGACACCACGAAGGACGCGACTTGGCGCGGGTCGGGCATTCACTAGCAACGATGTTGTGCGCGGGACTCGTCTTCTAGGCGGTATTGGCTCGGCTTGGCTTGGCTCAGAGTGTCTTGGTGAGGACTTGGGAGCTGGGCCGGGGTCCGTTGGGGGGCGAGGAACAGTCTTCCCGGTCGTTGTCGTCTATCCACGGGTGGAAGGAGGCGCCCTCGTAGTTCGACCGCGAGGACGCCCCCCTGCCGTTGACGTAGGCCGGGCGGCTCACGATGAGCTCCACCCGATCGCCGGCCGCAGCCATCAGCGGGACGGTCAGGCAGCAGTCAAAGTCGTGCGTCCTTGTCTCGTTCACCTAGCGGAAAGCAAAAGTGCACCATCGGAGCTTATTTGACGTGCGACCGACAAGGGCTGACGGCGTACCGCGTCCATCCAAACGGGTCGAACCCAATAGGTGAGCGGCGTTTGGCAACTTCGGGTTCCTTAGGAAATTTTGTTTCACTTTCGACAAATGACGACAATCAGCTGCAAGCCCGTGCAAGCATGATTCTGAAACCTCCAGACGGTAGTTTCCAGAACCATGCTTAGACAGGTCTGCAGACCACCATTGTCCTTTGACAACAGCTAAACAAAATTTCCTAAGGAACCGAAAGTTGCCGAACGCCGCTCACCTGTTTAAACGAGCCGCAAAAATCGGTTGTGACGTGTTGCGGAGAAGTAATTGGGTGGCGCATTTTGTTCCACGAGGGTGTCGGCGGAAAAGCCTCGCCTTAATCGAACGTCACGAATCAAAACCGCACCTGTAGGATACGGTCGTAGGGCTTGAGGATGCCGCTCATGTCAGCGGGGCCCCCCGGCCTGACGCGGTTGACATACACGCCCTTGTCGTAGAGGCCGTCGGAAACGCTGAAGCCGAAGTCCTCGTAGACCTTGTCCTTGAAGAGCGTCACCCGGTGCACCTCGATGGGGATCGGGGCCGGCTCGGGGTAACCAGGGAGGGGGGTCAGAGCGCCCTCATCCAGCCGGCCCTCCTCCTCGTAGGGGGACAGCGTGAAGGGCGGCGCCTGTTCCCCTCGCCCTGGAAGTTCAAGGGAGCGGCGCTGCGTCGGTCGTCTGCGACCGTCCCAACTATATAAAAGTGCTCTGCCGGTGATGTCACATCTGTGTGTTATGCTATATCTGTTTGTGATATTACGTCTGTCTGCGACGTTAGATCTGCCCACGACATTGCATCTGCCCGTGATGTGGCATCTGTCCATGGTGTTAATCTGTTTGTGACTTACATGTGTCCATGATTTTTAAGTGTCCAATAGAGATGTAACATCACAGGCATTATGGATTGTCACCAGCTAGCATCTCTTTAAGGTGCCATTACAGAAACGCGAGAAAGCATGAAATTGATGAATCGGGTGCTCCCTCGGCGGTCCCCTTTCTCTGCCCTCCCGACTCGAGTATGGGCGATAGCGCCTTGAGACCACCCGGACCCTCTCGCGCCCGACAGAATGAAGCGTCTGAAAGTTTGTCTCGAAATGTCAGTTTCTCTCGTAAATCGGGGGCCGATTTACCCCCCGATTTACGAGAGGCTTCCATCATCATCTCTTTATTTCTGTGTCCATGAACAACAGATGTCTGTGGGGTGGTGGTGAGAATTTGGCTCGCGGAAAAGGGGTAGTGGGGCTTTATGCTATTTCACCAAGGACGAGGAATTGTTTCATGAAGAGAACTGGCATATGATTTCTTTTTCATAAAAAAAGTTGTTAGGGGCTCCTTGGGGGAGGCAGTTGCACTTTTTGCCCCCCCCCCCCCTTCACTTCCCCCTTCCCCCCCCTCTTAAATCCGTCCCTGAACTCACCCGCGTATCTGGCCTCTCGCTCTGCCGCGGCTGCCTGGAACTCGCACTCGGTGGATGTGGTGTCATCGGACTGCTGGCCCCCGCCCCGCGTCTGGAACCCGTACAGGTCGTCGTAGTGCAAGCCCCCGGGCTCCGGGTTGGGCAGCGGAGCGATGGATGGCAAGCTGCCCATGATGCTCCGCTCTATCTGCCGGAGGAGCTTGGACTGCCCACACGTCTCCAAGTCCTCCAGGACCTTGGTCCAGTCGGCGGACCCGCTGTCGGAGGCGGCGGAGTGGCCGCTTCCTACGGCGGGCGGAGCGGGCAGGTTTGCGGGGCCGGGGGGAGAGGAGAGGTTGGCGGGACGTCGGTGACCCCACACGTCTCGCTCCCAGGACGCGAGTTCGGCCGAGGTGCCGCTGTTGGGCTGCTGCGTCGGAGGAGGAGGTGCGGCCATGCCGGCGATGTCTGCGCGGATTAAGGTTGAGAAAACAAGAATTTTCAAAGTGTGTTTAAGCACAGTCTTTCGAAACTTCTTACTGATAGAGTGGTTGAGAAAAATTACAGGAAGATCCATTGGTGGATTCTTAAGGAATGCTTTAGCATGACCCTTGGGAAACGCCACACACGTTCCCCTTTGGGAATCGCTAACGCTGGCCCCTTCATTTTCCTGTTTTGACTTTCTCTTTTCATCCCTCTATTCTTTGCTGCATCTTTTTGGCCTCGTTACAGGGTCAGTGTTAGCGTTTTCCAAGTGTCATGCTAACGGATTCCCTAAAAATCCACCAATGGATCTTTCTGTAATTCTTTCCACCCCTTTTCTGTACTCTGCCTGTCAGAGCACGTTGACGCCCTTGGATACAGTCATCCTTACCACCCATGGGAGGAACCATGTCCATATTGCTCGTGGAGAGAACAGCATTCATAGTTTTAACTACACACACACGTCACAGCCCACGTACCGCTACTATGGAAGCCAAAAGCGAAGGACAAAGGCAGAGTGGCAACTGAGCCAACACCTCATAGATAAGAAAGCCTAAGTGCTGAATTTTCCTGCATCACTAAAGAAGGCGACTGTACTGCTGCGTCGGCTTTCGGCTGGAGCTCGTGTCCAATCAGGAAGGGAACAACTCCTAGTTGAACGCCGAGGCCGAAGTCGCATCCAATCTTTGGCCTACGGTGCCCTTTAGTGGCTCAGGAATATTCAGCATTTCGGCTTTCTTAACTGTGTTGACTGAGCACGCCTACATTTCACCGCGCCGTGGTGTGTCCTCCTCTCTAGCTCCTCGCCAGCTGTGCACGTGACTGATGAAAACGAAAGGGCTCGTTTTGACGGAAACCCGGCAGTGTCCGTCAGTTTGTCAGCGCCGAGGAGAGAGGGCGAGGACGCATAATGACGTCAGCACTTTGGACCAATGGGAGCATCGCACGTGTCACCCTCTTCCCCTCCTCTCTTTCCCCAGCGCTGACAAATGAGACACCTCCGGGTTTTCGTCAAAACGAGCTTTCTAATGCTAACGCATTAAAAAAGACAAAGGAATAAGAACTGCTAGCCATGGCAGATGCTGCGAATTGCAAAAAACATACTGCTTAGCTAAATAATTAACTAAAACTCCACTTGTGCAGTTGACACGAGGCTGGCTGCACGAAAATGTGGATGATATCCTTATCATCCGTGTTTTAGCTTTTTCGATTTTATTTTGTATATACCGTAATCTCCCCCTGCTGCCTGAAATTCATAAAGAAAAAATTGGGGTGGGCCATGTCTCGGTGGGTAAGCAAAAAAAAAATAGAAAAGCTAAAAAAATGCCCACTTTTTTCTATGTATTTAGTGTGGCTGTACAGAAGTACAATAAGCTAAAAACTCGAACTAGTTTTATTTTATAAAAAAAATTATCATGAAAGAATGTTTTACTACATTGAAGTCGGACGCTTGCGTACGCACATTGAACACAGTCAATCGGCATAAAGCGTGAACGTTCCGTGAAAGCACATTTCTAAAACCACCATGTTCCCTTCGTTACTGATCTATAGATTAAAAAATAAATGGAGTAAAAAAAAATGAGCCAACAAGAAAGTAGAAAAATGAACCAGGTGCAACAAGCGAGCGAGCGCATAGATGAAAGAAGCGACGAAGCTGGGGCAGCGGAAAGGCCGGCAATCGCATTGGCAAGTACTTTTGCACGGCGTGCACAGACGCACGCTGTGCGTCTGTGCACGGCGTGCCGTCAGCGCGGGTTGAGGCAGCATGGCTGCGTGGCGTTGACGGCACCACGAAAACGAAGCTCGAAATGGGATGCTCTACAAATGTCTGTGCTTTACAAACGTTCCGGCAAATCTTTATTTACCCATTGTCTTTAGCTTAAACGTTATACAATCTTGCCACCCGCGGTCGCTACGTCCCGGGAGAAGGAGCGAGTTTATGGTGACCTTATTGCGGTGGAGACAAACTTTGACGTTGCATTCTGCGACTTCGGGGCCTAGGAAATTGGGGAGGAAGTCCGTAAACAAAGTGAAGTGTCTTTCCCCCCTTTGTTTCACTTTGTCACAGACGTCGTCCTCAGAACAGCGAGGTTCTCTCGTGGCACGTTCAATGTCAGGGGAGGCCAAGTCTTACCGGCTTCGTGCTGGCCAATGCCAGCGGACGTCGGCTTGGTCGGAGCCGTCCCATTGGCGAGGGCCGCCATGGCCTCTGGCCCGCCATAGCTGTCCCAGGATTCCACGGCGCTATCGACGCTGGGGATGGGTGTGCCATACATGCTGAGGTAACTGCTAGGCTCGGGCTGAAAAACAAAAGCATCATCACCGATTGGTCAGTTTTTGCGCATCGAGAGTTGCTTGAGAAATACATAAATTTGTGATGGCCTACCTCTTTTGGTCGTTCAATCTTGGTGGGGTCTAGACCTGCGAGAGGTAAACAACAAACCAATTTGTTTTTAAAGAAAATGGCCTCCTTCTAAAAAGAGAAACACTCCCTCAAGCTAACGTGAATGTAGAATATGTTCACAAAAGACATGTGACACTGTGACGTCACATTACCTGGTTAACTTTCCCTCCAAATTTATTGAAAAAATTATGTGCTTTGTTTATGACGTTACATATGTCCTTGGTGTTGCATCTGTCTGTGATGTTGCAGCTGTTCATAACGTTGCATCTGTCCATAACATTGCATCTGTCCGTAATGTTGCATCTGTCGGCGACATTACCTCTCTTCAGAATTGCCTCCTAGCCAAAAACTGTATTCTATGTTAAAAGAATTGAGTCACACTGTTCGTTAATACTGCAGGTGCCAAGCTGCTTATGTTAGACAGTTGTACAATAAAAACGTTGAACAGAGAGATGCGCAGCAAGGCCCCTGAACAGATAAGTGTGATAGGTCTATCAGATTCCGTTTACAGCCATACCGGCGGCTTTTCATACCCTGGTTGATGGGTGACTTGGATATCTTGAGGGTGACGACATCTCCCGAGTTCTGCAGCGAGAGGATGGCCTCGCTGAGCGGCTTTCCCCTCAGACTCTGGCCGTTGATGGCCAGGATCCGGTCACCCACGTGCAGGGCACCCGTCCTGGGAAACGGTGGCCAACATTGTGTGGGCTTGGCTCAAAACAACAAACAGATTAAGAGTTTCCGGGAATACATCCGAACGGGAGGCAGAGGCAGAAAGGTTGCAAAGCCTGACCAGGCCTCTGCCCCAGAAACAAAGTTCTTGGCACGGCGAACGCTATGACGCAATCGACCAGATAAAGTCCTCTTAGCATGCGCCCAAGTAGCCTTCACCATCCAGATGGCACAACTGAGAAAAAAGAAAGAAACAAAACCTCGAGAAGTGTCTCGTTTGGGCGCACATCCTTTCCCCTCGGAGCTTCTGCTCGTACCTTGACGGACGCTGGCTTGAACACCTTGCCAGAGATCTCTCTGCTTTAACGCCTTCATAAAACTTACTGGCACCGTTGCAACACGAAACTAGTCAATGACAAAGCAGTGTCTAAGCAGTATGCATAGCGCAAGTGCCAAGTTCCACATTATCTGGCACACCCAGAAAACTACTTTAGAAACAAGCATGTCTCTCATAAACAAACGCAGGAAACCGGCCCCGCGACGGACTCGCTACAATTGATCGAACGCCATTTTATCGAAACACGTCTTAGAGAACAAACACATTTTATGGAAGCTTGGTTTAGAGAAAGCGGAACCTCAGTTTAGAGAACCGCCGTTCATCGTAAAAGGGACGCCAATTAAAAAAAGATTCCCCCACTTTGCGCGTGTATCACTGGGGTGCGTGTTAACCCACCCGGCTTCCCCCTCTCCCGTTCACACTGCTTCGCAGCGACAGTCTGCGGCTGTTCATTACAAAAATGTTAGCCTACCTGGCCCACCCGTACACGCCGCTTCACGGCGACTGAATTCGCCAAAAAGGAGGCTCATCGCCATTTTTTCTAAACTGGGTTCCTCTATAAGGGGATTCTATAAACGGGGGTCTCTAAACCAGCGCCCACTAAAATGAGCTTTGGTAAAATGGATGCCTCTGGCCCGCGACAGACTGCCACTAGCCACATATCTGGTGGCACTGCCTGCAACCAAGGCGAGAAGAGGACTTTGTCTGTAAACTGCAACGCGCGCGGTGTCCACACATGTATGTATGTATATCTATATGTATATATGTATATATATATATATATAGGTATATCTTACACCGTGGCATAAGTCAGCCAGCAGTCAGGCCAAACGCATAAACAACCGGAGGCATGTAGTAAATTTAGAGAAGCTTGTTTTAGCAGATGCCGCTTTATCAATCCCAGTTTATTGAATCCTTTCATAGAGGAACCCAGTTTAGAGAAAATGGCAGTGAGCCTCCTTTTAGCGAATTTTGCTGCTACGAAGCGGCGTGTATGGATGGGTCAGGGTGAGTTAGCATTTCTGTAATGAGCCGCCACAGACTGGGGGGCGGGTCTATTAACACACGCCCCAGTGATACACGCGCAAAGCAGGGAAGCATTTTTTAAACAGCATTCTTTTTTGCTAAATGAAGTCTTTCTAAATTAAGGCTCCACTTTCTCTAAACCGAGCTTTAATAAAATGTTCCCGTTCTCCAAGACGAGTATCGACGAAATGACGTTCGATCTACTGTAGTACCTAATCCCAAAAGAACACAACTTGATCTACCGTAATATCCCAAGTCATCGCCCACCCCACTACCGCCTGAAATTCATTAAAAAAGTGGGGTGGGCCATGTCTCGGTGGGTGAGCACAAACACTTAAAAAAAAAAACGGAAAAAAACGCCTATTTCTTTCTGCGTATCTAGCGCTGATGCACAAGAGATACATCAAACTCAAAACTCGATTTAGTTTCATTATTTTATAGAAAAAAATGCTCACGAAAGAATATTTTACTATAGCGAAGGCCGTTGCTTGCATACGCGCTAGAAACACCGCCGATCTGCATATAGCGCGATTGTTTGTTCCGTGAAAGAATGTCACCACTATGTTCTCGATCCTAGTTAGTAAAAAAATAAAAAATAAAGAAAAGTCTACAAGAAAATAGAAAAACCGACCAGGCGCAACGAGCGAGCGAGCGAGCGAGCGGACCAAAGAAGCGACCAAGAGCAATGCTGGGAAAGCGGGAAAGCCGGCGGTCGCGTTGGCAAATACTTTGGCGTCGGGCCAAGTCGGGCGCCTTGTCAATTGCAAGCTCTTGCGCAACTTTCTTGTTTGGTGCGTACATACGTGCGTCCGTGGACGGCAGGCTATCAATGCACGGTTGGGACGCTCTGCGAACGTCTGTGTAGGGCGTTCCAGCAAAGCTTTATTTACGCGTTGGCTTTGCCTAAAATATTACACAACCGCGGTCGCGACGGGCGGGAAGAAGGAGCGGGTTCGTGGGGACCTTACTTCGGCGGAGACAGACTTTGACCTAACACTCCGCGGATACATTAACAAACTCTTATTTTGTTATCTCCATCGTTTTCTTTTCGCACGGATACACGACCACTTCGGGGTCGCTCACGGAGGAAATGCGTAAACAAAAAGAAGTGTCTTTCCCTCCTTCATTTTACTTTGTCAAGGACGTCCTCCAACTGTAAGGTCCGCGGCCGCGTCATTCGGGTAGGATGAGTGTTCGCGGATCGCAGAGTCCGCGCTGGGGTATTCGAAGGGGTGGGCGATGACTCGGTGTTTTTTCGGAAATCGATATTGGCCCGAAAAATGGGGTGGGCGATGGCTCGGGGATGGGCGATGACTCGGGATATTACGGTAGTTGGTTCATTTGCGAAAACAGTTTTTGTGCAATGCATGTTGTTTACGCTTTTTTTTTACTCGAAAAACGACATCACTTGCCATCAGGAATTCTCTCCAATGTTTTCCTCAAAATTGTGAAGGCAGTGTTTAAAGTTTATTGATCGGAGCCAATCGCAGGTAACTTGGAGATGAGAAAATTGATCGTAAGGTGATAGCACTTCACTGAGAACCGCTTGCCAAGTGAAGTAGTCGCCAAACAAAATTATGCGCTAAATTTGGGCGCTGATTTGGAAGGTTTCTAATGTTGCGGAGCAACGCCCGCAACGTTTTAAACCTTACATGTTTTGTTTTGAATATTGGATATTCCACGTGATTAGCAAGATTTATGCCAATCACCAAAAAGTTCAGTAAAGTCTGGTTCAGACACTTGTGTTTGAGTACAAGTGACTGCATTACCGACTCCTTGCATTCCACTCCAACAGATTTTGCACAAACCTCGGTTGCCATAGCAACCATCTCGTCACAAGCAGTTGTGAGCAGTCATAACGGAGTCAGTCGTCCCCGAATGCAATCTGAACCGAAAAGCTGATCACGAGGTGGTAAGCCTGCTTATCGCCTCACCAACTCGTGATTACAGATCATTTACCCAATTGTTTACCGAGGAAACAATTTTGGTAACTAGAATAATTTGCTGAATTTCAAGGTCCAATTTTACTGGAATGTGTAACGTAGTAGATATCCTAGGTAATGCAGACTGCATTCTAATCCAAACCGCCGACCCCATTCACACACTTGCAACTACTTACGACCGAACACCTCACAACCTCTTGCAGTCTATGATTTCAATGCAGAAACATTAACTATCCAATGGAGCGAACCGACGTCATCAGTTTATGAAGCCACGCCAAATGGCACCTTCCCCTGTCCCAATGGAGCGAAGCCTGTCATCTGTAACAGAAATTTGATGGATAGGCTCCCATTGGCTGTCGCGCATCATACTTTCAAGGAATGAGGCTCCCATTGGCTCTCGCGCGGCATATTTCCAAGGAACGCCACCAGAGAAGCCCTCTCCATGGGGGCACAGCGGTCCGGCCACCGGTGAGAGAAAGCAGCTGGCCGTGGAGCCTCCAGAGCCTGCGCGGGCAGACTCCGGAGGCACGGCACGGTCACTTCGCGAGAGCGCACGCTCAGCCGTCGGGAGGCACAAGCGGATCACGATTCAAAGAATCTCGGGCGGCAAAAGGACGAGGCCCTTCGACAATGCAAGGCGGAAGGAGTACGTCGCAGATGGCATGCTTTCGCATTCAGAACTCGTAAGAAGTGCTTAGGTGTCCTCGGACTTTTTGTCCTGTCTCCCTCTCCATAAAATGAAGTAAATAAAATCTGAATTGAATTGAATCTCTTACGACGAGAGCACAAAGTGGCGGCATCTATTGAGTAGCTGTGGAGCACTCCTTTTTTTTTGCGCATCATTCCTTTTTATTGGCTCAAGAAACTTTTGACTGATATAAACATACTAGGCAGTATGTGCGCTGAATCTTGCCAATACTGCAAAACATTCCCTCTAGTGAAATGCAGTTCCGGTGCAGACTCATAGGTGACGCCAGCGTGCCAGCTTGTTCTCTCGTCATAAGAGGTTATGAGAACTCGGTCGTAAGCAGAACGGACCTTGAAGGCTGACGAGCAGCCAGAAAGGAGGAAACTGTCTGTTGATTCCTTTTTTCCGTTCAAGGAGGAGGGAGACCGCCCTCCTTTCTGCGGGGAGTAGCAGCTCAGAAGCTTGCTCTAGTGGGGAAAGGTTCTGTAGGTGGGCGTTTAAGGTGGAGGAGACCAAAGAGCCGGGGCCCACCTTTCGGCCAGGCCCCCCTCGGTGAGGCCTGAGATGACGATGGGGTCGAAGGGCTCCTCGGTGCCCGAGATGGTGATGCCCAGTGGCCCCCCGTGCCTCGCCAGCTCCACCGTGAAGACCACGGCGCCCGTCGCGTCTGGTTCTTCTGGGGGGAGTGGACGTCGGGTTACGACTGAACGATTAGCCGACGGGGAACCTCCCACCCCGCGCGCTTTCGTCATGCAACGGATCTGCTTGTAGAAGGAGCTTTCTTGGACAAACATCGACATAAAAGGCCGGTTCGCACATACGTTGCAGCGCCATATCAACAGTAGGAGTGGCGCTCGTGTAGCAATAACTTGAATGTAACTTAGCATGGATGCAGCACTTTACCGGTGCTGCATCACTAATATTACGCGAAGTTGAAACTGTGTCAGGTGAGCGCTATTTCCGGTGCATACTAACAGCACCGAGGTAGCACTGCGGTATATGTGTGAACAGGCCGAAAGAGTTGTGTATGCGAGCTGTTTCATAGAAAAAGTAAAAACTGAGATACAGCAAAAATTCCCCAACTCTATCATGACGTTGTGCGTGCATGTTTGGACTCGGGGGAGGGGGGGGGGGGGGGGGGGGGGCGGGCGGGCGGGGCGGGGGGTAAGGGGAAGGGGGAAGAGGGGGGGGGAAATGTGCAGGAACATGTAGTATGTTTGCAACAACCTGTCCTGCCTTTTTTTCTTTTTTTTTTATTATTGTACAGTTTAGATTTCTGAACATTGCTTCCTCATTTTTCTCTGAGGTCAAACTTGAAGATCCACGGCCACCTTTTCTCGTTATACTCTGTTTCACTTCAAGTGCGAGCGTGGAAGCTGCAAGAGCGAGCTTCAGGATTTCGGCATACCTGCAGAGCATGCACAATTGTGTTGTGCATTGTTTAGGGCAACATGCTTATGCATGCTTGTAGCTTACGCTTTGTTCGCAGGTAAAGTGAAACAAACGTTAATCTATGTAGGGCCATTCATGTAACTTCCAGGAATCGCTGCCATCTACAGCACACAATGCACCTATACTCAATCTCACCGTTTTAGCGCAGTACTGCAGAAGCCACAGGCTAAAGAAAAAGAGGAAAGCCACTTTTGTACAAATTTTGAGTGACTGGCTAATCTCTGAGTAGAACAAAGTGATGTGGGGTTCACAAAACGGGGTCCTCCTTCCCCTCTCCTCCAACTGCTTAGGGGGGTTACCTTTGGCAATGCCGCGTGCAACTAGTGAGATGAAAAATAAGAAACGCCGACGAGCGCGGAGAGGGGCACGGCACACTCACCGCAAAAGGCGTCGTCCTTGCGAATCCTGAGCTTGACGACTTCGTCCGAGGCCTGCAGGATCTGCGCCGCGTCCTCGATGGTGCAGTTGTCCATGCGGACGCAGTCGATGGCCAGCAGGTGGTCCCCGGGCTGGAGGGTGCCCGTCCGGTGCGCCACGCTGCCCCGCTTGATATCCGAGATGAGCAGAGGCTCCCCGGGGCGCCGGTGCTTGGGTGCTGGCACAACGCAAATTCAATGCTGAACGGCGTGTTTGGCGCACGTCTCGAACGAAAGACTCGCCGTGGAGTGGGTGTTATGAAGTGCAATATTTTATTTTCCCCGGGGGTGTGTTTTACGGGGCATGCACCAAAAAAGGAAGAACTCGAGTTTTTCAGGGAGTCTGGCTAGAAATGTTGAGGGCAAATCACGCGTGCTTTCCCTGGCACATATACCGAGATGACCAGAACTCTACTTTCCAGTGTACACATGGTAATCCTGTTTTTGGAAATGGTATATCAATGGAGGCTCCAAACATTGAAAAATAAACAAGTTCAAGTTAACTGCCTAGTAGTAGCAAGTGTCAGAAGAGGATTCATTGAAACCCAGAGCACTATAGAGCTACTCCTTAAAGGGGGTGAGTCAGTTTCAGGGGTTAGAAAAGCTGTGAGTGGAGGGGAAAAAGAAACGATGGTGCAGAAATAGAGAGGAGGGAGAAGTGGGCATTTGGAAGAGCTCCATGGTATTTGTTGTGTACATGGCAACTGCCTATAGTTTGTGCTAGCACAGCTGCATATGATCACCACCTCCAAATAACTTTTCAAGGATCTGCGTCTTGGAGGTGGTCCAACGAGACAGCATCACACAAGAACCAGGCAACTGGCACGACATATGCGCAAACAAACATACATGTTATGGTGATGCCGAGACCGGGTCCCTTCTTGGCGAGTTTGACCGTGAAGGTGCCGCTGCTGGGAACAACCGACTCGGCGACATCAAAGTCAATGTCGAGCACGACGCGAGGTCGCGACCTCTGCACCATCTGGGTGACCTCCTCCGCAGACATGCCCTCGGTCGTCTGCCCGTTCACAGCAATGACCCGGTCTCCGATCTGGATCACGCCGGTCCTGAAAATGAGATAACTCGGCAGTTTAGGAAGAGCAGTCTGCATCAGTTGCCATTCGCTCGAACCCCAGTATAGCCCATTCCAAAAATTTCCATTCGTGTGTTGCCATTTTGCTTTCTTAGGATGCGCAGTGGCTCTCTTCTGTGGGATAGAAGCCGTACGTGTGTTGACCGCTCAGTGACTCTGCACCTTTCACCTGAGTGGTAAGCACCAGAAAGGTCTAAACTATAAGTGTCCCAACACTGTTGTGCTTCTTATAGGTAAGGTTGTGTTTTCGGATAAATCCAAAAAACACCCACCGGTAAAATTTTGGTCAATTCAGATTTTTCCGATAAACTCTGAATTTTGATGTGCCAAACTGCTCCCCCCCCCCCCCCCCCCTATAAAACAAAAAAAAAAGACTATTTTACAATTAAGTTTGATCAGCGCAAAGGGTCAATGGTCCTGGATAAATGCCAACACAGTTATCTTTTAGATCTAAGACCATTGTAGAAAGGGGTCCTACCGCTTATCTCATCAAGGTTCATATGGACAACAGGTCATTGTACCTTCAGGTCACGACATAAGCCATTGTTTTGGTTTCCAGTTTGGGCCATACTATTAGTGCTTTAGAGAAAGGAGAGGTTCTATTTCTGTACGTAACAGTGAAAGCCATGGACCATAGAGATTGCATAAAATAGGGAAAAGGGGCAGTTGAAACTTGAAGGAGTTTATTGTTTTTAATGTGTCAATGTTTACTGAAACAACACTTGTGTGCAACTTTTGTCGTGGGACAAATTAGTATTGTGAATGACAATGGCACCAAGCTAAAAAAAATATTATTTAATACAAGCATGCTTTTTTTTTCTAGCATATGTTTACACTTGGATATTATTCATTTATTTATCTATTTTTAATAGGAAACACTGCGAAATTAAACTCTGAATTTCGAAGAATTGGGAATCAATTCTGAATTTTTGGCAAAAAATAAACTCAGAAAAACACCCTTTGAATTCGACGAAAAATAAACTGCGAAAACACGGAATCCTACTCATAGGTTATTGACGTTGACCTCATGATGCGTGCATTGCTTATGTTGGAAGCAGCACTCTAAAATTCTTTACTGTGTGGTATATATACACAGTGCTCCCATGCAAATTTTTTTGCAACTGCAACATAAAGAAACAGCAGCATTCAGAGCTCTTAGCTTCTTGGCACATGTGCCACAACCTACATAACACACTATAACAGACAAGCCTTTATGGCTGCATGTTTAAAACGTAAGGCTTTGATTTCTAATCAATTTGCAACGACGAAATGTGAAGCTTTGTTCTTGGCGTTTTTTCCTCCGAACTGAACCAATGTACATGTCTCGGAAAGCGTGATGGACTGTCACTTGCACTGCGACAGCAAGAACAGCGAGGGGAGTCAATGCAACGAGCAAATCGCTGTCAATGCCTCTTGCCCGGGTTTCTCCGCATCATCCCTACATTGCAAGCTACCCTATGTTTCCCGCCTTGACCCGTCTTGCTGAGAGAGGCGTCGTATCGTTTAGTCTTAATTACGACGTTGGAGACGCCCGTTCCAGGCGCACCTTTCGGCCGGCCCCCTGGGGTCGATGCCGACGATGGTCGGGGCCGAGGGCGGCACGTCTCCCTGCAGGGTGAAGCCAAAGCCCTTGTGGTCTGCGCAGACCGCCACCTGCGTGGTCTCCGTGTGGCTCAGCTGGCCAGAGGGGGGCAGGCAGGCCGGGACCGTCCCATACACAGACGATGTGGACGCTGCACGGACATGGCGGCAAACTCAGTCTATGTCCTCGCTGTGTGAGTGGACGAATCGGTTGTGCGTGGGCGGTGCGTTACGACTTCTTGTGATCTCCTATGACGAGAGAAGACACTACTGCCATCTGTCGGACAGCTGCAGGACGCTCGCAATTATGTTTCTTATTTTTTTCCGCACGTCACTCTTTTGTTATTGGCTCGCAACACTTTTGGCAATGTTGTATAAACGACCACTTCTCTGTAGATCTGACCGTGCAAATAGATAAAACCTTTGCTCTAGAGAAATGCAGCTCCAGGGCCGCCTCATAGATGATGCCAGCGGGCCGGCGTGTTCTCTCGCTGCGAGATATCACAAGAGGTCGTAATGCACTACGTCGTAAGCAGTCGCGAGTGTGTGAACCAACCTACAGACATGTCAGGTCTCGCATTTGTTTTCTAGCTGCCTGTGCAGCTTTGGGGACTATATAAACGATTGTTTTAGAAGGTGCGGAAGGCACATGCATGGCACTTCGGAAAATGTTCTGCACATACGTGCGCACCGTGACAGATCTGTTCTTGAATGTTATGGGTACATATGTATGCTTTCTTTGGCAATTTATATTGTAGAAAGAGTTGAAAGGACAAGCTTGCTGCGTGATGATGATGCATTCACTACTTAGTATTACAAAATAAAAGAATGAATAGAAGGCAATGACACGAAGGCAAATTTGAAACAGTGGCATCCAAGACCATGGAATGCTCCATTCACTAGTTTCAATTCATTGAAATAAAACATAGGCTAAAAGAGAGGGGCAAGAATTTTCAGCCTCACAGAAAACTATTTCATAAGGTCAGCCTTGAAAGTACCGCGGGGGATTGCTAGGCCCTCGTGCGGTGGCAGAACTGACCGTTTGAAGAACTTGCGGTGTGTTCTTGCGACTGGTGCTTGCGTCCCCTATTCACCCTCGAGGAAGAAGGGGTGAGAGGGGGGTGATGGGGAGGAGGGGGCAGGGGAGGGAGAGGGTAGCGCTGGGCACAGGATCGGCTGGAGTGGGCCCCCACCGACGAGAGCGTGTCGTAGTTGGAGGCGTAGCCGTGAGGCGGGGCAGGCATCGCACCTCCTGTCGAGAGTAGCAACGACGTTTATTTGCTTTGTCAGAAGAAAAGCTACTGTTGGTTTTTTCGCTAGTTGTTGCATGTTCTTAGCAAAAATATAAAAACATTTTCTTCAATTTTTTTTTTCTTATTTAGGCATTATACATGGAGTCCTTCGATTATCTCATCAGGATGACGTGGTCACATGACACCAACAATGTGGCCATGTTGTGTCAATGATGGCACAGCGTGACACTCATGTCATCACGTGACACTGCGTCGCATGACGTAACGTGACCAGTGACCCCTGGTGGCACCAACCACGTGATCATCGTACACATTCTACGTATGGTCGGCTCAGAAAGGCTCAGAAACGAACACCCAGAGCAGCTTAAGACATGCTGCACATTCCGTATCCACTCCCGACTTAATCTCTAGGATCAAGGTACACCGATTTTGTTTTAGAAATTTGTTGGACATTTTGTGCGGGCATTTCCCGGCTCCCTCTCTTGGCTCACCCCTTTTGGAGTGCGAGGAGCTGGGCCAGCGCCGGAGCGCCATTTGGCTGATGGGAAGGATCTCGAGGCGGATGATGTCCCCGACAGACATGCGGAGCAGCTGCGTGGCCTCAGCGGGACTCATCTGGTCCACCTGGGTGCCGTCGATGGCCAGCAGCTGGTCGCCCACGTGCAGGGCGCCACACCTGCCAACGATTAGATTGGATTGGATTAGGTCAGATTAAAAAGCTAACGTTACTAAATCAATTTAGCTGCAGAATTGTCCATAGACGCTGCTTCCACGCGCAGTACCCTCCACCTCTCCCTGAAAGGTATGTCTTCTGTCGTTCGATGCACCACAGTCTGGGAGACGGCTGTTATGGTAACTGCAGTCTACTCTATAGAACAGACGGGTTTTAAAGGGATACTACAACGAAATTTTGGCACTTATTTTTTTGTCTATTTGTGTTCAAGGGAGCAGCATCACATCAGACACACCAATCTCTTGTTAAAAAAGACGTGAAAAGAAACTTTAAAACGAATTAAACGGTTAGCAAAGAGCACCTGGTGGATGTTGCTAATGCCTTGTTTGTAATGCCCATCTACGAACCTTGGCAGGTGGTGACGATAACTCTCGCCTCTGGCCATCATAAGAGAAGGGAAGGAGGAACTCCCCACTCTCCGAGACCATGTTTCGTGTGTCCCAGACGTCGCTATTGTCCCTTTACAAGATTATAGAAGATTAACCCGTCACTCAAAATTTGTACAAAAGCAGCTTTGGGGTCAGTTGCGATGGCCCGATCGCTGGCAAGCTTCGGCCGTTTCGGTGGCTGGAACGGCTAGGACATCCCGTTGATGTCTACCTTGCCACAGCTTTGCTCGTTCCAAGACAGTCTGTGTCACGATTGCGGCGGATGTCACGTGCTCTCCGCTGGCTGCCCTCCAAGCGCTTGCCAGAATGGGCCGTTTACAACGAAAAATACAGCCATCAGGCTCAAAATGCAAACGTGCAGTTGTCCTTTACAGATATTATGGACAATATTCAGCCTATTTCTGAACACGACGGGTATATTTCAAATTTCGTTGAAGCATGGTGTCTAGATGGCGCTTCACCGTAGCCTCTCCAAAGAATCAGGTTTTGATGGAATGATGTTTCTTGTCGAGCTACACATATTGACATGTCCTCTCCTGTTCTTTCTTTCTTCGTTTTAAGTATAATTTTAAAGTTCAAGCTGTTATATTTACAAGTATGTACCAGCAAGCTCAACTCTTAACCGTTATTCAGTTCCTTTCTAGTTATGAGCTGTTTGTCCTCTCCTGTCCTTTCTTTCTTCATGTTCAAGTCTAATTCTAAAGTTCAAGCCGATATACCATTTACAAAATTGGGTTCTTGGGATGTCAATTTTGTTTCGTGTATGTCATTAAAATTGAATTTTTTTTATATTTTAATTAGAGGGGACTGCACTTCTAGGGGAAGTGTTGTCACACAGGTACGTTTACGCGTAAGTTTTATCACTAATGCTTCACCCCCTCCATGCCCTCCCATCTCGTTAACTGCCTGTACCATTGATACTTGAATGTGTCAAAAAATACAGTGAAAATAAGGAAAAAGTTAACTTTCGGTGTCAGATAAAAAAAGTTAAAAATATGCTAGTTTTAGATTTTGCGACCTGCGAAACTTGTAATCTCAGGGAGGGGAGATGAACCAAAGACAACTGTCCCAGTCAGCAATGTTCGCTTGTCTCACGGCATTTCACTCCATTTCTGCCGAGGTCACCGGAGTTTCTTAAAGAAATAGCTAATTGTGCCAAAAATAGGGGTGGGTTAGTATCTTTTGGGGGTGGGGCATCTCTGGGGATATTACGATAGGAGCTAAGGAAACCCAATTCACACAATGAGGGAGCTTGATTTGTTACCAACAGCACGCCGACGTCTCTCGCCATCCGCAAGACTTGCAAACGAGTTGGCCCAGTTAACTTGGTGCAAACAATTGGCTCGTTCAAAATTACTTTCAAGATGCCTTCAGCCCAAAGACGATCTCACTTTTTCTTTCAATTTAATGAGAGCATGTTTGGCCAAAGTTTCACGCCCACGTTTTTTTTCTTTTTTACGTGGGTCTTGGTTTGACACGCACCTTTCTGCCACGCTGGCCTGCTTGATGCTGTCGAAGACAATAGCGCCTTCACCGTGAGGCACTTGGGTCAATGTAGCACCCAGCTGGGATCCGGGCGTCTTGTCGATCTCGACCAATAGCGGCCCGGAAGCATTCCGCACAGCATCTGAAAAGAGGCACTCTTGGAACACCAAAGGGAAAAGCTCTAACAGGAATTCACCGTTACTAAATTCCTTGGAGCAAACGGAAACAGATGCATATTCAAACTCCTTTCATAGCTGTCAAGTTTTCTCTACAATCGGCTACCTCCAAGTAAAACTAAACTACCCGATGCCCATTCATATTACTCCTGCTGGGCTTGATGTAAATGAAGCTTCCATGTGATTACTACTGCGTAGTTTGCACAAGTCATATATTCAAAGACACTGCTGTATTGGGATCAGTCTTGGGCAGTAACTAGTTACTAGTAACGCGTTACCGGTAACTAGTTACTTTTTTCGGTAACTTTTAACTGTAACGCGTTACTCTTTAATACTGGTAACTTGTAACTGTAACACTGTTACTTTTTTATTGGGTAACTGTAACTGTTTAGGCCGTTACAGTTACTTTTTACTATAAAATTAAAATTCCTGGCTGACAAAAAAAAAAAAAGAAATTGAACAAACAAAAAAAATTGCCTCGTTTTGCCCACGACGGACCATAGACGAGACGGACGAGCGAGCACGAAGCCGGGAGATTAAGGAAGCGGCGCCTGCGGTGGTAGGGGAGGCAAACAATGTGTGTTTCACCGACTTTGGCTCAATCTTCTTCTGTGGGGACCGTCTGCGGGTGTCGGTGGTCATGCGACATGTCTCCGAGTATTCCGTCTGGGCTGTGTCTGCCCTTCCCCCTCTCCCTTCCTCTTTGTCAGATATGTCCGCGCTGTACGTCGCTTTTACACCCAGCCGGTCGCCGCTCCCTCTTCGCTATGAGTTTCCAAGGAAGCCGTCCCCATATTAGGCGGAAAGTCGGCGCTTGTTTAACTTATTCTTTCTCTTCGGAACCGCTCGAGTAAATTGCCTTTCCCGCTGACAGCCCCAAGAAATACTCCAATAGACGTTTTGTTGTGGATTCTCTGCAGTGCTCCAGCTGAAGCGATTACCCGGAAAACACGTGTTTTTAAGAGAGAGAAATTGCTGTTTTGAGGCGCGTGTGCGGACTGATCTTCCACAGTTGGCGTTTGAGACAGAGGCGCCGCGGTGGTCGTCGTACACACGTAGAGCACCAGAAGGCCTCACTTTGTCTCCTTTCCCCCTATATTCTTCCAAAGCTGTTTGACCTGCTATATTTAAGCCTGCTTTCGAGTATATCCCATAAGGTAATTATGTGACCATCTGTGTCCTCTTTGGTTTCGGAGTGAAAAATAAACGAAAATGTTCACTGACGCGGGAGGTCCATCTAACGCAACGTATGTCCGAAAGCTTGTACCCTGTCGCATATTGGTGAAAACTTTTGGGGGCTGAGCCACGTGCGGGAATGCGATTGGTTTGCGCAGAGGCCAGTTTAACCAGACGGTTCAAAAATGGCCACTATTCTTCAGCTATCACTTGTCAGTTTATTGGGAAATCTCAAGCAGAGGTTACTGTGCGCGTTCAGCCTGTTTATTCTTGATAGCGCTCAAGCCATCCTGACAGGCAGTCATGTCTTCCGACACGGAGCAGCCGTTACCTTGGCCCTCGTATCTTACTACAGTGTAACAAATAAAATATTTTTTTTGGTTTATGGTTTTTTGTGTCCAATTTTGGTACTGTAACGAGAAAGTAACGGCGTTACTCTTTCTGCGGTAACTAACTGTAACACGTTACTTTTTTAATCCGATAACTGTAACTGTAACAGAGTTACTTTTTCCCCCTAGGTAACTGTAACTGTAACACTGTTACTTTTTACTGGTAACGTGCCCATGACTGATTGGGATCCATACAACAATACCTTTTGTCTTTGATGCCTGAAAAGCACGCCGAAACAGCAGAAATATCTGGGGACCTGAGGGCTAGGTATACAAAGTTGCAAGAAACATGGTGTCATCAACTAGATCCTGTCTCTAAGTGGAGGTACAGTCGAACTCGTTTATAACGAACCCGGTTAGAACGAATTATGGTCTATATCGAACACACGAAATTTTAAGATCAATATTCATGAGAAATATACTTTCTATAACGAACCACACATCGGATATATCGAACTGCGAGCGCCCGCTACCGCCCCCGTGGAGACGCGCGGGCTTCCCTGCAATGCACAGAGTGACAGAGGACAAGAGAAAACCAAGAAAAACACGATGGCCCTTGAGAAGATGAGTCACAAAACCGACTGCGAACGCCCGCAACCGACCCCCGCGGAAGCGCGCTGGCTTCCCTGCCATGCACGGAGCGACAGAGGACAAGAGAAAACCAAGAAAAACACGATGACCCTTGAGAAGGTGAGTCACAACACCGACTGCGAACGCCCGCAACCGGCCCCCGCGGAAGCGCGCTGGCCAATGATAGAGCAAGCGTGCAATGACGTTCTGATGACATCATCCTGCAGCCGTACCAGGCCGGACATGGCTCTCTTGTTCCTAGCGTTTTGCCGAGGAGGCTCGTTGTTCTTTGTGTCCTTCCTGTTCCCGCAAGAGATGGCGACCAAGGTGCGTTCATCGTTACCATTCTCTACCAAGGTGGAAATAATCCGGCGCGTTGAACGCGGCGAGAAGAAGTCAGAAGTCGCCGCATCCTTCAAGATCGCCAGAAGCACGCTGAGTATGATACTGAAAAACAAGCCAGCGATCCTGCAAAAGGCCCGAGATCGACCGAACGCCGACGGAAAGCGCATTCGGGCACCTGACTTTGACAGAGTGGAAAAGGCGCTGTACGCGTGGTTTTTGGATATTCGCGCTCGAAACCTTCCAGTTTCGGGCCCCATGTTACAGCAGAAAGCAAAAGACTTTGCCTTTTTGCTCGACGTTCAAGATTTTAGTGGCGGATCCGGATGGCTTCAACAGTTCAAGGAACGTTACGACATCGTCGGCAAAGTTGTCGCCGGCGAGAGTCGAGCAGTCGACAATGATGATATGTTTCAATATTGAAATTTATTGATAGAAATATGAATACATATGTTCCATCATGAAAGCTGCCTCGCGATAACACGGCTCTGAGCGCCGACGTGAGGCTCGCTACGCTCGGCAGCCTTCGCCGCTATTCCGCGCGGTTTCCTTTCATCTCTCTCGCTTTTGCTGTCCTCACGAAATAGCAATATTTTCTATAACGAACTACTTGATATATCGAACTAAAATGTGTGTCCGATGGAGTTCGTTATAAACGGGTTCGACTGTACTGCACTTATCGTCAGCTCAAGGAAAAAGTGCTTTTGTCTATAGTTTGTACACTTCATGAAATAGCTTTTTAAAAGCTTTGGACGTAAAAAGAAAATAATGTACTGTGCACTGAAACATGTCCGTCTTGATAAAATAATGAATTACTGATCTTAATGCACACACAAGTATATCAATTCACCACATAAAGAGGAATGTCTTGATAGAATAATGAATAACTTAATGCACATACATGTATGATTCACCACATAAAGAGGGAATATCAGTAATACTCCATGAAGACCTGTACTTCGTTTACTACAGTTCTTGAATATGGTAATCTCCATTTTGGTACTGAAAATCGCCATGGCAACAGTACACCCAAGTGCACTCGGCAATCATCAGCACGAAGGGTTGTCACGAAGACTGATCCAACTCGAAGTATATCTCTGGCAACACACTGACCAATCGTAGCAAGAGGCAACATGGGGTTGAAAAAGGATTTCATTGCTCTGGCACCTGAATTCAGCCATATACGGAACTCGCTATGAATCGGCTTTGAAACATACCCATGACAGACACATCATACTCTATGGTGAGGAGGGCCTGCTTGTCAACCTGCTTGAGCACAGCCATGGCCTCGTTGAGGGACGCGCTGTTGAGGTTGACGTTGTCCACGGCAAGCAGACGGTCGCCTGCCTTGATGGTTCCCTCCCTGAAAGCATGGAAACGCTTTTGTCTGCGGTCACACTTTGTGGTCGTCGCACCATAGTGGCTAAGAATAGCAGCAAAACAAGCAACTCCCACAAAGCCCTCCAAGCACTCTTTCCACTTCAGCAGAATGCTGGAGAGGAGAAAACCACCAATCATGGTGAACAAAGATTCTTGGGGTAAGGTCTTCTCCTGCTTGTCTCCTGCAACAAACTACAGCACTGGTGCCCGGAGTTGCTATATAGCACCTCTCAGGGGACCTAGAGTAACTAAGTGGCAAAGCCAGAGTATCGCTTTCCATTTCCTTTTGCTGCCGACCCCTCACTGTTGAAAATGGGGTCACATGCACAAAATTATCCTAAAAAGCGCTTGTGGAGAAGCGGTTTTACAGACTGGCGAGTTTTTGGGCAAAACATATTTTTCGCTTTACATTTGCAAAATGTAGATCTTACAATGAAGTGTGACATGCAGGAAGCTTCTTAAACCTTGAACATTATGTTTGCCAGTTAGTGTGTAATTGCGAACACTGTTCGAAAGCGGCCGCAGGCAAGCAGATTACGACTAAGCAATGCGTGTGTGCACACTTCCAAGGGGCAGAATCATCACCGGCACACCACCGTGCCTACGATGATCAAGGTCACCGCCGATGCCTCTCCTGCAAAACTGACATTTGCTTCCCGCAATACTTGTATCAAAATGGGAAACCCTTTTTGCGATACTCTGCTTTCGCAAGCAAAGCGTGCATAGTTGCCATGGGGACCGAATTCTTTCGGACCTGTCAGCGGGACCGCCGGGCCTGACGTGGGTGATGGTGAGTGGCCGGCTCTTGAGCTTCTCTGGACAGGCGCCGCCTCGGGTCAGGAAACCGAAGCTCCCGTTGTCTTTCTCCAGCTTGACCTGGATGACCTTGGGGCACACACACATGGACGTCTCGGCCGCTGCACACAGATAGAGAGGATCGACGAGCTTCAGAAAAAGAAACTAACTATCAGCGAAGCATCTTGGAAGTGAGTACTAAGTTCAAAAACGTATACAACAGATGTGGACAACGTTCCACTAACAAATGGCGCTTATTTTTTTTTCGTGCTTTAGGTTATTTTGCAAGCTGTTTCGGTGGCTAGCGAGTCGATGTAGACTGTAAAATATGAACCAGTTGTCAGCTTATGTTTTCCTCGTTTGTTGTATTTTGTTGCCATTTATTGTATTTTCATACAGCACCTAATTTCAGCATTATTAGACAAACTTGCACAGTTAAGGCAAAACATGCCAAGCAAACATGGTAGCAGCAAAACTTGAACCTTTCGCATGGAAAATTTCAGAGACACGATTCAACTTGCACAAACTTTCCGCACCACAACATTGATCCACTTTTTTCTTTGTCTTAATTTATGGTCGGTGTAACTGGGGTACACATCCAGTCCTTGCAGTCCCGTTCTTCGAAACGGACTGATCATCCTCGCAAGCGACAGGGGACAGTGGAAGCACGGGCAACTCACCCGTGCTGGGAATCTCGTACTCGACATCGAGCACCACTTTGTCCCCGGCATTCTTTAGCAGGTTCACGATTTCGTCGTGCTTGAGCTTGCCCGTGCGTATCCCGTTGACAGCAACAATGTGGTCGCCGACAGCGAGGGCATCACACCTGTGGAGCAGTTCAAAATGCGCTTGTATTTATTTGTTTGTCTGTTCACTTCGTGTTCATTCCGCTTTCGTTCCATGTTCATTCTATGTACAATTGCGGACAATAGAAGCTGAAACAATCCTTCGTGCTTCTTTGGCACATCTGCCAGCTTCTGAAAAAACTGGTTTCAACTAGTGATGGAACGCATTCTTTGAACTCGTCGACAAATCGAGAGATAAAGAGGCGTGTGGAAACTGCAGACGCAGAAAAAGGCCGGATGTGGCGTCTCGGCTCATTATTGACTGCGGGGGAATCATGTCCCCCCAAAAAATTAATTTTTTTGTTTGTTTTTTTGTTGCATCAATAAATTGTGCTTTGCGAAACGTTTGATCACATCTCTGTTCAAATGTAGCCCTTAGCAGTCCAAACCTTATGCCTAAGTTTCAGAAGTCGGTGTTGTCTTATTAAAAGTTACGAGTGATTTTCTGAAAGTTTCAATGGGGAAATGGTGCCTGGCACCATTCATCTCCATGTATTTGTGGGCTTCCTTAGCCACCATTTTCCCATTGAAACTTTCAGGAAATCACACTCTAAATTTTCAAACAAGACAATGATTAGTCTTGGAATTTTGGCATCTGGTGTGGATCGCTAGCACCACATTTGGACGGAGACCGAGCATTCGACAAAGCATGGCTTATTCTTGCAACAAAAAAAGCACTACATGGAGTATTTTTTTTTTCAGGAACATTTCGTATTTTTACGGTTCGAAAGATGTGAAGAAAGCCTTGACTGGTTTGAAATCAAACTAAACCCTTCATGTTATATGGTGTCGAATAGTACCAGTGTTTTTCTCTGGCAAAAAAAGAGAAAAAGAAAACTGATTGACACCGTAATGTTTCTTTTCTTCTAAACCTATATCCTTGCTCTCAGAGTAAACAATTGGATACATTTATTGTCATATTACCCTGGTTAGTTCCAAGAAAGCCTTCTTCCTGCAGATTACTCACTAATCTCCTCGGGGTTGGGACAAGTAGCATGACACACCCAGAGGTGTGTCACAATAATGTCACAACGACGCCGTTCGCGAGGATAGGGAAGGGGCATCCTCTTTTACTGCTAGTAATTATAGGCGGTATTCACTGGTGGCCATGGTTGAGTGTGTCGCTGCTCAGCAGGAGCTTATGACGAGCTTCCACATCTCCTCCGCAATGTTCATTGCACGCCACGAAGATTGCAGTTTTTTTTCTCGGAAGATAAGCGGGCGCTCATTCCGAGCCTGAGCTGCAAACACTGGGCTCAATTATGACGTCCAGTGAATATATTTATACGAGGTGGGACACCGAAGTAGGAGGTAGTTTGACTATACGGTCGCCAAAACCGCAATGTGCCAAACATGCAAAGTGTTTGCTGCATTACCTGTGGGCTATGCTGCCGGGCCTGAGGCTCTCCACTTTAGGACGGGCTCCCTTATCGATGCCACCTGAAAACAAAAGACAGTCATTGTACGAGTTTGCGCATTCGGAATTTCTACAGTCACTCACAGTATGAGAACGGTGGGCGTTTTCACTGACAAAATGCAAACAGCAAGGTGAGTGTCTCGACGAATGCTCGGCATCTGCCAGCACGCACTCCATGCTTTCTGCCGTGTTTTGGCTGTGCGCAGGCGCTCGAGAGGCGCGAGACACCGAAACGTTGTTGAAGGTACAAATATTGACACACACTGGAGATGGGATAATGGAAGCTCCTCCCTGCCATTTTCACAGCCTGTGTGCATGAAAAGCCAGCTGCGTTGTTCGTACGGTATAAATAAGCTATATGCACCTTGGAGAGCTGAGACAAGGCCCAAATTCGTTGCTGGCAGTTGGGACACGATGTCAAGGTATCACGACTTGATGTAATTCGACTCAAAACTCTGAAGCAATCTTAGAGCCGTTTTCAGAGAGGAGGTGTTGGAGGATTCCCAAAACAACCAACCGCCTACGACGCCGCAACTGGATGTCGGTCTGTTCTGGAGCTTTGTCGCATCTTGCCCTAACAGCTCACATTATGGCCAAGTAAAGTTTGGTCTCTCCAAAATGTTTGGTTTTAATGTTTATGCTGCACAAATACTATAAATGACTTAATTTTTGCGAGGACTTAATTTTGCGACTTTTACCTATAATAATGCGAAAAATAGGTCTCGCATATATGTTTCCCCCTGGTAACAAATGCATGGCATACCAGCCTGATTCGTGAAATTCCGTGCCCACAAAACATACTGAAAACCACACTTTGCCAAGTTCACGAAATATTGAGCCCGTGAAAATAAAGTCGCTTACACTAAATGCGGTTTGCTTTTACATTTTTTAGAGCATATAACGGGGGGAAAGCAATGAGCAGTGCAACCCAGAGCATATGAAGTTACTTTACTTTATAGTTGGTGGCAGGTTAAAAGTTCAGGGGAAACTCCTCCACCTCTCCACTTTAGCAGAACGAAAGAGAGGAGGCGACCTCCTCTCCTGCGTTCGCTCTGCTGAAGTGAAAAGAGGGGGAGGAGCTTCCCCGAACTCTTAACTTGTCACCAACTATAGTGGAACCAATTGTGACTCAATTTTCTACATGAAAATGCTTTAGGAAAGAAAAGATGTGTTCAAGCCTCCTGTGCACTCACCAGACAGTATGAGCCCCAGCGTCGAACCCTCCCTCTTGAGCAGCTCGACTGTGGATGATCCCCGCTTATCCTCTGTTGGTTTAGCGAGATTGACAGATGGGATTAGACTCCTTGTCCACAGAACATGGAAAAGACGAAGGCAGCTCTACTAAAGTAACGTACCGTTGATGAAACTGAGGCGCTTGGTCAAGGTCAACGGTACATCTTCGAGCGGCTCGTGGCGACGCCTATACTCTGCCTCTTCACCTGCGGTCGTGGACAAAAAAAAAAGGCCATCAGCCAGCTGATTGCACTTATTTTTTATTTGTTTTTGCAATTTATAAAAATGGAATGTTAATTATAAAGTTGTGTGAATATTCAAATTTTCGAATAGTATAGTTTCGAATATTACGCTGTTCGATGTTCCTTTTAAGATGAACTGCGATATTTGTATTTTTAAGTGTTCATCGCAGTGGGTTAGCTTCGTTGAGTGCGCTTCTTACCGAGCACCGGTGCAGTGCGGAGAAGGAACACCCGTGGAGCTCGCTTCCGCGAATGTTGCTTCTCGGCAGCGCATCTGTGCTCGTCAAGAAGCCAGCTCACTGGGGCTAACCCACCGAGATCACAGTCGCGCACCTGGGAGAAAAGCGCACTTTCAGAGCGGGATGGTGTACACGTGCGCCTGACGCGCTTGAAATGGAAACCTTGTAATGTTGATATCTACATTACAGTGGCTATTGTGCAAGAGTATGTCAGGCAGAGGTGCCCTGACAACCTGCGTTCATGGTAATATTTTTTTCTCCATATTCGTGATTGAAAAAAAAATTATATTTGCATATGCCATTCCATTGTGGGCATTTGACTTTCCAAGGCCACATCGATAAATATTGTTAGATTAAAATGAACTTAGACAATGGAGGCTTGGCAACAACCGTTAGTGAAAGGCTTGGAGAAACTGTTTGATATTCAATTCGAGAATATTCTGCCAAAACCATGCACTATTCACTTTGAGTTCGCTTCAAAAAATCAACTATTTGCGTGCCCAGGTGGAAATCAGTCCCTGGATGAAGATGGAACTGGTCTTAGCTGGATCCAGCTGGATCCAGGTGGATTCTCATCATTCCCAGCTGGAACCAGCTCCTAATCCAGCTGAAGGTAGACTAATTTTCAGTGTTGGGTAAAGTACAGGGAGTTTCCGAGAACCGCATTTTCAACCATGTATCGCAGAAAACTCAAAACACCGTGAGAATTCGGCGCTGGCGGTTGGGACTGAACGCAAAAGTTTGAGAACATGACGTTACTTGGATCTAAAGATAATTGAGAAAAACGAAATTTCTCTAGGAGTCGACGTCCACTAATATCGTCATAGCAAGAAATGACACTGTGGGTGCATGTAACATCTATTTCAAAGGAAAAAACAACAGGAAATACTTGTCAGCAAGAAAGACCGACCACGCGGGGAGTTGGGGGGGGGGGGGGGGGGGGGGGGTTGCGGGTTCGGGTGCCGCTGACCCTCGCGACACTGCTGATTTTCACCTCGATCAATGTAGAAACTCTGAATGCTTCGCTGTACTTGGGTTTGTAAAGAAGAAGCTCAGGCAATTCTGCATTTCTCAAGAAATTTTTAAACGATTTCTGCCTTAATAGACTACTTGTGCGACCCTACAGGCGGCGCACGGGGTCAGGTAAGAGTGCCTTTGACAAGCGTTGAGAGCAGCTTAGAGTCCCCCGACTTTCCCAAAATAAACGGGAAACGCGTCTCGGCTGTCCCGTCGCTCAGAGCTTTGCCGTCGCTTGCTTCTTAATAACGTGTTCGTGTTTGTTTTCTCTGCGGCTTATCGTTGTGGAGGGAACACCTGCCGCGAGCGCTAGCACGTCTTTCGTGTGCTTCCATTGCGTAAGCGGAAGTTCACAAAATGTCGCGCCTTGTGGAGCTTGCGGAGTCACCGTCGGTGACGTTCGTGAAAGGGTCACTTCAGTTCAATATTCTTCATTTATTTGATTTTGCCAATAATTTAGTTGGTGCGGTTTCGATGTTGGGGACACTTTGATTTTGGTGATATGGCTTTCTTCGCACGATATGAACGTGCGTATTGATGATCACGACAAATTGATTATTTCATCGACTAAAAGAGAACACCATGTACAAGGTCCGCCCTCTAAGTTAGGAGAAAACCAGTTGGAAAAATCGGCGCCTGCACACAAAAAGCTCACTTTCACCGGCGTATCTTATGTAAAGAGGCCACACAGTGTCGAACCTTGCAATGCCCTCTCTCCCCTCCCCCCGCCCACCTCGAAGCGCCCCTAAAAAACTGACCATTTTCGGTTAAAATAGAATTTTAAAGAATGGATTCGGCTTACTTTTATCGGTTTTTATCGGTTTAAACCGAAAACGCCGGACCTAAAAACTAACCTTTTTCGGTTAATATCGAATTTCCGAAAGTGGATTCGACGTACTTTTATCGGTTTTTTATCGGTTTAAACCGAAAACTCCGAACCTTAATTATAATCTAGTGGGCGCTACAGGAGAAGAAACCGAAACTGGTTGGCGAAGCGCGTTTGCGACGTCGAAAGCTTGCGCCTTTTGTTTTGTTAATCAGCTACGTCGCTGCTCCTGGGCTAGGATAGGTGAGCCCAGCAGAGGGTTTTCACCACCGAGTATCTGCAACGATGGTGACCAAGTAGTCCAAATAACCCGGAAAGACATTTTTTTTTTATTTCTTTTATTGCGCTGTCATTTTTTATACGTTTGGTCTGAGCGTCAAAGATGAAAGTGTGTTATAAGTTGTACAAACTACGCGTAATAATAATTTTTAAAAAATATGCGACATGACGACGGAATGTATCGACTGCAGGCTGCTTGCGATCGGGGAACGCAGAAAGCCGGTCGAAATGTGGAGACAAGACGCCTGTTTGTTCACTGCGACCATCGGCGATCAGAATCTCTAGCGTTTTCGAGTATGCGATTGTGAAGATCAAAGCCTTCTAAGCTTGTTGTGTGCCGTGGTGTCGGGGAAATTGTGCCGGAATACCGAAGATCCACATATTCTCCTTCCAACGAGTAAAGTTCAGCTCTTCGAATGGATGTTGGTTTGGCAGCTTTTTTTGTATTGTCCTTGCACCCTTGGTCTTCCAAAATGTTCGCCCGGAAGGATGGTAGAATAGTTAAACAACTGGAGGCACATAGTAGGTATTTTTAGAACGAGTTGCCTTTTTCAAAGTGACTTGAAAGTCACTTTGAACTTTTCGAAGTGTTTCGAAATATTGGGTTGGCATGGCCAGTCACCTGCGCAGAGCATTTTGCTTTGTGTTCTAGCTTTTACATTCGACGTCACCAACTATGATTTAGCAGCTCCGTCCTCCAATTGAGGCTCCTATTCTGACCGTCGCTAGATACTTCGCCTCTGTGGTTGTGAAGACACTAAAGCGTGAATACTGCAGATGGCATTTTGGTTTTGGAGGGTGTAGAGTGCGTCACCACGTTGACAGAACTGGTGTCAGTGTGGTGATACACGCTGAAGTTTTGAACAAGCATGTCGCTGCTAGAGTTCGAAGAGTTGAACACTTGTACAAGCGACCACTCCCAACACCTTATCGACTAGCGCGTTCTTCTCAACAATATGTGCAAGGGGGAAAATTATGCCTTTGTGCTGGGTTCTTCAAGCCCCGGCCCGCAGATGGCCACGGTCTTTTCAGTTACGCGCGGCTCGCATCCCATTGCTACCAACACGGAAAGAAGCGCGCGTAAAAAGCGGTGCCGACACGCGCACTAAAATCGCACACGAAGATTTCAGAAAGAACGAGAGAAAACTATTGATCGAAATCCAGGTTCTCTCGCCGTATTATTTATTTATGCGAAAGCATTAACTGTCCCATAAAGTGAGCCGACGTCATCAGCTTTGAAGCCGCGCCAGACGGCACCTAAGCTCTTTTCTCCAAGTGAAGCCGGCTCCCAGCTTTGAAGCCACTTGAAAAGCCTAGCCAAACGGCACCTGGTTTCCCCGAACCCAAAGGAGCGGAGTGAGGCTGATGGATTTCGGCTTCGGTCCCATCGGCTGGCGCGCGTCATAGTTTCAAGAAATGAGGCTCCCATTGGCCGCTGCGTGTCAGTTTCAAACACCGCCACCCCATGGCGCTGCGTGTCCGCGAGGCAGCGGCTCCACCGCTCCACGCCCAAGGTCAGCGCGCTCGACCGTCGACGAAAAGTACGCCGCAGACGAAATAAGGGAGTGGACGAGCGGCTTGCGTGCTTTCGCATTCACAACTCATAAAAAAGTGCTTAGGTGTACCTCGAGCCTTTTGTACATTGTCATCAACAGAATCACTATTCGTGGGCATGTCCGTGTAACAATGTTAAAATTCCTTTGCATTCTCTTGTAGATTGTGCTTAGAATCATGTGTCATCACTATATTGCATGTTCTCACCATCGGGTCCTGGGGAGTTTTCTGTCACAATTATATTTAATTTAAAAAGAAAGCATATGTATTGATCCCCTTTAATTTTTTTTTTATTAATATTATTGAAATTATATCATTTAGATGCTTATTTAGGTTTACTTGTTTAGTATTTCCTAATTTATATTTACTTGCTTATTTTCCGGCCTTCGAGTCTGCTACAAACCCCCAATCCGGCCCCTTAGCCAAAACGTTTAGAGAGCGACTATATGTCGCTCTCTAAACAAACTGAAGGAACCACGGCATCCCTGTAAACCGACATGCTCAAACCCGAGATATAGGCCGCAAGAGAAGTTGTCTCACGAGACGAACTATACATTTTGTCACGTTCATTCATTACATAATGGCCTTCCGACACGTAGTCGATCAGCCACACTTCATGTCGCATTTATTTATTTATTTTTAATAAAACAAACGGTTTTACCGTTACTCATTTTCGTAAAGAGAGCGTGCTGTTACTTTCATTTAATCTTTCAGGGAACCAACTGGAAGGCGCTAGACATAAAATATGGGTTCAGACATCTTCTAGTTGTGTGGTAAGCATGGGCAACAAAAATGTTTCAATTTAAAATATTTGTGATCGCAGAGCAGCGCTTAGGTTTTACAAAGGGTGATCAAGCTGAACAATCGTGGAAAGGACGTGTAGTCGCTGAGGTTTACCATGAGTGTTTTCAGTCGTCGTAACTTTATAGTAAACCATGAAAGTCGGCTCCGCAACGCACATGTCCGCGCTGCTGGTGACGTTAGGTGCCACGCAACCACACAACGCGCAAAGCAGACGGATCGACGTCACTGGCGCGCTTTGCGGACTC